ACACTGACAACTCACAGTATTGGCATTTTGTCTCAGGGTCTCTTCTTCTTATCCAGTTAGTCTTGAAGATATTTTCTTTTGGAGAGGCAGGAGTTTGGAAGAAGATGGTGCTTGAATACAGTGATACCAATGATGCACTACCCACTTTGCTTTTTTTTGTGAGTCATCTTGCACTAGAGATGAGGAGGCAGTGCTGGTGTATTTGTTGAAGGTAGCTGTTCAAGCTGTATACTTTCTGATTTTTCCATTTTACAATCTTTCAGTGTGAGCTCGAAGACACCAATTATCATCAAACAGTACAACTCCACCACACCTTAAGTCTACAACCTTTTTCATAATGGTAGTAAAGGTGTCCTTTTTGGCCATATGATGTCAATATGACAGTCAATATGAATGTTTTAAAGAGGCACAATGGTGGGACCAAGTCCCCCTTTATTGTGCTTGCATCAGGGGCTGTAGCACAGATGTCATTAAGCCAAACTATGAACCAGAAGAGCAGGAAGGGCAGAACAGCACTGTGTGTGCATGTCTGAATGTGTGATCATTCTAGCTAAGGACACAACTCAGAGATAGCTGGTGCAACAAGACACTGGTGAGACCTTTAATAGAGACATCTAAGCACAACACGACTGATGAAGATCAGTCAAATAAAAGTCATTGTCACCAAACATGGTCTCCTGTTGTGGTTAGTGTTTGTCATATATTGTATCTTAAAGTGTAAAGGTCCTTGCTTATCCCCTTTTAATCTGTCATTGTTGTTATTTTACTCTCCTCTTACATATCCCAGATTTCCCGGCTGCGCTCAGATGACAGTTCTCCTGGTCAGCGATGATCTTCAGGCTAACCTAGGGTGAGGAGGACTGTTTCCTCCCCCCTCCGATCTCCTCTGCTCAGCTGTCCTGCAATGTGCTGCTGCTTGTCACTGAGGAGAAGTGGAACGCTTGTGCCAGTGACAGGGCAATCCCCACTACACATGAACACACAGAGGACCAATACACTCTCAATCACGCGCATACATCTTTTTGAAGATCTTTTTCCATCTTCAATAATGCTGGATCTGTTTTTTACACATTGAGAACAAACTTTCACCTGTTTTATAAACAGTCAACCCTTTTTTAGAGTGCTAACAGCAACTTGAAGGTTTAGAGCTGTTTTTCTATACTTTCTTCTTTTTATAGAGGGGCTAAGGATCTAGAAATATGCAGTTATAGAATTTTTTTCTAGATTGTGTCACCATATAGACAATAAGAGAGTTCAGAAGGCTGATATAAGTGTTGGCGTCAAAATATAGTGATGTATCAAGACTTGTTATCCTCATGATTGTGTGAATATTTATCTGATCTGTAAGTCAGACACAGTATTATTGTTCAGATGCCTTACTTTTTTATTTTTAATTTTAAATGAATTATAGGCAGGAGCGATAGATGAACCCTTTCTTTAAATATTTTCTAAACAAATCTCTCCTTGTTTACTACGTCTCAAGTGTTCACTTCAAAATGCTGACTGAGGACTGGCACCTCAAACGAGACACACACACACACACACACACACACACACACACACACACACACACACACACACACACACACACACACACACACACACACACACACACACACACACACACACAAGTTGTCTTGTTCTGCTGACAATGGGTTAAGATGACAGAAGGTTATGAGTGACTCTGACACACTGCAGACCCCCTCCCTGCTGCACCCCTGAGAGCAACACAGGCCTCTTTGTACTCGCTCCACCATCAGTGACGATCAATCACAGACTAACCTGACAGCCCACCGCAGCCCTGTGCCAAGCCTGGACTCGGCTCTCTGCCTCAACCCCAAACCCGTGCCCAAAGCAAGTCCAGGCCTGGCCCCGGCCATTAGCCTGACCACTACACTGTGCCGAATGCTCTGCCTGTACAAAAATGACATTTTGTATTGACTGGGAAAGGGTTTTAAACAATTCAGTATACTAGTCCAGTCTTTTGTAGCTTCATATTGATAGAAATGTAGGATGTGTTTCATAAATGAGTTAAGTGCATGGGGGTAATGTGATATCAATGCTACAGGAACCTCAACAGGTTAATCACTCCAACAAAGCACTTAACTTCCTTGTTAGGTTCTCTAAATGAGGCACAATGAGGCAATCTTACAGTTCACACTCAAACCTGTATGAGCCAGAGAAGCACAGGTGTTATTAATTATGATGATTACAGCTTTATTCCCTCCAGGTGTGCCAGGAAACCTTTGCATTAGCCAGCATGTACTGTACTGTACCGCAACACTGGAGCCGCCGCTTCAATGATATTCGCCCTGTCATTAGTGTAATTATCACACCTGTACTTTTTAAAATAGGATATCTCCCGTGACAAACTTTTTTCAGACAACATCATCACAAGAGGCAATAAGGCCAAGCACCCCCTAATTATTGTTTTCATAAATGTCAATCTCAGTGCTGTAGTAACAGTAAATTTGAAGGTTTCATGAAGGCTGGTTGTAATTTTATAAACCAATCTGATAAATAGATGTTTAATCTAAAGGTATCAGGTTGAAGATCAACAGACAGAGGATCTTTGTGTCCAACTCCATGTCCCCTGTGGATATCGTTGTCTCATTCTTACTCATCTTGTTCTATATGTCAAAGTTCTGTGATGAAAAATCTCATCCTGCCAATCTCTTGGAGTATGTGTTGTGGATCTTTCTGCACAATGCAATCAATCTCTGAGGCAGTGGTTTCAATTATGAAAAGTCACTATAAGGAATAGTCACACATAAATCTGATGGTCTCATTTTGTTTTGGAGCTAATCAAGAGACATTCGTATTAATTGAAGTCTGTTTTATCACCGGTATAAGACTCCCCAAAGGAGCTCCAACTTAAACAGATATAAACTATTGTCATTTACTAATCTGTTTGAGAAAAAGCAGATAGCTTCTTTAATCCTTTTACTGCCATATTGGTTGAGCTTAAGTATATTCTGATTTTATCTCACAACACTTTTCTGCTTTTAGGTGCGAATTCATGCACTGGAGCTCATCCCTATGTTGTGCTATAATAGAAATGAAGCTAAGAGTAAATATGACTCTATGATTTGGTGTTGTAGCGCAACAAGAAAATCTAACTTTTTTTCTGGTAACTTTTAGAAAGTTGAAGGAAGAGTCAGCCAAAGAAAGAGCGTCTGACAGATGTCTCAGACTTGGCAGACTCACTTTCTCATTGGCCGTAAAATGCACCAGATGACATTAAGTCTCTGTATATATTTGCAATGGCCTCTTTAAGAAATAAAAAAGGAAATCAGTCTTATATGCCTTTTTTGAGAAGAGTATGTAACTGGGGTAGAGAGCAGGGAATGACATCATGGAAAGAGGCCATGGGTTAGAATCAAACCTGGTTTGCCTGGTTGGAGACACCTTAATGCAGAGGGTGTGTTACAACTGTTAGGCCCATGGCACACCATATTGTGATGGAGACATTCTGATACCATCATAGCATCTCCAACATCACTTCCAATATCTAGACTTAAAGTCCCACTCCGATATATATATTCTTGACTACTTAAAGTGTTCTCAGTGGTCTTTAAATTGTGACTATAGGGTTTTTAATCAAAACCACAGTACCTGTGTCGTTTTCAAGGGCTTTTCTCCTGCAGAGCTCGAGTAGCTCATTAGCAATTCGCCTCTGAGGTGGAGACAGCGCTGCTCTGCACACTTCTCCTCGAGTTAGCTTGCAGCCTAACATTGCCGGTAGAGTAGAAGAAACAGGTGACATAGGAGCTATTCAGCTCTTGGACACTATTGTCTTTAGGGGCATGAATAAAGCTAATATCATAATTAGCTTTCTTATGAGCATTTCAATCCGCCAACACAGACACTTGTTCCACGATCATCCTCACGATAGGATGGAGAAATGCAATTTTGCACTTATTTTTCTCATAATACGTCCTGAAGTATCAGAAAAATGCTATATGAACATGTAGACAACAAGAAAAACATGATTGTGATTGGAGTCGGTCTTTAAATATTAGTTAGTAAGCTATCTAGTGCTAAAAAGAAACCAAAACAAGTGTAAAAAAAAACCCAAAACAAAACAGAATCTTAGAAGAAAACAATAATTGCTTATAATTGACTTGCGTGTTTGCCTGTCAATCCACATTTTACCATATACTGCTTTGTGTATCTAACTTTCAGTACAGATAATGTAGTGCAGCCATAGAACAGAGCCCTGCACAGTGTGTCAGTGTATCAATACTGTAATAAACCTATGGGAGATATGGATACACAAAGATGTAAGTCATCCCACACTATGCCAGTCATTCCGGACGACTTCTCTCATAGCAGAAGTGTTTGTTTTGGCTGTTTGTCCGTGCTAGCGGAAGCCGGTCCAAATTAGTCTGTGAGCTATGAGGTGAATCATGTCCTGGAGGGATTAACACACAGCAGCTAGGCTGACACTTTGACAGACTGGCAGAGGTCAGGACAGCAAAGGCCAAACCTCTGCGTGTTTGTCTCATTATTGTCTTTCGGCATCAGAGCACAACAGGAGCCAATGTCAACTTCACTTTCGACTTACTGTACTCCTGTCTGTTCCTACTGGCCTGTTTCACAGTGAGCGCGGCACAGAGGATTGCTTGCGTCACACTGTGCAATCTTTCAGGAAGGGAAGTCAATAGATATGAATGTGGGTATTTAAAACCAAGATCCGATTTTGGTGGATGGGTTTTATGTCTCTGCAGCTTCTTACAGGACGGTATTAACTCAGTTTATGTTCAGTCAAAACAGAGTTTATGTGACCTGCTTCTGAGTAAACATCAAACCATCCACATTTCCTTCATTAGGAGTTAAACTACTTCTTGTCATTGCAAATCAATGGAGTGACAGCTGTCTCCAGACTGTCCCTTCCCCCTGTAGCCCCCCGCCCCAGTGCCAGGGGGATTCATGTATGGTGTCATAGAGGGGGACGCTAGTCTGGGATTAGCTCATTAAGACCGACATCTTTGATCCAAGGTTATCTCTCCCATTTCCACAGCAACTTGATCATATCCTGGGTTCTTAAGCGCAGGGACCAACACAAGGACACACACACACACACACAGAGACACACAAACGGGCCTTAAACCCCCTCGAGAGCAGGGTCCAACAAAGATGTGAAGTGTAGATGTGCAGCAACAGCTAAACGTCGTGTCAGGTTTCTGGGGGCTCGTGCTAAATTTAACCCTGTGATCCTGCAGCAGTCAGAGGGGTTTAAATGCCAGCCTACAGTTGCTCCACACCAGTTGTTCTCCACACGTCTTCCACTCATCACAAACTTAAGCTGTGGACGAAGACAAGCGCACACGTACACTCAGACACACACGCTCCAGGCGCAGGACCGGACACAACATACAGTAGGGCAGTTCCACAGGAGGCCGGAGTTTTTGTCCCGTTTCAAGCCACTTGTCGTCCACTATGGAGCTTTTTGAGACCAACCCGTACTTCTTCCCTGACCAGCGCTTCTATGAGGGAGGGGACAGTTACTTCCCCTCTCGTCTGCCTGGGGCGTACGACCAAGGTGCCTACCAGGATAGAAACTCCATGATGGGCTTGTGTGGGAGTCTGTCTGGAGGTGTTGGAGTTGGGGTGACAGGGACGGAGGACAAACCTTCCCCATCCAGTCTGTCTCCTCACTCTGAGCAACACTGCCCAGGTCAGTGTCTGCCCTGGGCCTGTAAGCTATGCAAAAGGAAGACTGTCACCATGGACCGTCGACGAGCAGCCACCCTTAGGGAGAAGAGACGCTTGAAGAAAGTGAACGAAGCTTTTGATGCTCTCAAGAGGAGCACCTTGATGAACCCAAATCAGAGGCTGCCCAAGGTGGAGATCTTGAGAAGTGCCATCCAGTACATTGAAAGACTTCAAGCCCTGGTGTCCTCCCTCAACCAGCAGGACAATGAGACAGGACAGCAGGGACTGCACTACCGACCCAGCCAGACTCAGCCCAGAGTGAGTAGGAGATGGAAAGGATGAATGGAGACCAAATGTCTAATATTTAACATAGAGGACATAGAGACAGGGTGCACTGACTGGAAAGCAGCTATGGCAGATGTCAAGTCAAAGATGAAGTTTAAAGCACAGATAGACACCTCAAAAGAGTCGAACATTGGATAAATGGAAAATTCTTGAAAAAATATTTTAGCTTTTGGAAATAACTGACCTTTAACACTGCTTTGTGTTGATCAATGTGGTTGAAATTATACAACCCAATTGGGATCGCTTAACATTTCTTCTCAATTAGAATCTGATTGGGTTAAAAGGCTTAGTCTCCCAGGTATTCAGGCATATACAAAACCTAATTTCCTTTCATTGTTGGCAAAAAAAGAGAAATTTACATGTTTGAAGTTGTCCCTTGTTTTGTCTGAGAATATGGAAAGTGTTTAAAGGCATCTAAAAACTGATTTGACAGGTGTCATTGCTCAGTTGCTTCTGATGACTCCTTTCCCTGTCAGTTTTTTTGTCCTTAGATTTCTTTTTACTTCCCATTGTTTGACTAGTCTTGTTTATGTAGTGCACATTTGCCGCAGAGAGGTTTCAGAAAGTTTATGTCGTTGTCTGTGTGTGTGTGTGTGATTGTGTGTGGTTAATGCACTAAAGAGTGCGCTTTGTTTCTTTGAGGGGCAGGGCATGCCATGTCATAACACTGAGTGACTGACAGCAACTTCTGTGCATCTCCATGGTAACAGGTGTCGTCGTCAAGTGAGCCTAGTTCAGGCAGCACCTGCTGCAGCAGTCCAGAGTGGAGCAGCACCCCTGAGCAGTGCACGCAGAGCTTCAGCAGTGAAGGTGAGTAAACTTCCCACACAGTCATCAGACAGCAGAACACCATCAGAGGAACCTCACTCTGACTCTGAGACTGATCACGTATGTCTTTGCAGATCTTCTGAGTGCTGCTGACTCTCCAGAGCATGGGAACATGAGGGCTCTAACCTCCATCGTGGAAAGCATTTCTGCAGCAGACGGGGCTGTGGCTTTTCCTATGGACATTTCCAAATAGACCCTCCACACAGCAGACCCATGGGTGCAGAAAAAAAGCAATATGCAAAGCAAGCTGGAGAACAGTCCTAAGTTCCAAATTGATTTATTTATTTCAGCTCAACTGATCTGAGTGTCTTATGCTGAAGTTTAAAAGTAGGGATTAATTTGAATTGTCACTGCTGAAAAAAATGGGTCTGCAAACCAAACTAAATTCCTTTTTTTTTTTTTTTTTTAACAATGAGGCCTTATTCTCTTTATTCCCTGCCTTATCCTGCGGTCCAGACCTGTCCATCACAGCCACAGAAGCTTAGTCTGACCACAGATTAAAGGACTTTGCTGCATGAACCTAACACCTAGTTACTAGAGTGGACCTCTGTTGGTTCGGCCTTCAGTCAGGTAGAACCACAGATGAATACAAGGCCAAGCTTTCTTTTCACTTAATGTAAGTTTTCCTCTTTTCAAAACCTTTCCCTCATCTTTCATTCTTTCTTGTGTGTGTTTTTATGCTTAAAAAACATGAGTTTATTTGTGGGGCCAATATGTACCATGGCAGTTTTGACCAAGATCTGCTTAATTTAAACTGGTTATGAATGCTAGTGATGTAAATACGTTCCCTTTTTCTACAGAGTGGTTTTGCCATTTTATTTTTTATTTTTTGCTAACTTATTTTTGACTTTTATAACTACGATTGTTGTGTATTTGTAGATGTTTCAAAAAGTAAAAATTCCTGTCTTGCAATAAAGACCATTTCCAATACATTGTGTCATCACTGTAAATAGCCACCAATGAAACCTTCACACTTGGATATGTGCATTATTTGGAGTCTATAGGGGAGGGACAAGTGTTTTATCAGTTTGTGTATGTGAGTTATTTTGTACAATTGTGTTTCAGCAGACTTTGGTTGTATACAGGAGAACACTTTATCAGAGAGAGGAGAAAAAGGAGCAATGCATAAGCTGTGATGCAACCCTAAACCAGTCAGTCATTTAGATAAAAAGGTATAATATAATATTAATTAATATATTTAATATTATAATATATTATTAAATTAATTAAAAGTTATATTATTATAATATAATATTTAATAATATATATAATTAATATATATTATAATATAATCTTTACACTGATATTCCCATATAGTGCCGATAACAACCAAATATTCTCGACAGATTAATTGTAATTTTTTTTAACGTTCCTTTAAATTGCTAGTTGGACAAGACCAGCATATTGAAATCGAAGTATTGTCAAAAAGAATCTTTGTTACTTGTTTATAAAGTTCTGACTTCTTCCCCCCTTTGACTGAATATAAAGGTGGATGGTGTGCCTCTACCACCTCATGTTAGAGAATAGAAGAATAGAATAGAATATTCCTTTATTGATCCCCCATGGGGGAATTTTTTTTGCCACAGCAGCATCACAGACAAAGGTAGTGCAAAATGCAGTTATAAAAATAAAGATCGTAATATTAAGAAACTAAATAAATGTTATAATTAAGAAAAAAATGAGAAAAAGGAAAAAGGGGAGAAGAAAATGAAATAAAATAAGATAAAATGTTGTTCAAAAGCGTAGGAAAAACTCCCCTCTGCTGCAGATGCTGACATATTTCTTCTTCAATATTAGTCTGCAACACAAATATTAGCTGGTCGACCTCGTGGCTGCTTAAATGGTGGCAAAGGATTCGCACTAGCCTGAATAATCTTCTTTAGGAGTAGTATGCAGCAAACGCAAGACCCTGAAGTGATCTTACCTCCCCATGCACATCTGCTACCAACACCTGTAATTCTAGACCCTGGCACCAACAGAGTCAGCTGATTAGACCCCTGGCTGAGCAGAGACGTAAACATCAAATCAATCCTGTACTCTGGGTAGCTAATGGCACTGCTATTGCTGGCACTGCTAGCTGTACGCTGATTGCAGGAGCACTTTGCAGTGGGTACTTCAGAAAAGTTTTCTCAAGTAGTAACTGTTCTCAGTTAGATTTTGTGGGTTCCATATAGATTGTTACATGCAGCAGCCTGTGCTTGTCTCACTCCTCCCTCTGCCTGCTGCGCACCTGAGTGCAATCGGCACTCAGGTAGAGAGAGGAGGAAGGGGATAAGAGGGACAGGGAGAGTGGAGACAATGGCTCGGCACATGGCACAGACACCAGCACTGAGGGTGAAGATTTTTTTCCCTCTTTTCTCTGTTTTTTCCCCCAAGCAGGTTTTCCCACATGCTTATTTAGGAGCTGGGGGTTTTGTTATGTTAGTTTGTTGTTTTAGTTTGGGCTGGAGATTACCGGTAGTTACTTTGTTCGTCTTTTGTTTAATCTGGTTTAGTTTTCTTTTTCAGGTAGTTTAGGGGGAGACTCTGGAAGCGACGGCCCACTGCGTGGTTGGCCCAGTGTCTTCCCTTCTTTTGTTCCTTTTGGCCGGTGTCTCCAGTCCCTTTTGTTTCTTCCTTAGTTCATTGCGTTTTGTTTAATACTTTGGGTGAATCAAATAAATCCTGTGGGTAAACTGTAACTGTTGGTGTGGTGTCCTCTTTTATATGTTGCAGCCTCTTTCCCCTATTTGAGCCTTGATTACTGTGTTTGTAGGGAGCCGTAACATAGATATACAGTATTTGTTGGCCATGATCATCAGACGTGGTTCTCTCTGATGCAGTATTCAATCAACTAAATAAGCTCTAACAACTGATGGATTCAGTATCTGGTCTTCTTCTCTGTCTCATAAACAATCAATCTGTGTCACTGAGAGCCAATACAGACCTGGAGCACTTCTTTTATAGAGTGTGAATTTGCAGACTTTGTATTTTACAGTTATTTCCTTCTTCTTCTGTGAATTCTGGCTTTACATTATCTGTGTATTTGCTGCAGGTTTGCTCTTAATGTATATGCTTTGTTTTTTTAGCATGCTTCTTATTTACAGTGTGTTTCATCTGTTGCGTTTGTTTTTGACTTTTACACATTTTTAAATTTGCATCATCCAAACATTTGCAGCCCACTCCTCTCATTGATGATCACATAGGACACTGCAGATCCTCTGTACTTACTTATCACCACCATAGACTGAAAGTTTTGGCCCCTCTGTGAAATTAAGCTCACACTTAAATTAACCCCAAAACACAGTAAAGTTTCCTCAAGTTGGCATAGCCAGCAGTGTAACAGCTTCTTGTGCAGTTTGAACAGAGACACTCCTGGTTATGGGCACCTCCATGACTGTGGTTCCTTTATACAGCACCACAGGAGCCACATTCAAAACAGAGCTATCAACCACAATGAACCCCTTTTCAAAACACCAAATAACTATTTCAATTTACTTAGAAAAAAATAGACAGCTTAACATCTATCAGCACAAGAACAAAGCTGAAGTTTGGAAACTGTGTTTGAGGGCTGGATTAATGTTTATATTGGTTTTACATTTGACATATTTGTTTAAAATTGAGGTGGGTTTCAGTAGAGAGCTAGTGCTTCACTTTTTAGTCTATGACTACATCTTGAGCCCTGAAACCTTGTCTGGTGTTTCTTGAAACCAAATCCCCATCCGTTATGTGATTGCCAGTGCTTTGATAGAGATAAACCTCAAGAGAACACAACATCAAAATCTTTAAAAAACAGCTTTACTTATGTCTATATAGTGTCATAAATACAGTTCACTTTTTAAATAGCCAAATAATAAAATCTTGATTTGTCAGCATTGTTTCACACCTGGAATAAAGACACAGTACTCATAGCTGCCACATAGCACGTTACACCTTTTAGACACCTTGGAAAAACTGTAAAATAAACAAAACAAAAGAAAAAGATTGTACACCTCCCATCCAGCACTTCTCTGGTTCTTTGCTGTGTTCTCCTTGGATGAGGAATTGGTCAGCCAAGAGGACTGACTGCTCACTGGCACGTCTTCATAGCAACAAAAAAGGAGGTGGCGGAACAGGAATAGTCAAGTCCGTCACATTGAGCAGTTTTGAGTGTTTATCATTGGCTGATGTTGAGCAGCAGTTTACAGTTTGATTTGAAAGAAAGGAGGGAATCAACAGAGAGGAGCTACAGTGTTCACACTACCCATCCACAGGGAAAATTCATAGTCACATGGCTGGGGTCGGCCTTTCACACTCAACATTTCTTCTCACACACACACGCACACACACACTTCATATTAAAGGATTCTCTATTCTAGGCTACATAGTGTCATACTGAAGGCGAGAGAGGCGAAGAAAGGAGAGGTAACAGCTACATAAGTGTCAAAAGAGGATGAGGAAGAAAGAAAGAAAAGAAAGAGGAGAAGAGGCAGAGAGAGAAGTTTGAAATTGGACCCATGAACCTGTGAAGAGTCCTTGTAGAAACCCACCCCCTCCTACTAATGGTTCACACACTTACGGCATACAGCAAAAGACATACAAAGGTCCGACACTGAGAGAAAGAGAAAGAAAGAGGAGGAGAGAAAGAACAGTCACTATCGAATACAGGGCATTGGGTTTCATACAGCAATGATATTATATTATTTTCCATATATATTTCCAATATATATATATTTATATATATAATATTTCTATAAAAAACATAAGTCATCCATTTTATGTACAGAGACGATTAATGAGTAATACCTTGCATAACCGGTAGAGGGGCATGTGCAGTGGGATCTGCCATTTATACAAGTATTCATCATTCAAGTCCAAATCAATGACTTGTTACCACTCTCTCTCGTCTTTTTTACGCCACTCTTGTTGCCTTGGAGATGATAACACAGGATTATTGGTTTAGACTTGGCTATGTTAAGAGATCAGAACCAGGACAAGAACCCACAGCTGAGACTAGGGGAGCAGGAGCACAACACCACAACAACAAGGCTACTGGGAGCACTGGGGTAAACTGGGAGAGAGACAGAGATGAGTCTCCTTTACAGCAGCGAGCGCAGCCAATGAGCACTCTCAAAGGTCAGAGTTGGCCTCTGTATTGCACGTGTCCGAAGAGGAGTGGTGAGAGGTGAAAGGTGGGAGGTAAGGCCGGGCAGCAAAAGGAGTGAACACTCCCTGCCAGTGGTGCCCAGGACTCCCTCTCCAGATTTGGCATATCACTCTCAAAAGGCCGCAAGCATATGTCCGTATAGGTAATGAGAATGCACTGGAAGAAAAGAGGAGAAAGAGAGGGGGAGTAAGAAAAAGGATGAGTTCATGCTACAGTTGAGCTTGACATGTATCATATCAGCTGATATTTCATGGTATGAAACTGGTAAAAGTTTCATTACCAGGGAGTAACTCTTAAAAATGAACATTTCTTTGGTGCAAGAGTTGGTTTGTTTTGAAGGATGCAGGAAATTTACAACATAAAACAGTAAAAACCAACAGCCTGTTAACAATTAAGTAACCAATAATCTAAAAAAAACATAATTCAGTATTTATTTATTTATGCAGTCTGTAACCTCTTTTTATCACATCTTTTTTATTGTTTTAACTATCTATGGGAAAAGCTGCTAAAGTTTGTGTATTCTTGGCAAATCAGTTTTAAAAAATTACAGGTTTGTCCAACAATGTCCCCTCTTAGCCTTTGGAATGTCATCAAAAGTCACTGACTCATATTTTACTGTAGCATTAACAGGACATAAATCTAAAGTCATAGCTTTAAAAGTTTAAAAAAGGAAAAAAGTTGTTGATTTTTGTATGCTGCGCCTCCTATCGGGGTTAACAGGGCACTTGTTGCTGATTATTGTAAATTTGGAAAAATAAACTGTGTGCTTTAATGGGTTTGCACAGCTGCAATAGAGTGTAACTAGGATTGAATTGTAAATTAATAAAATAGACAGACTTATTTTACCATAGAGTTACTTATGTTGAGAGATGATTTGACGAATTCATGCTTTTCATTCATTTTGACACAACCATACATTTCTTTGGTTACTGGTTTATGAACTTTCCACAAATTGTGATACTTCTGATCACTTGAATGCTGGTTTTAGTCTTTTCATGGGACTTCTTAAAATTAGGGAAAATGTACATTGATAATACAGTTTATTACATTTACCGGACATATCCATCATGCATTGATACCCTTTCCAACATACAGGTACAACTTTGATTCACTAACATCTGAAAGGCTGCCGTCAACCTTATCATTATTCAAGTAGAATAGCTTGATAGGCCTACAGGGAAGTTGGTTTCACATTCCTGCCTCATTTCACACAGCTGGGCAATGCTAGTTAATGGCGCACTGGTCGGTAAATTCAGCAGTTTTAAGTAGTATTTAGTAAGCTTACCTGTTAGCATTAGTGCTCTTGTTAGTAAGCAGAGAGAAGTTAGCAGGAATAGGTCCGCACAGCCGAGGGGTCGAGTCTCGGGGGCGCCGGGGGAGGAGCTTCAGAGGACACCGCAAAGAAAGGTTGTTGGCATAGCAGGCCAGAGAGAAAACAGCATGCAGTTAGTTAAGACAAGCAGAAAGGCGCACAAAGATAAACCCAGGAAGAATCATATTTTGAGGTCGATCAGATACATGTTAGTGATGAAACAACACCTTCAGGCTGGAGCTGTTTCTTCGGCATCAAGTTTACTGAGGGTGGCATGGACATGGAGGGCATGCGGAAGCCTGCAGGCAATGTTTCCATCGAGCCCGCCATCATGCCAAGCCCAACCCCTCCCTCACGCGCCCTAAACCTCTTTCGCCATGATGGAGAGCGCCGGAACGACTTGTCATCGCCACTCTGCAGGTACAGGGAGAAAAGCCAAATTAGACAACTGACCCAGTTTCTGTGATATTGTATTTGATCAAAGACACAGCTTGAGAAGTCACCTCTTCTAATCGACGATCAGTTCCCAAGGCCAACAGGTTGTTAAATTCCCTCTCCAGAACCTGCCGTGCCTGGAAAACAGCACACACAATCTCTCTCAGCAGGAGACACTGTGAAGCTGCTGGTTAACCACGCAGGGTTTGGTATTAAAAGGAGCTGATGCCAATTCAACAAAAGCTCTTAAAACATTTGAAAATGTTTAACTAACCTCTTAGATGATAGGAGTGACATTTAAGATTTTGTTCACCTTTGAGGCAAGTAATCTGTGCTGAAACCCATAGCTAGAAAAAAACCCTCTTCTAAGGGGATTCACAGCCTTTTTGATTAAAAAGAAAAAAATAAATCTGAGGCAGGAGTATGAGTTGGCCAAATGAAGGAAGAAGTCTGAGGCAATGGTGGGTGCAACTGAACCATTGTGACATGACATGCCTCCAGTCCAGAAAAATACACTTACTTCTTTCATCCGTTTAAAGTTATAGTGTGTAAGATCCACATGGCTGTAAATATCTGTTTCACCCTCGCAACTACAAGAGGAGATGATACAACACTGATTAAGCTGTTCAGCTCCTCGAGCAACTCGTGGTATTTTTCAGTATTTGTACTTTTTGTATTTGTGTTGAGGGGCGACATTCCCACGCTGGCGCACATAAAATAACACGCTCTACTCGGATTTACCTGACAGCGAGAAGGGAGGGGGGAGGAGAGCACTGCTAGTAGCAACATGGTGGAGAAGTGACCAAGAGGTTCAGAAGTGGATCCTGCTAAACAGAAAAAGCCTTCCCATTCAGGAGAAGGTTTGTTGGCAAAGAAAGAGAGTGAATAACGTGGATTTGCATCAGCGTCGCTTTTCCTCGATGGAGAGCCGTGTAGGAGAAGATTGAGGTCCAATTGTTGCCTTGATACTGCTGGATAAGTAAGTGACTGTTCATTTCGAGCAGGATGTGTTGCTGTTACACATACTGGACCAAGTACTTTACTATTTTCTTGGAAATGATGCTATGGATGTAATTTAATGTTAGCAGCTTGGTGTTCGCCACATTGTGTAATGTTAGCTTAACGAGCTGTAGGTTACAAGGTGTGTAGCCTGTGTTGCTGTTAGTAACTTACTGCGGGGAGTCTGTGTACTGTGACGAGCAGTATGCAGTGAGTGGAGACTGTTACTCTGTGTACCGTGATGAGAAGTACGCGTTGTGAGGGCAGTTATAGTCTGTGTACCTTGGTTCGTGACCAGCAGCATGTTGTGTGTCGTGAGTGTTTCTCCATGTAACGTGACGAGCAGTATGCTGTGTCTGGTGAGTGTTACTGTGTGTGATGTGCATATGTCATATTGAGGTGCCGTCCGTATCGTTGTAATAACGCAGAAATCCTCTAGGGGGCAACAGAAATTACGCACTATAGCTTTAAACACCCAATACAATCCACCAAATTAAAAAAGTCCCTTATTCCTCATAAAAGCTCAAATAATGTTTGAAAACTGCTGTATTCCAGTCTTACAAGTCATATAAACATCTTTTTTTTGTTCCTATGGCCTTTTGGATCAGCAATTTAGAAAATAAATAAACGAAAGCTGAGTTCCAGAGAGACAGCGGGCAAGTTTTCAAACTAGAACAACAAATTAAACTGACTAAAAGCCATTGTAAGAAAACTTCCTTAGCATTCAATCACCTCCTAGCTTACATAATTGTTTGATAGTGTCAAAAACACTGAAAAGATTTAGTTCTTAGTCAACACTCAACTTGAAAACTCAATGATAGCTAGCTTAAAGATAGTTGGCCAACAAAAAAACAACTTCATGATCTTTATCACCATCTTGAGTGTGACATCACTGCAAATAGCTGCTGTTGAACACAAACTTTGAGTGAACGGTTTTGATTTCCTTTATAACCACCTGTGTGTTCTGCATAGGGATCTGTAGGATGAGCGCTAGGCTGCTGTAGTCGAAGGTCTCATCCAAAGAGATTAGTGCACCATGGACACCACTCTCTAGCAGGTTGCCGCTGTACTCTCTCAAACCAATCGACAGGACCCAGTGGATCACCTGCTCGTTGGTCCACACCAGTACATCTTAGATAAGAGAGAGAGAGACTCAGATTCATGGAGCTGTGGCACATGGTTTAGATTTCAGTCCTTCAACTGAGCAGGAAATCAGAGTCACTGGAGTCAAAGCAAGAGAGCAAGAAGAAGAAGAAGACAGAACAAGAAAGAGATAAAGAGATAATGTGCATGTCTACATATTGTCAACTCAATGGCACACGCCCTTTGTTCATTTAAAATGCAGCTGTCAGCCAGCTTTCCAAGTTGGAACAGGGTGTGTGTGTGTGTGTGTGTGTGTGTATAAACAGACTGAATGATTTGACAAGACAGCTGAGTCAAGTTCATGTGTAGAGCTCAAGGTCAAAAGGGCGAGAGGGCTTGCTAGATCTGAGTGTGTGTATTTGTGTGTGTGTGCGCATGAGTGTATCTGTGTGAGTGAGTGTGTGTGTGCACTACCCTTGGTATGTGGTGCTTTGGATCAGAAGATTGTAGTCCTGCCTTGGTTGGCTCTTGGTCAGTCTAAGGTGCAGCTGTTTCAATACTCAGGCCTAACTGACAGTATTAGGCCGAGCCACTAGGTGGTATTCTGCTCTTATGAGACTGTAGATACGTTCATGTGTTTGAACAGCGTTTCAAAGTGTGTATGTGTGCGTGCATTTCTTTCGCTGTGTGTGTGTGTGTGTATCAGGTTGTGAACCTTTCATGTCGTGCTGGCTGTCCTCTCTACGGCGCTCCAGGTCTTTCCTGTCATAATTGAGTCTCTTCAAGCACATAATCCCGTACTGCAGACTAGCCCTGAGACACACACACACACACACACACACACGTACTCAGGAAAAACAGGCACACACGTGTCGTTCATCTTCTCATTTGCATAACTCATGTACATAGTAAGCTAAAGTAAACACAGGCTTTTCAAACAGAAGCTACGCTAATTGCTCCAGTTACCGACCTATGGAAGCTGTCCACCATCTTGAGGTGGCTTCTCAGGTCCTTCTTGGTTAAATGATCTAGCATGCGCGCATCTACCAGACACTCCATGAAGTAGGAGCGGTACTGAGGGAGACCGAGGCTGGGCAGCCACTCGTTCCCGATCCACTCATGATTCATGTCACCATACGCCAAAGTCTGGAAAGGGAAGAAGGAGCAGGAGAACATGCTGTTAAAACAGATGAGTGGGAGCGTTGAATAAAACAACACAGCATGATAAGATATTAAAAACCACAGAGATGGTGACACAAAGCAGTTTCTGTCATTATTTTATAGAGTTGGATTAAATATCTTGTATATTCAAATATGTGGTTGGACACTATGGCATTAGTGCATTTTGCTTTAACATCTTTCACTCAAATCGGTAAAAACAGCCAGTTTGTGTCTTAAAGTTCTAGGTTATTGTCATTTTTCAGCTATATTCATGTCTCTTTTGTATCTTTGGACCATTTCCTTCTGTAGAATCTGTGATGGTCAAGTAAAGTTTTGTGTTTCTTTCTTCAGTAAGCATGTTCACAGTGTAAATGAGTCATTCCATGTCAATTCAACCAAGAATCTCCACTCACGTCACAGATTTTGATGAAATTTGGTGGAGTGATTGGCCTTCAGGAGAAACTGTCAGAGCTCAAATATTTTTGTTCAAAGCCATCTAATTAGTGAGATAGGGGCTAACGAATTTTTGGCTAAGTAGCATGACATGCGTTACAAAAGTGTTCATATCTCTGGAAGTATGGCACCTAGAGAGCTGATTCAGGTGTCATTTTAAAGCTTTTTAAACAAAAAGATAGAACTTGAGGAGAGCTTTAAAATGACACCTGAATCAGCTCTCTAGGTGTCATACTTCCAGAGATATGAACACTTTTGTAACGCATGTCATGCTAGTTAGACAAAAATTCGTTAGCCCCTATCTCACTAATTAGATGGCTTTGAACAAAAATATTTTAGCTCTGACAGTTTCTCCTGAAGGCCAATCACTCCACCAAATTTCATCAAAATCTGTGATGTGAGTGGAGATTCTTGGTTGAATTGACATGGAATGACCCAAATGTTAGCTGATCAGTGACCTTACCTGTGCCCAGCTGCCCTCCTCATTATCCTGAGTGGCAGCATGGTAGAGACAGTTTATAACGTTAGATAGACAGGGGGTAAAAGACAAACATATCGCACATTCACAAACACAAAGGCACACATAGACGCACAGATATAAATCTCCTCCATCTGCATTTCACTGCGATAAACATCTATAGCGCTCATATCGTTGACTTTGCCAAAAGACTACAAGATGACACATTTTATCTGTTACATCAGACAGTCAGACATGAAAACAGCTCGAGCAGAGGAAAAGCGTTAGTGTGTGATGTAGTGGGAATTTAACATATGTGTGTCACGGTGGGGACAGTGTGAGTGTGACAGTGTTGTTTGGTGGGGGTGAAAGGGGAGGGGAGCACCCAGATGGTACTGACCGCTTTAGTGGAGGAAGCCAGGTTCTCCATCTCTTCATGAGTCACCCACACATTTCCGGAGGACTGCTCGGAGGACAAAAACACAAGCAAACACACACACACAATCACGCGCCCACACAAAAAACATACCCAAGAATATACTCATGTGGATATTTTCACGCATAGCACCCCCCCCACAGACACACAAACACATGCACATGCACACACACACAGACAGACATTGTGTTAAGTGATGCCAAGGGAGGGAGTGTCTTTCATGCAGGTAGCTGCTCATGGCTAAATCTAGCTCTGGTTGTGTATTGTTTCCCTGCAGATCTCCATGCAATTTAGTCTGTTGAAAAGGTCACATCAGGCTCAGTCATAAGCCTCTACAGAAGTCTGAACAGGAGTGCAAAGAAATACAATAATAATAATAAAAATAGGAGTGAGGAGTCAAATCCCCAGGGTGCAGAGTGAAGGCGATAGTGGGAAAAGTTTTGTGTGCTTCGAGTGGGTTAATTTGTTCTTCATCTATTTTTGTGTTGTTCCATATTAATATTTGTGTACATGTATTTACATGCATGTAGGAAGGGTTAGCATGAAAGTATATTTGTTCTGTCATCATACCGTCCTGGAGGTAAGAGGTGCAGACGGGCTGGTGAGGGAGACCATCTCCTGGATGGCCAGGCGCAGTTTGAGTCTGTGCAGAGGGTTGCTGATGCCAATCTCACGCTGGATCTCTGTGTCAGACAGAGCTGACATGATGGCTCCACTCTTCACATTGGCACGACAGGCTGCCACATACCACGCCGGCATTCCCACCCACAGCTGGCAAGAGATGTCAAAATATGCATCATCAACACCATTGTTACCATAAAAGGTCAGATAGAGGAGGAAGAGATGGAGATCAGACTCTGATGGTCTGTTTGGTATTTTCAGTGATTGTATACTGTTTTTCTTTTTGGAGTAAAGAGTTCCAAGCATGAAAGAGGTTTTTTTTTCAAGAGTTTTGGGTTTATAGGTGTACAGGAACTTAAACTTCTGGACCCCAAGACCTTTTCCAAAGGTCAGAACTGAGACGGGCAAAAAGGCGTTTACATTTGCTGCTGCTTATCTTAACCAGGGCACTCTCTAAAATGAGATTTTTAATCTTGATGACTTCTGTTTCTCCTGGTTAAATAAAGGTTAAAATAATTTTAAAAAGACGGTATGAGTAGAGAACATACCTCCAGCCAAGAGACAACAGTGGGACCATCCCACTGGGCAAACGGCAGACCTCTTTTCCTGGCCTCCTCCAGAAGCTCATGTCTAACCAGAGAAAAGCCTTGGTTAGTTACAAAAATAAGATGATAAAACACTTGAAATGTCAAAGAAAGGAGTTTATGTTAACTTTTTCTTCATCCTGCGGTCCCTCTCAGCCTGAGTTCCCAGTTTTCCCAGGGTCATAGTGTCACCGATGCCCATCTCAAAGTCTGAACATAGAGAATCAATGTTAGTTTCTGTCTCTCCTGTGGGCTCTGTTGGTGCCTGTGGTGTATGCTGTGTAGTCTGAAGTGTACCTGTCAAGGCAGGTAGGGTCTGTCCTTCTCTGCCCACAGTCTGCTCCATTCTGCCTTTTTCCTTCTTCCCAAACAATCGGCCAATAGACGACTTGATGCCTTTCTTCGGCTTACTGCAAACACCAATGAGAAACTGTGTTACATTGAGGTTGAAACTTATATCACTGCCAACTGTTCATCAGTGAAGTAAGGGTTTGTTTCTCTGGGTTTGAAGCTTTAGAGATATTCAAAGATCTATGCCAATGCTCATTTATTATACTTTAACACTATCTTTGTGTGTATGTGTGTGTATTTACCCTCGGCCATCCTCTAGACTGCCTGTGAACTGAGCAAAGTTAGTTTCCAGCCGTAAACTGCGTGGGGATGAGGGAGGTGATGTCTCACACTTGATGGTAGCTTTGTCCACTTCCACAGGAGACTACGGGAGTTAGAAAAGAAACTCAGCTCGGTCACTTACAGCCACAATCTGACAAAATAATTCCTGTGAAGTTGTAGTTTTCTGTGCAAACTTACGGCTACTTTCCTGCGGTGTTTCCTCAAGTCACTTGGCTGTGAGATAAAATGACACATTACATTTTAAAATTAGAAATGAAACATATATTTCTGTGTATGGAGTAAGCATGTGTGTGTGCTTTCTGACCAGAGTCATGATGCCTAGATGGTGGCTGGCGTTGCGTGAGTGGTGTTTAGGTGTGGAGTGGCCGCTGGTGGGTGGGGAGGAGGATGAAGCCAGAGACTGGGCAGTGGCGGAGGTGGGCAGAGCACGAGGCCGGAGTGTCACATTGAGTCCGTCCATGCTGCCGCTGTTTACGCGAGACTCGATCTCATCTGAGCGGAGGTCTGCAGACTCTCTTTCCACTTGGATCATCCTGAACATACACACACAAAAATCGACATACATGTTATTTTTTAATACAGGACGTCTTATCTATTGGATGGCAGCATTAACTTTGCATTTACATCGAATTAGCATATTCAGTCTCTATTCTTTATCTCTTTTCTGTGAGCACAGACAAAGATTTCACATGAGGACCTTGTTTGCTTCAATAAACAGCATCTTCTCTCAAAAGAAATTTTACAGAGGAGAAACTTATCTAGATGTTATCATCATTATCTTCCTATCAAAAGCGGTAACCGTTCTGGTGCATCATGTCTGGCCACAGGCCTTCATGCCTGGCATTAACAAGCAGCAGCAGCAGCAGCAGCAGCAGCAGCAGCAGCAGTACTTTAATTTGCTGTAGTATCTCCTAAAATGCCCCCTTTCTTGTAATCATTTGTTGCATTATCTTCCATACTTTGTTCTCTTATCTGTCTCCTGTGTCATGCTGCTGCTGCACTGACCCAGCTTCCCAACTGGGATCACAGAAGAGCCATGTGCAGTAATTTAATGTACACCTTATCTCCTCATTGATAGCGTCAAGCTGCTCCTGCAGCATGAGAGCAAGAGTCTGAGCGTCTGACTGGCCGCTGGGGGAAAGAAGGGCGGAGCTAACGTCGTCATCCATGTCTGACTCCGCCTCCATGTCGCTGCCCAGGAGGTGGCTGACGCTCCCACGCAACGAGGGGTAGTCCTGTTCAAACATCGCGCACACCTGGGCGTAACAAATGAGTGAGACGTTTATGAAGAGAAAACAAAATCCAAATGTTTAAGCAAACATGTAACATTTTCATTGGACAGATACACATAAAAATACATGATGACACTTGTGGATGGATGAACTTACATCAGACAGCATGTCCACAGCAGCAGGTGAAAGAGAGACAGAGAGGTTAGTAGAGAATGGTGAGTTAGGCATGAAGATCATCATACAAAAGCCAAGCATGGGCACTTATTAGTAAAGCAGACATGAACTCAGATAAGGCACGTGTACATGGCTCTGTCTGGTTAGAGGAATAATTGAAACATGATCTGTAAGTTGACTATCTTTTTTGTATGTGACAAACTCAAGGGCTGTTTTTAACAAGCACCTTATTGGGGTCGTCTCTTAGAGCTGACAGTCTGCCTTTCTGTGCCCTCCTGATCACTGTTGTGCTGTAGTGGCCATCCTGGCCCTCCACCACTGAGAAGCGAAGGTCACTGGCACTTCCCAGGTGAGACCTGAGGTTCAAAAATGAGGAACATGATATCATCAATAAAGCATACACACATTGTATGAGGGAGGGTTGGAAACACAGACAGTAAACAAATTAAAGGAAGTATCAACATCTTATGTCAACACAGGTCATAGCATGATTTCAGTAATTATCACTAAACAATGTAGTGCTTAATCCTGGGAGAGAAGTCTTATCTGTTCAGATGTCATGAATCTATCACCCCTCTGTTCATGCGTTTCAGTACCGAGAGTGGGTGCCATCTCCAAAAGCTCCACTGCGACGCTTCAAATGGTCGATCTCATTTCTCAGTTTATCGATTTCTCCGATCAGCCGTTCCTGAGGGGGAGAAAGGCATTATGGACAGTTCTTTCATGTTGTTCATTTGTTAAAAAGTAGTGTTACCTATAATAAACTTCTACTTCAGTACAGGTAAATGTGAAAAAGTAAGTGAAAGTAAAAGTGACAAGTACAGAAATGGGCTTAAGTAGACCAAGTGTGCCCAACAGTCACAGGAGACTCATGTTTGGTCCCACCCTGTGGCCTCTGTCCTGCACGACACTTCCCACTCCATACCTCCTGTCCTGCTCTGCTGTCCTTTCCTCTGTCAATAACAACTAAAAAAGCCCAAAATTGGATTGGCATTTGGGAGATAGACTCTTTTGTTTTTTTTTTTTGCTGGGAGTTGAATGAGAAAATCGATGCCACTCCCTAGTGTCATGTAAAAGTGAAGCTGCACTGCTCAGTCTGTAAGCTTGGCTCAGGAAATTTTGGAAACAGGAGTAGACAGTCAACCAGACTCTTTCCCAATTCACAAATTTTCTCGATTTGCCTGAGCCTGAGAAATAGTTAATCCCCTAATCCCTCAGGTTAACATGCTTCTGTGCTTTTGAAATTATAGATCCAACATGCTAGTTTTAAGCTTGGGGGGTCACAACAGGCATGTTACCTTTGGACACAGCAAAGTTACAGGCTAAATGTAATCTGCAGTCAACACAGAAAGAGGTGGAGCTAAAGCGATAATCCTCATAGCAAAGAGGTACAATGCACCTACCTGTCTGTCAACGCAGCTGTGCCCCTTACTGTGTAAAGTTATGAAAATTTCTAAGCCTTTATATGAAGCTGTAGCTTCATGTTTAGCATCATGTGAGCAGCAGTTATCTGATAATCTTTCAGAAATAAATGTCCATGTGGGTGGTTGTCAAACTCTCACAGATAAGCTCTTTTTAGTGACAGCTGCTCAAATTGAGCTAGTTTACGGATTTGAGTGTGTAAATTATTTGGCAGCTTCATGCGTGTTTTACATTTGGAAAAAAAACAATTTCATCATTGCAAAGTAAAACTTGAAGTTATCAAATAAATCAGATGGAGTTAAAAAACAACAACATGATTTTACTCTGAAATGAAAAATATGAAGAAGCATAAGAACAAGTACTGCAGTAATGTGCAAATGGCATCCACTATGTTTCACCACTTATTTGGGTCATTTCAGTTGAACGAGAAGTAGATCTCAGTGGATATGATGAATCATTCGTGTCTCACTGACCCTGGTGTGATGAAACTCTTCGAGCTGTTTCTGGCAGTTCTCAAGGTCCTGAATGAGGGAGTTCTAGACAGAAAACCATCAAACTGCGTCAAAACAAATCTGTGGTCCAAGAATAACATGTGCTGAACTGTACATTCATTTATTCTTTGAGGCAATAACAACGGCAATATGAGCCGCTGCCGCCACTGCTGCTTCGATGAATGTGTGCACTCGGGCCTTGCCTTGTCCTCCAGGGCAGCCATGCGCTCTTTCAGATGGAGCTGCAGTCTCTCATTGGACTCAGTGAGTAGACGATCCACTGTGTCAGACAAACGCTTGTTGTGCTCCTCGTTCATTTTCTCTCTCTGACGAGCCTGGAGAGCATAGAGAGAACAAAAACCAGATGGGGGGTGGGGGTGAGATCATCAAATTTTCTCTTTGAGACAGACTCCATTTGGGTGTATTTAAGCAGCTAATCAAGCATCTCTGCATGGATTAAAGGATGAAGTGTGTATTTAGCCTGAGATCACCAGCTGCCAGATATAGGTCCTCTTGGCCAACAATGGATCTCACAGCCAGAGAGACTTAATTACACTCATTTATGTGCTAATAAAAAGGGTTAAACGCCTTTTCTTAAATGGGGAATTCAGTGTTTAATATGTATTATATTGTAATTACCAAAGTAAATTAACCCAGACACATGAAAACACAAATCTGCATCCTCAGAGAGCATCTTTGACTAAATATAGTCATGCAATGGCAGAGAGAGAGCAAGAAATTAGTCTTGCGTGAATTATTCAGAGTCTAAAGATAGCAGCCAATCAGTCTTATAGAGGGGGGGAGGGGGTGTGTTGCAGAAAGATTTGTGGATTTGGTTCAAATTCATGCAACAATGCATGGAGAAAATGGAGAGCTCTACATAAGTGTGTACGCCTTAAGTGTTCGCATATGTGCGTATGCATGAGGAAGCACATATTTAGTGAACTGTCAAAGCATCCTGCTCATGTGAAATGTCAGCCCACACACTTATACACACACATATACAGTGCATCATTGTGAGAGGTCAGGAAAACCCTGAGGGGCTGGTGTACACACACACACATGCACACACACCCTTCCTAGCTCTTGGTTCTTCTCCTCTAGTTGTGACTCCAGCTGTCTGAGACGCTCCTCCACGTTGCCATGGCGCTCCTCAGCCTGCAGGGGGAGACACTTCCATATCAGTGCAAGTACCTCTGGTTGCAATCACTCTAACTATATTATCAATATATGTGTGTCTGTTTCTCTGTTTTTTTTTTGTGCCTCTTGATGCACTTTCTTTCTGCTCATGTCTGTGGCGTGTGTGTGTGTGATTGCGTTACCTTTGAAAGCGCTGCCACTCTCTGTGCCAGTTCAGCTTCCACCTCTGGCAGCGTCTCAGCCTTCCTCATGGTCTGAGCCAGCCTCTGCTCTGCCATCTCCAGCATCTCCTGCAGCTGGCGCACCTTCTCCTCGCTCTGACACGCAGATGTGCACACACACAAACACACAAATGCGTGCAAAGGATGAAGAGTGACATTATGTGATCTCAAGAGATGTGTAGTCAGTGTTGTGCAACCAGAAAGTAGCAAGGACACGGCACGCTGGCTCAAATGGAGTGAACTGAAGGAATTCCCGGTGTGGAGCTGAACTCACATTCACCCTGAACTGCATATGAACCTATGAGGAGGACATCTCTGTCGCTCACACACCATTCACTAAAATATTCTTCAATACCTTAAATGCATTGTCAGACTTGTCAAAAGCCCAACTGATGTCCTGCTCTCTCTGCTTTATTATGTATGGCACTGTTGAAGCATGAAATATTAAATATCGCAAGAAAAGAAAGAGAGCATCAGAAATAAGTCATCTTGGATCACGACGAACAAGCCATATGCATATATCTGTGTTTTTCAACAACTCCTCGGATTGGAACATCTAAAAACATCGGAGAACAGCAGAATGGTGGCATGAAGCATTCATACAAACTGATACAGGCCTTCAGAGCGTGATATTATGTGGATGATCCTGATCAGACATGGGTAATAATAGAAATGAGTGTATAAGCAGTTTTTTTTTAGGATGTTACCTGTCTGTGCAGTGAGTCTTTGGTGGCCAGTTCATTCTCCAGTTTGTCGTTGAGGTCATGGATGTGTGTGGTCTCCCGCTGAGCGGCCAGGTAACGTTTCTCTAGAGTTGTTATTCTCTCCTCCATGTCCTCTCTCTTTGCGGATAGAGACACAACAACAAAAGGAAAACAATGTGAGAAAAGGTCCCAAAAATGAGCACGGCGATGTGAAAAGACTAATTTGTGCTTTATTTCTGCCTGAATAAACTACAGAGACCCCTTATTGAATTTCCCTTTGGGGTTCAATAAAGTTCTTCTTATCTTTCAATGCAAAATACTGTATATGTGTATATTTAACTTTACTTTGAGCCAGTGTTAGCTGTCTGCTATTTTGTGCATTTTCTATCCAAGAGAGAGAACTACATTTAATGGGTAAAAAACAGAGTTTCTCAAAGGGACAAAATAAAAATACATCAATATTGTACTGATCCGATATTTTTGATTTTTTTTTTAAAATTAATTTTTCTTTTAATACATGGAAGTCTTACTTCTTTTTGCTGTGTGCTAATGTGCAATTTGTTATTTGTTCATAAAAAATATTAAGTAAATTTATATCTGTGTTAATTTGTTATTTGTTGATAAAAAATATTAAGTAAATTTATATCTGTGTTCATTTGTTACCTTTTTTTTTAACAAGGCTAATGTCAAGCCTGATGCCTTCACTCACAGGTATACAGGTCATTCATTCAACAGTAGTATTAGATTCTTATTGATATCAGCCGATACGCTCAGCCCGGGTATCAGTATCAGATTGGATCGAGAAAAAAAAAGGATTGGTGCATCTTTAATTAATATGATCCCAATACTTCCCTTACTGCTCTGAATCTATGGTCCCTGTACTTGTGAAGCTGCAGGATTTTGTACTGAACTGTTCTCGGTGCTTTCTTGGAAAACATCTGCACACTTCCTCTGCTCTCACCTCTCTCTGTTCCCTCTGTTGTTTGATTGACAGCTCCTCGCTGCGGCTCAGCTCTCTCCGTGCGTTCGTGAGCTCAGCTTCCAGCTCGGCCATACGGGCGTTGAGGGTGGCCGTGTGCTCCCGACTCTGCGCCAGCTCCTTGTTGGTCCGATCCAGCAGGTCCTGAAGCTCAGAGGCCCGGCTGCCATCATCATGTGCGTCTATAGAGCCGTTAGGTAGTCTCTGTAAGGAGGACAAACAGAGTGAGCAGATCTCACATGAAACATATGTCGGGAGAGACTCGAAATAACACAGATGAGAGAGTTGTTGTAGCAATAATAAAGTTGGATGACCCAGATAAAAAAAGTGTTCTGCAAAAGAGAGGGAGAGGGGGTTGACTGAGGTTAGGCTGCCATGTTGTTGTTTTGATGTTGTTGCTTTGCTCCTCACAGCTTAAAGTGCAGTTTATTCCAGGGCTTTAATTAAACAAACCTACAGGGACACATATTCAGACAGACAACACAGTGGGCAGCCAAGGTTAGAAGGATTCCCCCCTCCTTTCTTCCTCCCTTATGTTCCACTTTTGCCTTCTCATGAATACCCTCCAGAAATATAAACAGAGACTGAAAAAACACAGCAGGAAATTTGGCTAAATGGTCTGAATCTGTTTCCGAGAACACACCTGGGATTAACCCAGACACATGACCCCAGTTTAGCCTTATAGATTTACTGCAAATGGCACTGCACATCTGACCGACAGAGCAGTCACATAGACTGTATATAGAATGGACGGCGTCTACCTCCTCGCTGGGTGAAGCCACCCCGAGAACAGCACCCTCTGGTGACGGGCTGCAGTATAGATCATAAAACCTGCTTCCTCCAGCAATCTCTATGGAGCTGTAGACAAACTTTAGAAATTTATTACACAGAATATAAATGCTTCTCCCCCTGGTTGCGATGTTGAGTAAGACTGGTTTGTGCTCAAGTCCTCTTTTTTCTGTACATCTCAATCTTTTAAAGTTATTAAGGGGTTCGTGTTTTTTATGATTGACACTTGATACAGCCTATGGGCGTACGAAGATTGTACGAAGAACGCTGTTTGAGCTGAGCGTCATCACAGCGACTCTCCACAACTCTCTCGCTGAATGCGTACAACGCTACCGTGCAATGTTAATTTCAGGAAGTGGAGAAAAATCGTGGAAATACCGAGAGCTTTCGACTTCAAATCCGTATACTGGTGGAGGGCAGAACCAAGTTGTCCTTAGTATATACAGTCTATGAGTGGTCATGAAGAGCGACATGACTTTAAAAGGGTCTTGGTTTGGTTTTATTACAAAAGCAGTAAATCAAAATGTCCGTAAAAGGATGCAACATCATGGGGTTTAGACTGGGACCCCTTTACACTGACATCTCAACCATGTCCTCTCTCCAAAGACTCCTGCTCTGATGTTTTTCTCCTCATCTTTTATCCATCATTCTCTGAGAGGCGTCTTTAGACACATTCTCGTCTCCTCTCAATGCCCGGCTATTGATTTTCTGAGTTAAATCCTTCCCTTTATCAAGTGACTGTACATGATACTTCTTTTAGCTTTTTTTCCCTCCTTTCTTTTTGCAAGCCAAAGAAATAAAAAACCAAAGTGAGTGCATCTCGCTCTGCTCCTCCTCGGCTGTCTGCCCACACAGAGGAAGATGATTTCCATCCAGATACAAACAGACTCTTTTGTTTAATCGAGGGGAGTTTTTTTATACTCCCTGTGGATGGACCCAGACACGGTTACATAATGTGAGCTTGTTTAAGGCCTGGCCTTAAAATATGGAGGACAAGGTTTAAATAGAGAGTGGGAGTTTGTATATTAACAGGAGAAGCTAAGGTTCACGTTACATTTAGCCTCGGGGAGTATATGTGAGTTTGTGTGTGTGTTAAGGTGTCAAAAAAAGGACAGAAATAAGACACACAGACATCAGTTTATAGTCAGAGAGAGGAAACTATGGACAAACAAGAAGCACAGAGCAGAAGAACAATCACACAGTAAGGAAGACCTTCCATGTAGGTTTGGATCCATCTGTTCGCTCCAGTGAGTCACTGTCCTTCCTCTGTCTCACCATGTTTAACTGCAAGAGATTCAAACAGGAAAAAGCTATGCATAACTCAAACATTTACTGTCGTTTTCTGTTCTCATATGAAATCCAAGAACAAAACTCAGCCTCCAAAAGTGAAATGTTGAAGTACAGCTGCCAGTGTGCTTGAGACAACATGATCTCTCGGATAGTTTGTTTTAGATATGTTTTAAAAAAGGAAGACAAGTTTGTGTATGAGTACGCACAAGTGCCTAAATGTGTGTGTGTTGAACAGAGGTTTGTGAGAGTACAGACCCCGATACCCAGCATGACATTTCAAAACATAAATCAGATTAGACTGAAGGCTTTTACATATGTCTGCAAGGTGACGCACACATGTTGAACTTTTCATCAGCCACAAAAACAACAATGAAACGCACACTCTCAGATCTCACCTCTTGCGTGGTAGCAGCTAGCTGTCCCTCCAGGGTGGCAACTCTCTCCAGAGCTACCCGAAGCCTCTCACGTACCTGACAAACACCCAAAGCAGACACACGGAAAGTCAGAGTTCGGGAACATGAGGACAAAAAAGCATTTTGTTTACACTTAAGGCAAAGAGAAATCAACTTAAAACTGAATGACAAAGTAGATCATGATGCATGAATTTCAGCCTAGATCAATTGTTTCTACTGCATGTATTTCAAAGACAAGACCACACCCTTCAGTATTGTGTGTGAGCGTGTTTTGGTGCGTCCACCTTTTCATCCAAAGCTTTGTGGTGTTCAAACAGTGACTTCAGGGCTTTGAGGACCTCCACCTCACTTGAGACTCCAGATGGTGGAGGTGCCTGTCTCTTCACCACTGTCATCCTCAGACTGCGCTCGTGACGAGACACCAGACACTCCAGGTGCTCCAACAGCAGCTACAGCGCACACACACACACACATATGATGACATGAGCCACCAAAGAGAATACTAATTTGAAGCCAAGAAACAGTGTTTATTTTCATCAGCATCATCATCACACACAAACACACACACACAAGCATACCCTAGTGTTGTTCCTTTCAGCTTTCAGCTCCGATATTTCCTCCTCTTTCTCCAGCAGCTGCTCCCGGCATATGTTCAGCTCCTTCGTCAGGGTGGCAAACTCCTACATAACACACACAAAACAAAGGTTAACACTCAACCACCAAACAATATCATAACCTCCACCTTATGTGTTTACACCTCGCAGTCTCAAGGTGCAAACACATGTGGGTGTGGCTGACTGTTCCTTTGCAGTTGTATTTTTGTAGCTGTAAGAGGGATTTTATTTCAGCAGGTGAGGTCCCAGCAGCCATTTGTAAAGGTCAGTTATGGCTGGCTTCTCCCCAAAGGATGCAGTGTGAGTTTCCTCTGTGGGTGTGTGATAAGAGGTGGTCTGAGCAGGTGGAATTGACCAAAACTGCTATCTTATCTACATAGGCACACAACTTAAGGCACGCTTTCCAGCCCACCTCTGTGCCTGTCTCTGGGACTCTGGAGACAATAAATTACAGAGGCATGAGCTTGTCTGAAGGCATTGCAGCCTTTTGGATAAAACAGTGAAAATAAAAAGGTACTAAAGGCTTTGGGATGTCCTGAGACACACCCATAGTGCATGAACATGTTAATCTTTTCATTTTCGGGGTTAAAAGATTGTCATAGCCTATCTTTTGATGGCAGAGACAACATTACAAATTGTTGTAATCACAATGTTATGACTAATTTTACGTCATGTCAAAGAAACAAATAAGATCAAGTCATTTTACTCTTCTGACAACCCTCGAGATGACTAAAAGTCTTCTTATCATCACACAGACAATAGATCATTGATTATTCAGAGTAAATTATTCGCTGTGTGAGAAAAGTGTATTTCACTTGAGAGCAGTTTGCTTTATTGATGTTCATTCCTGACACTCGTTGTTGACAGATGGCTGAGCATCTCACTGATGCTTTTAAGATCTAGCAGCATCTCAGACGTCCTTTATTGCCGCATTTGAAGAAATATTCTGATGAGCAACTTCAAATTGGACCGCAGTGGTTTATGGTTAGTTGGGGTTCAGTCAGTGTGTCAAAATGGTTTTTGAAGCAGTTTTCAGTCATTTTCTACTCAAACAAAGCAAAAGAGACTCAGATGCTATTCAGCTTTTTGTTTATGCTACACCACCAGCGTAGGAGCCTAGGTCCTATTTTGAGTTCATCAATATTTGGATAATTTAAGTTTATGTATTAAAGTATTTTTGTGTTAATTGTGGTAAATTCTAGTTATTTATATTATTTACAGTAAGATAATTCATGTCGATAAGTTCATTTAACGTAAAAATATGGATGGATATTTACAGGTTTAAAAATCGCATAAAGAGTGTTCTATGCGTATTGATATCTGTGAGCATAGTTAACCCGTACGTCAGGCATCATGGAGTGGAGCCACACAGTTTTTTGACCTCACTCGTTCGCTCACTCACTCTCCTCTTATTTTGAATGTTGCGCACTTATATGTTTATATACTCATGCTGTACTAGTTTATTGTTTTGTTTTTGGTTTTAGAAGTAAACTACAAAAACGAATGACAGGATCCTGTGGCGTTCTTTTTAGCTTGCTAAGGCGATTATGAGGGATGAGAGCGTCAATCTCATGGCTCCGTTGTTTAGGGAACCTAAAACCAGTAACTAGGGGTGGGAATTACTAGAGGCCCCGCGATATGATATTATCACAATACTCGGGCCATGATACGATATCATTTAACATTTTACGATACAGTGAGTATTGCGATACAATATGTTGCGATTTATATCATTTTTTCAACTGTTCAGCTAATTTAGCATTTGACTTTCCTTTATGTTTGTCTTACTTATGCTGTATTTTGTTTTAATGTAGCACAACTTGCAAACCTTATATATATATATTTGTTGTACTAACTTTCTCCTGCCCTATGATGTCACCTCTGCCAACCTCATTGGACAAACAGTTGATTTTATTCTTTCCATTATCATAGACTTGACTTCATATTAGTGATTAATTTTAAAAAAACGATACTTGGAAAATGAGACGATACAATATATCACCAGACAAAATATCACGATACTATGCGGTATCCGTTTTTTCTCCCACCCCTACCAGTGACACTAATACAGGAGCAAAACTTTTCTCATCTCTTGGCACATACTGTTTATTGAAGAAGTAAGCTTTATACAAGCTGTAAAAGGATTTTGAGACTAACTGTTTATCTCTAGCTTAAGTGTGAAGACAGAAGCCTGCGGACATGTTTTTAGGATAACAAGAGATGCATTTCTGCGTTTCTCGTAATATTATTCTTTTTCGATAAGCTTATCAAAAGTAAATATATTGGACCCTTAATGTGCCTCTTCTGCTACATATATGACAGTCATTTTTTTTGTACAACAATGGATTTCTGTTTGTACAGTCAAATGTGCCTTCAAGATAGAAATGGCACATTTCACAGCAATACAGACAACCAAACAGCACAGTTTGATGGATTTTTTATGCTCTTTTGAAGCTGTAAAGAGACCGCTCCATTAACTTTAATAGTTTGGGAGAACGCTGTGGTGGAACTGCAACACTATTCTGCTGCGTGTTTGCTTTTAACAGTATATAAACTTTAATGGCTTTTTTTCAACCTAGCAGTTTTTCACATCGGGATGGCCCGGTTCTGTGACAACAGTCAAAGGTCTGTGGAGATGTTAGATCTACTCATCATCCTAACCGACCTATAGCCATTAACAAGATATCATTATAAATACTCATTAAGAGTATTAAAATGATTTCACTGTAAAAAAACAAACAAAAAAAAAACTGATCTGTATCACCCACTCTGCTCAGGAGATGACAATTCTCCATGAGTCCACGCTCATACAAATCATCATCCCACAAGTTGACTCAGATCAGTAGAAAAGTAAAGGCCAGTCCCTGCTTTGGTCCTTTTTGCAATAATAATCTATCTTGCAGTTCTGGGAAGTCCATTTTATCATCCGGGTGTTTTTCTGAACTTCAAGCTTTTACTTAATCCATGTGCAGCTGTTCAAGTAAACAACAGAAAACCAGCAGTGACTCATATGGATTCTGCTTTAGGTTTCTTTTTTAAAATATTTTTTACAGTTCGATCATACTGGAGCAGAGATTGGGCGGATGTTTGTTTACCAAAGTGTGTGCATCTGTGTGTGTATGTGTATATCTGCGTGACAGTCTGTTTGAGTGTGTGCTTGTTGTTTTATCATCTTTGGGTGCTTTGCTGGCATTTTCTGTAAGCATAACCCAGAGGCTTATGCTCTCTCCGCTTGTCTCAGACTTGACACACACACACACACACACACGCACGCACGCACACACGCACGCAGATACATTTTTTAAGTCCTGTTTCTCTCTGCAGCCATGACACAGCACTTTGTTCTCACTCTTCTCCATGAAGACCCCACACTGCGCTCCTTCAAAGTTAAATCCTGTAAATTTTTCATGACGAGAACAAACAATATAAGTGGAGCTTTATATGTGAGGCCTGGTAGAAAATGCTAGCACATCAGTACACCTGTTAACGCACATAACACCTGTTTTAGCCCATAGATGGAGATGGCAGGTATGAGCAGTTTAGGTTGGACTATAAACCTGTGCTGTGAGTTTACTTTCCTCCTGTGTTAGCTTTTACTACGCATCCACCATGTTAAGGGTCGGTTTTGACCCATGTTTTAAATCAGCTGTAAATTACACTACAAACAATTATCTATCTTCCAGTTTGGTTCTCATCTCTAGGTTACCCTGTTAGGCTTCTTTATCCATGAAAATATTGCTTATACTCACACAGACATCCATACTGAACTGATCTCACATGTCTGGACATGCCCAAGGCTGTTTTTTGTGCAGGGAATAACATGGAAAAATGAGAATTTCCTAAATCTCACATGACTGGAAGAGGATCTGACTGTCAGTGTGGTGCCTGAAAGTGCACTTATGGTTTCAGTTTTTGCTTTGATTATTAGATATTGATCTAACCACTTCAACAGCGACCCTTACATGACAAGTGCCATAATTCTATAAGAGCATTTTTTTAATTTAGTCAATTTAATTTTTTTTATTTTATTTAGTTGAAATAAAGGTTCCTGACAAAGTCAAAAAAGTCTCTATGCAAAAAAGCTAATTTATGTGGTTCTTTTAAGCATTTAAAATAAAAAAATGGGTTGGTGCAGACCCTAACACAGGAGCAGGGTTGAAGTCAGTAATACCAGGGTGGAGGAAACTGTGGGGGAGGGCTCTGACACATACATATACTTACACTCTCAGATTCACACAAACTCTTATACAATTATGTCGAATTTTATGCAGGGGGGGATTTTATTGACAGAAAAGGGTGGGGGTGGGGGGGAAATTGGGTCAGCTTGTTCATTTTGCTTTCCTATATTCCACAGGGGCACCAACAGACATGAGCTCAGCCTAAATCCACCAACAGATGTTAAAGTTCGCTGTCTCTTTCAATCATGGCAGAAAAGCTTGACAGACCCCCTCATCCTCTCATCCCTTTGCCTCTCAGGAGCTCTCTGCATCTCTGCTCTACCTGCCTCTTCGCAGCAGAAACAAATGTGAGAAAGATGCTCTGACAAATAACTAAGAATAGATAAAGGCATGAGCACATAAGCTCTGTTAGGAGCATTATATAACAGACAAGTGTGATTTATTAAATATAACACATCACTGTCTTGACAAAAAAAAACTTCTCTTTAATTTCTCTTGAAGGTTTGTGTAATTTCTTCCCTCTGGCAGTTTTTGCTTTTGTTCTCTTCTCTCACACACACGCTGAAAAAACACACATGGTGTTACCGTGCACCATGCAATCCTACCCTCCTTCCCAAAAAACATGTGAGCTTTAAAAATAAAAGAAATAAAAAAAAATCCCGGGATGTGTATTCAACTTCACACAACTGTCAAATACAGAAGCAGCACTCTGACAACACAGCTTCAACATCTGTCGGAGAGCATATCACACGGAGCTGATAGGGTGTCTGGAAGAGCGAGCAGCATTCCTCTGCCTCCAACCACAACGTGAGGCAGTGTGAGCAGTTACCAAACACTGCTGAGCCCAGACATTGTAAAGGGATTTCTCCCCTTCGCTTCCTTAAGCAGTTTGGGATTAGAGGATGAAAAAAATTCCATGTGTGTGTGTGTGAACAGAGTGGCAAGAAGGGAGAGAGATTGGAGTGCAGTCGGGTAAAAAAAAAAAATGTCTCCCACACAAACACGCACACATGCAATCAGAAAAATACATATAAGGTTTGCTGTGAGTGTGTTTATCCCTCTGGACAAGTGTGTGTGTGTGTGTGTGTAGGTGTGTGTTTGTTTGTGTGTGTTTGAGAGAGAGAGGTCAGCACTTTGGAGAGCGGAGCTCCATCACACACCTGAGCTCTTTCTTTTCTCTTGTCCATCAGCTCTCACATGATCCTGCATATTCACATCATCAGTAAACTAGGCGTTTGTGTACTGTTAACCAAAGTACCTTCCTGTTTGTTATTTCTCTTCAAAAGTGCATCAGAAGAAGTAACAGTTTGACTATTCTGAGGACCTGAGTTTGGATCTTCTCAAATTCAACTCCAAATGAGCCCAGATATCAAACAATAAATAATGGACCACTTTACAATACTTTGTGTGTAGTCATACTTCAATTTGGACCCATTTTTGGAGACGTGCGGTTGTTCCCGACATGTTTATCTGCTTGTTTGTGACAGACTGTGTTGTGCGCTAAGGCTCATCTCTTTCCTCTCAAAAATGCATCAATCTCTATCAAATTACTCATCAAATAAAGCTTTTTTTTTTAAACAACTAGATAAAAAGACTGCATCAGAAACAATCGCTATAAAAAGTTAGTTCTGTAAGTCGATGAAAACTGAGTGAAGTATTCCTTAAAATACAAAAATATTGTTCACACAGCCCACTCCAATCCAAAGCTCCTGTAAGAATATCTGATTTGCATTAATTTTGACACCCTTTGTGCAGTCCAAAAGTTTGATCTGGTCTAACTCTGTTAGCCGATGCTAAATAGTCAATTACAGTCCCACTCAGAGTGAATTCTTCACTACCAGGAGAGTCAAAGCAACACGTGCCCACCCTCTTGTCTAAAGTAGTGCTAAAAAATGTCAAACTAGGTGGTGACATAACATTTACCTTTGTTGTACTGTCAATGCCTGCATCAAACTGCTGGGTGATAGTACAGTCCTGTGCTAATTTTGGTGTTTGCACAATATCTTCACTTTTAAAGTTTAAACTGCTGTTTTTCTAGTCAGGCAGTCTTTTGTGCTTTAAATACACAGTTTACTTTTTTCACTCCCTTTCCACAGAATTGCTATCATTACTGCTCTCACAACTTGTAGTTCAACTCTGACTAAAACAGATTAAGTCCACAGTTTGTCCTCAGCAGGTTGCTGAAGGTCGTTTGGGTAGAAAACTGGAAGTGATTTACACAAGTAGCTAAAGAAAAAGCAAGCTGAGTGCACACACTTCAATATCACTACCCTCCATCTGGAGGCAACACCAAGGTTGTACCAAAGAGTACAGGTATATGTAAAAATAATGCCTGTACAATATAAATGCACAGAGAAACAAATTACCTCTATATTATCTGCTATGTGTGAGAAGAGTAATGAGACAGCACACTGAGGCCAAAAAGGGGATAAATTGATGTCAGCCAAAGCTCAAGAACATTAATATAAAGCACTGTTTCTGGTTCAGTGACTAAGTTTGTGCCTAAGCAGGGAAAAACAGACAATAAACATAGAATTGAACACATTCAAACACCTCAAAATGTGTTAACCCGGAGATGCTCATGATCAAAGAAACACTGTGATCTTACACATCCCTCCATGAGGATGTTTGTACATTGAGATCTCTTTGGTCAGATACTCAAAAGTGTATAGCATGCAATGCTGACCTGAAAGGGCTTCACTTAGGCTCAGTGAATGTTTTTTTTGTTTGTGTTGTTTCTGTTTGTGTTTCAGAAAGTTCCCACCAAAGAGGAAAAAGCAGGGACAGTTCCTCAACTTGTGGTGTCCCTAGATCAGCCCCATACTGTAAGCTGTAATGTGATGAAGAAGAGAAAAGATACTCTTGTTGCCAAGCCTCCTGTCCAAACAAAAACTGAATTTCTCTATATCACAAAAATACTATTTTACAAAAAGCAAAGGAAAGCAAAGGAACTAGTCAAACTGTCAAACTAATGAGCCCTTTGAAATTAATAGCAGGAAAGTAGAGTTTGAGTGTCTCAAAATGACTTTGGTTTTTGTTGGTCTATGGCCAATGCATTCTGCCTCCTCAGGATAAAAACATGTCACCTGTGAGCCTGACCACATCTTCTCAGCTTTAGACCAACAGACTCAATAGGCGTAGCATTGGTGATATCAGCCATTTGTCTATGAAGCAGTGTTTCCACACACAACATTGCCTTTTAAATGGGGCTGTCAGCAAGATGATTTTCGCTTTAAAAACAGGCTTTTTTTGTCTATGTGTGTACACAGTTTCCAGTGCTTCTCCAGCCAGCCTTAAACGGTTACTTGGGACACTGCAGTTTTTAGCACTTTTGCGTCTCAATTCTCAAGTGGCAAGTAGCATCCTCTGGTCTTGAGTCATGACCAGAGGATGCTACTTCCCGCTAATGTAGGTGCCAGAACATTTGATATGAACACAACAAGAGTGGTGATAAGAGAAGAGCACTGACACTTGCACTTCAAGACAATGACTCGGAATAACACAGAGTTTGCGAGCAAAGAAATGAGTTATTTAGATAAAAGCATGGTTGGTTTTTTAATTTTTTTTAATCAGATTTATTAAATGAATCAACATGATTCATTTTGCTGTGAAAGTAGTCACTTTAACATGGGTGCTAATTAGGGGTGTCCCGATACAACTTCTTTACTTGGTCGACCTTGGTATTGATACCGATATTGTAGCCTTCAGTTTTGGCCGATACCAATATTGATCTGATGCTAGCACAAACTTGTGCATGACGAGTGACTCAGCTGCAACAACTTTTTCAGACTTTAGTATTTTTCAGAAAATACTGCCAAACGGCTGACATCACTCCACTCCTTGATTTCAGATGCAGGCCGATATAATTTGATATTGGACCTATTTCCAATATCAATATCGGATCGGGACACCCATAGTGTTAATAGGTCTCCCTAACAGGGCTCAGGGCTGACTTCGCACATAATGTGTTTCCAAATTCGTAAATACAGATGAGTTGGGAGTTTTGCATATTGACTCTTTCCTTAGTATGTATGCACAAATAAAAGTCATAGATCCAATAGGAGTACATCAGTCAAAGAGTCTGGACTGAAAACTGAAGTAAAGCTCAAAAATCTTTAAAAAAAAAAGTTGTGTTATAAATACAAACCAGCTACCAATTTAGACAGTAGGCATGATTGTATGGGAATTTTGTTCTGTAGAGTAAATGCAAGCTAAGAATCACTGAACACAAGAGGGTGAAACAGCAAACCTACAGATATGACCATAGGCTGTGCAGAAGCAGAGACTAGGGAGTCACCTCATCAGTGATCGTTTATAATGACTGAGCTTCTTCCACTCTGCGCGCTCCAAAAGACACTAAATTAACTCTGATGTAAATCGCCGTAATTCACTTAGGAGTGCCACGCTGGAAATGAATGCAGAGTCTGGGACCAGAGAATGAGTGAGTCCCTGGGGAGACTCAGATATCAGCGCTCTGTAACTCTTCACCACTGCATAGAGGGGGGATGAACAGCAGGGAGAGGTGGACTCGACCTTCCTCTGACAATCTTTGTCAACACACACACACACACACACACACACACACACACACACACACACACACACACACACACACACACACACACACACACACACACACACACACACTAGCACTGCAACAACACCTTGCCTAGGTGTTGTTCCCAAGTAGATAATGAGTAATATTTTGCCATGGCAACACCATGCATGTTGTGGCAGTTGCCCAGGCAACACTTTCATCAGGGAAGAAAAGTTTTTGAGGGAGGTACAAAATCTGCATGAACATCTGATCAGAAATGCGCTCTCTGATGCACGTGTACGTTTCCGAAGCGAACAAGATATGCGACAAGGTCACTTTTTAATGTTCCTTCAAAGCTGAGGCAGCAAAGTACAGCATCAGCGCGATCATTTAGATTCATGAGAAGATCGGAAGCCCACTGGAGATAATGCCAGAAAGGTCAAACTGATCAAGGTCTCATGCTGAAATGTGTAGCAATTTGTACTGAAGTCTACACGACCATGTCATTACAATAAAGTTGTTTGAAAAGAGAGTACCTCGAAGATTTTCCTATTTCTTGTCCAGACTCCATTTATCCAAAGACCTACATATGTTTGAGTCCAGGAAGTGTCTCTTCAAGGTTTTTTTAATTTTTATTTTGATGCCAAGATTCATTGAGATGTCAGCTCTGGACTCATTCCTGGAACACTTCATACACAACAGGAAGAACATTTTTGGTGTAGAAATTCAGAATCAATCTGAAAAGGGAAATGTTATATTCCAAAATCAGCGGCCTCCCATGATGTTTTTATCACTCTTTAGAAATTCAAATGAACTTAACTGTAAACAAGGACAAAAGCTCTTCAAAAGTATCACTATCCTCAAGTCATTTAAAGCACCTGTGAGAAGTTTTTCCTCAGTTATAAAACACTCAAAATGCCTTCACATAACCTACTATGCAAACAAGAACACCAGCAAAAAAATAAAATTATGATTTTAATGCGTTAAACCACGGCAACCAGGTAGATAACATGTGAAGTAGGCTACAGCACACAGCGGAGATGGCCTTTGTTTTCCCTTTTCCACCACAAAGTTTCAAAGAGAATAGCTGTTCTCACACAGGCACCAAAATTTTGGGATGGGCTGCATGTGTGAACATGTCAGATTTTCCATGATTTTTAACCACCAGCTCACAGGTAAAATTCCAGAAAGACGTCAAAATGAGCCAATGTGTAAAAACATAAGGTAATAGGGGAGTATAGCTGTACTATAGCGAGTGGATGGAAATAATGCTGATAAAGGCATCACTGGTTTTGATCCTCTTGTGAAGACTGAAGCTACTTTATACATTTTTGTGCTTATCAGCAGCACTGATAAAAATGCAAAAAAGTTAGAATCTAACAGATTCAACAGTGTCGGATCTTTTAATGTCATGCCCTACCCCCTGAAACCCCCAAATCAACACCTCTATCAGAAAAGTTTGCTGGATAAAGGATGTGTGACAGAGCAACAGGCTAGTAATGGGTTCGACTGTTGGAAACCAGCACAGTAAACATTTTTTGGCAAAAAAAAAAAAAAAAACGAAACAAAAACAAAACTACCACACGTGCAGGCCAAGATTGGCAATTATGTCCTGTTTTGTCCCCAGGGGGTGCCAGAATCCACATAGACAAATATATTTCACAGGGCCTAAATTCTCCAGTTAAAGACTAAAAAGTTTATCCACACAGCAAAGTTTTTCCCGCTATTGAACTGTGCATATCTGACACGCCATCTCTTTTTTGTGAAACATCTCTTGTTACGGCTCATCAAACAAAGGTGCCAAACCCGTGCAAGATTCCTAACATCCCCTGTCTCTGTGCTCTTTAAAGGCCTTCGCCTAAAATAGCATCCATTCATGCATCAAAGTATTCTTTATTAAAGCAAAACAAAACCGACAGCGGCACAGAGAGAGACGAAGAAGAAGAAGAAGAAGAAGAAGAAGAAGAAGAAGAAGAAGAAGAAGAAGAAGAAGAAGAAGAAGAAGAAGAAGAAGAAGAAGAAGAAGAAGAAGAAGAAGAAGAAGAAGAAGAAGAAGAAGAGGGAAAGTAAGGGAGTATAAGGGAGAATATTTCTGCAGCTAGGATAAGAGGACAAACATAAAGAGATTTTGCCATGCATCAGTTGATGCTGTCTCTTGCATGCTTACTGTTATAAACATACCCCAAGACATGCGCATGCAGCAGTAAGAGAGAATCCTCAATCAGTGCATGTCAGATCCTCATCTCTTCATATTTGCTTGAACTAATGGGTGTTTGAACATCCGACTTGACCAGTGGACAGCTTTAGTGGAAGATTTGTGGCTACAGTTTTTTAACCAATATGAAGTCAATGCACATTAATCATTCTTCGCAGTTTGATTGAGGTTTGGCAGAAGGAGGAGAAGGGGAAGAGTAGGTGGAGAAGGAGGAGAGGAGGCCATTTCTCAGTCCTAGAAAAGAGTCATCAGCACTGAAATCAATACTGAGGCAAGGACACGTGGAGAACAGAGAGGGAGAGAAAGAGGGAGAGAGATATTTGAGCCGGAGACAGTAACATCCGCACACTGTACTGCCGCTGAGTCCCTACCTGGTACATGTAGGTGTTAAAGTGGGTCCCATTCTGAAGGTGGATCTTCACTGTTGGGTTCATGGTGAAGACTATACATATCAAATCCCTCAAACAGACCCCCCATACAAAAAGAGAGAGACAGGGTAGGAAGAAGGAGATAAAAAAAGGAGGTCTTGTTTCCTCCGAGTGTGGTAGAGATTCCTGTGCTGCTCCCTCTGCCCTCCGCTGGGACACACAGCACTTTGCTAGTCAGCCTGTTCTAACTACAGCCAGGGACAAGAGACAGCGAGGATGAGGAGGAGCAAGAGAGAAAGAGAAAGTAGGAAGAGGGATAAACAAGGAAAGGCAGAAAATAGGGGGGAGAGAGCAGGGATGGAGGGATGATTTTGATCAGAGGGAACAGGAGAATGAGACAAAATGATGAGGATGCAGAGAGGAGGAGGAAGAGGAGACAGCCGGGTCAGCTGATGGAGGAAAGAAGAGGCAGGGTTAACACAAAGACTGCCAGGGGCTAACACCACCTGTTCTCTACTCTTGCTCACACGCGCACGCACACACACGCGCGCGCAGACACACACACATACACATAGGTAAACAGAAGTTAAAGCACTCAGCAGGAGTCTTTAAGTTCCATTTGGAACTAATGCCAAGAATTAGCATGAAATTAAACGCTCTATTTCCTCCTAATAAGAACTCCAGTCACTGCTTACTCAACACTATTTCAAGAGACCCATTTTCCTGCAGCGTGACATTGTGCGTGCTGATTCTTTCTATTTATAAATGGGAGCCTGGTTTGTCCCTCCTCTCTCAGCAGGATTTCACAGTGCATGCACTTGACTGGAGTCTCAATGCTTCTGTACACAGAAGAATAGAAAGTGTAATTTATTTTTGTTGTTGGTATTATCTGCACAGCAATGGATGTCATTTGACTCTTCATTTTTAACCTACGGTTGGTGTGAAGCCACACTCAAGCTTTGCCACAAATCTGAAGAGCAGCTGAATGAAATAAAGACAACACTACTAATTTGATCCGCCTCTACGTTAGGCGGTCACTTTTGAATTTGTTAAATCTGTACAAACAAATAAATTACCATAAAAAATATTTACTTTGTCACAAAACTTTCATTAATGAATAGTATAACAGTGCAGTTAAAGTATAGATTTTAGCCTAGCTGCACTGTTAAAACATTTCTGGTGAGCTTGCTGATAGAGGGTCTCTTTTAGCTTGGTCGTTAACCTCGAGTCTGTGCACTCATATTGACACAAGAACTCATCCCTTTATAAATAACTTATTGTTCAAATAATGATATTGAAGCTTTGTGTATAGCACTCAATCAGAAATAACATCACAGAGTACTTAATAAAACAGAAATGTATTCATAATAAGAGCAGGAAGACAAAATCTAGAGCACCCGACTTGGTACAGACAACTTGTTTACTTAATTTTTAGATGAATAATTACTGATTTAACTTCTTTAAAGATGCACCAAAGCTGGTGAGTCAGCCATGTTGAAATGCCTTCTTGATCTTTAAATAATGTGCAGTCTAATGTGGGATTGGTCTTGATGCAAGACAACCATGATCTTAAGATTACCTCATTTTTTAATCTTTTTTGGGGAAAAATGTTTTTTTTAATTTTTATAGAGAAAACAATTTAGTTAAAAAATATATGGAAGGAACACACTGATTATAAGTTTGCCATTTGTTTTACATCTTACACCTCCAACATCTTTAAGACAGAATTGATTTTTTGGAAAAAAAAAAAAATTGGTGAAAGTGTAACATTTAAATGAAAAGGTAACTATGTGTGCATGCAGACCATGTAGCACCTATATTTACAGTGAAAACCATGAAATGCAATGGGTATTGATGCTTTCCTCATTTCAGATGCTAGCTTTAAAACTGTGGACTGATAACAAGCCAAAATGTCCTTCTCTTCTTTTGAGTGTAGGACCAATTATTGTGGTTAAATAAACCTGTTAATTTAATCACATTAGTTGGGACATGTTCCTTCAGGTGATTTTTAGCATTTCTCGACTTTTTCACACTTGTCCCTGTTCCATCTTTTTTGAATATGTTGCTGGCATTTAATTGTTTAGTTTTCAAAACAAACAAACAGATGAAAAAAACAATTAACTCGGCAGTTTCAACATTTGATATGTTTTTTTTTTGTACCATTGTTAATCAAATATTGTGTGGAAATAATTTGCTTATCATCAAAATCTGTTGTTCTCTGATCCAACGATTGGGTTCCCAGATGTAACTCTGCATTTCTCTCCTGACTTTATGTTATTGATCCTCACCCCTCTGTTTCTGGGCTCAACCACTAACGTGACTCTCACTCACAGATTGTTCGGCTCTATATGCAGTCAGCAGGAGACATGTTGAAATGTAACATCATACAGGGAGTGGCAGTGCAACAATGTAGAGAAAAGCAAATGGCTCACGTCTGTATGCTGTCACCTGGTTGTCAAGGAAACAGGATTTACAGGAGAGACAGAGCTGTTACAGGAATCAGTGAGACAGACAGAAAGTTCTCGACACATTAAAAATGATTTAGATACTAGAGTAGTGGGGACTTCTGCTGTGAGACAAAAGCAGCCCAGAGAAGCCTCAGAGTTAACATCCAGAGAGGATAAAACACACTGGTCACTGCTGTCATCTGAGTAAATGGTTAGACTGAGACCCCTACTGGCAGCATGATGTATTACATCAAATAGTGCAAAACAAAGTGAGAGTTTAACAGGCTGAAAACGAGCCTTAAAGTATGATGCACCAGTTCACAGTATCCAGAGGTTGTCCAAAATGTATTTTACAGATTTTACTTGTAGACATTTAGGGCCATGAAAAAAGTGTTAAACAGACTGGTAAGATCTGTTTACAGTGATCAGCAGGAGCCAGTAGTATCAGGCAGGGGCCAGGATTTACTATCTGAGACAATGAACACACAAACACCAAAAAGACGCCACAAAGCGCACATGCACAACACCATGAAACATCACTAAAATCCTGACAAAGTCAAAGCAACATTTACTGCAGCAGAATTCACAAAAGTCAAAAGCCTGTGTGTTTTTATCTGACAGCCACTTTTCTCCTCTCCCTTTGTCTCCGCATGCTACAGCCTAACTACTCTTAATGACTTCTTTCACACTCTATCCACTTCTGCCTCTCTCTCTCTCTCATCCTTTTTTCTCCCCCCCTCCTTTTTTCCTCTTCCTCTCTCTTCTCATCTTTTTCTCAAGCGTTGCTAATCTCAGCTGAACCTTCCCTCGACGGAGAGCAGCCATTTTACATCATAGCATAACATGGAGCAGAGGGCACCCCCCCATCCCACCATCTCGACTGTCACATTTGGTACACAAACACTGCTAAATCCACACATACACACTCAGTATTTTGAGTGCAGTAAAGAGGGCGATGCCAGGAAACCTAATCTGAAGTACAAACAACATGTTAATGAAAACAGTTGTTTCCTCCATAAGTCAAATTGAATTGGTTTCTGTTTTAAAAATACCATACACATAAAAGAATACAACAAATGAAATTATTACTTACAAGACTTTTTATTCAATATTATTTTTGGTATTTTGTTAGGACAGCTGAAGAGAGTTTTTTGTTAGGACAGCTGAAGTGTGGTGAGGAGTGAGCAGGGCAGACATGCATGGAGGGGCAAAGGCCAGGAGTCAAACAAGCAGCTGGTGCGCTGAGGACTGAAGCCTCTGTACTGTATCTGGGGAACCTGCCCCACCAGCTGAGCAAAACTGATCGTACAGAATCCCTTTATATAACTACACTGATCTCTCTGTTTATTTTGCCAGAGTATGGGAAGCAGGTTTTGATTCCAAAGATTTCAGGGGAACTGTGTTGTAAACAGACTGATATCCTTCATTAAGAAATGCTCCTAGGATTGTTGCTCACATGAGCAAAGTTGCTCAGTAGCTCAATCTTTGATAGGAAGCACTATACTACAGAACATCAGCAGAACCCAGGATATGACAGGCTTGTTCATCTTTGGATTTTGTTGAATGCTGGTTGAACCAGATCAAAACATTTTTGTTTTTACTCTCACTGACCTAGAAAAGCCTGAAATCTCTCATTTGAGCAGCTGAAAACTGCTTTTTTTTTTTTTTTTAGCATTTATGCTTGATAAGGTTGAGGAACCTGTTAGCAAGTCTTACAACAAAAGCTTAAAGGGATATTCTGGTGTAAAATTAAGTTAGGGTCAAATACACAGTTACATCCAATTAGACACACCGTCGAGAGATGAATGTTGCCGACCACTTGCTTCTCTAGTTATACCAACTTTAGTAACGACCGCAGATAGCAATACAGAGAGCCATGCGCTCAACCAAAAAGCCACTCTATAGCCACAAATAATGCTCAGAAAGCTTACAAATAAGGTCCCAGCCACAGCATTAGCCACCAAACATCTTTTTAGCTTTGCCTAATTTCATTAGTGAAGAGACTAAACACAACTCACCCACTCTCTTCCAGCAGCCGCTTGTTTGTACGAAGGCCTCCAGGTGAGTCCATCGACTGCAGCGGGGTGACGCAGCTCAAGGACAAACATTCATGATCATTACTTTATCATTTCCTTTAAGTAAAAATCATCATATCAATCATTTTCCACTGCAGACGTGATAGTTCTTCTGCCTTCGCGTCTCTGTCTCATTGCATTTCCATGAAGAAAGAGTGGCTTTTTGGTTGAGTGCGTGGCTCTCTGTATTGCTATCGTGCGGTCGTTACTAAAGCTGGTAAAACTAGAGAAGCAAGCGGTTGGCATCAATTATCTCTCGATGGGGTGTCTCACTCAGTTTTACGGAACGTTTGACCCTAATTTAATTTTACGCCAAAATATCCCTTTAAATAACAATCCTATGCAAGCATATATATGAGGCTCACTATCATAAGTAAAGGCATTAGCACCACAGGGATGTGTATTTGGTCCCTAGACAAGGTAGGAACAAATTTTAAACAACCCACATATCAGAAAGACATTTCATTAAAAAATGAAATATTAATAGCGAGAGGCAGATTCAGAAGGTCACTAGACTTTTCAGTCTTTGTAGGTATGTGAAGTCATAACTTTTTGAGTTAGCCTGCAAGGCAAAATCCAGGGGAAAATAATGTACATTTGTACTTCAGAGCAGACAGAGTAAAACTAGGAAATTAGGCCTTCATGCTGAAAATATATCATGTATCATGTATCTGTCCTTCGAGGTCAACTCCTTCCTCATCTCCTCATCCTCTTGATCCTCCTTGTACTCCTGTTCTCTTTGTTGTTTTTTTTCTGTCTCCTTTGTCACCTCCTCCCTCCTGGCCCTCCTGTTTAAAGGACCTGTGTCAGCTCTGTCTCTCTCTCCTGCTTCCTCTATCTTTATTTGTGTCCTCATCCAGCTCCTATACAGCCCAAAAGGAGGTTTATGGCGGCCACATCACAGCAGTTACTGTGTGTGCTCATATTTGAGTCTGCATGCGGCTTAAAACTAGTGGTTTCCCTCCCTCTCTATGTAAATATATACAGCTCTTTCAACTTCATCAAAAATATGTTAATCATGAGATGTTTACTCCAAAGAAAGAGTTTAAGTCTACATAAAAACACAGCTTAACCAAATTCTGTTCTGGTCAAGTCTTACTGATAACACCCCTGCTATAAACAAAAGCAATGCTTCCTTTACCAAAAACACACAAACTAACACACATATTCTCCAGAGTCCACACAAACACACACACACACACACACACACACACACACACACACTCGGTCCGTCCCAGCTGCTCTGCTTTGCAGATGAAAGTGTATCGTGTTTCTGGAGGAAAGCAGAAGATGAATCAAACACGGCAGCATTAATATTAATCTACATACTCTGAGTAAATAAACTGCTCTGAGGGTACATCCAGCATAATTTTCAATAATCTCTTCTCTTCCCAATCCTTCCTGGAGCTAAAAACGGCTGAGAGTAATGAGGAGCTGAGGTGTTAGGCGTGTGTGTGTGTGTGCTGAGATTGGGAACGCTGCTCTTGCCCTTCACAGAGTGCAAACTGCAGTGGCAGGATGTAACTCTACACCACAGTGTGTGAGAGTGTGTAAGTGTGTGTATCTACAGTAGGTCTACAGTAACTGTAATGACAGAGACACAACAGGCAGGTCTGACTGTGCCTAAAGGTGAGGCGTCCCACTGCTGTCCTGTCCTTCAAACTGCCCTTCTTCAGCTGAAAACACATGGAAAACAACATGCAGTGTGGGACTGAGTGCAGGAAAAATGTTCCCTGTGTTATCCATAAGAAAACTTTCTGAACTCTGCAGAATTTCAATGCAACAGAGGACAAGTCTCCATACAGAAGCTGTTCAGAAAAAGACATAATATTGAAACAAAGAACTTAACAATCATATGCATCATAAAAGGGCCTGCATAAAAAAGATGAACCTGTAACACAAAAATTTAAACTGGAGACATAACACTTAAGAACATCTATGTCTTTTTGTCTCTTCATTAAATCATGAGTGGGTCTTTCTCAAGGCAGCAAGAAAAACAAATCCACTCTGGGGGACAGGATGTGGAGGCACAAATAAATCAAACTTTTCTTTTCTTTTGTAAAGAGAATTGAAAACCAGTTGTTATAGATTTCCTCTGGAGTTGCTGGGATAACATGTTGGTGAGAATGGGATGGATGTGAATTCACAAGGACTCTGACCTTTAAACACCAAAACTGATGAGTCCAAGGACATGTGTAGATGAAGATATACTGTACCTTCCAGGCACTGCTGTGGTATTACATTCACAAGACTGAGACCCTGTTAATGGTCAGAAAGGCGTTTATCAAAGACATCATGATGTCATGGGGAAGTTGACCTTTGACCCCTCAGAAAAAAAAAATCCATCTTTTTATCATTTCATCATCCTTCCAGATATTTGAAATTGATTCGTCCATATTTGTTTGTTTGTTGATCTTGACCTCTGACCACCTACACAGCTCATCTTTGAGTCCAAGCAACATTTGTGCCATTATTAAAGACATCACCTTCAGGGGCTTCTGGGATTTCACCTCCCAAAGAAATAGAGAGAGAGAGCGGAAAATGGATGGGCAACCATAGATCGTTGGGCATCATCCACAATCCTCCCTTTAAAAAATAGTTGTCATAATTTTTTCGGGAACAAACTGAAAAAAAAAAGATAAAATAAGATACTGATGCTCAAATGCATTAGGAAATGCTTCCTTTACACTACTCTGGCCAGACATTGTTCTCTTTTACCTCCATCTTTGTAGTTCATACATCCTAACTGGGCTACAAGTGGACTGCATTCCTCATGGACCGTGCAAGGCTCATAGTTTATGCTCTAAAACTGACCTTGAAACAACATTTACATCATCTTTATCCAGAAAATGAGTAAAATGTGCATTTAATTATACATTTAATTGTATCTAACATCCATTACGCCCATGTAGTCCTCTGAGATTATCTTTAACATAGAGTTAATATAAAAATATAAGTATCAAGTTTTTCAAAGGCAGAAAAATACGATCTGTTGATCTTTTGTCAAAACCCAGGGAGAAAAAGAAAGATTTAAAACCAATACTGGTGAGAAAAAACAAGCCTATACACAACAAATGTAACTTTTTCGTTAGAAAGGAAGCTAAGTTAGTTAGTTAGTTCACTACTGGAATTAAAAAAGTAAGGAGATCTAAAAGTAGACAAATTAGACTTAGAAGAGTAAAAACTGTGCATATTAAGCTGTGTTTTTAAAGATAAAAGGGGAATAAATGATTCAGTGATTAAAGCATAGAACCTTAATCTGCACAATTAATCAAAAAATGTTGTTTACCGAACAGCAACTGCTGTATTTTACACTGAAGTATCACCACATTTTTAAAGAAGGCACACATTTCTTCGAAAACTATGAAGGAATTTCACAAATGTTTCCTTAAAAGGTTTCCTTTCTCTGGAAAAACCTTATTTCCCCTCCTTATACCTGCTCATCCGGTCATAAAGGCCTAGTCTGGTACAGCTGGTTAGCCTTTGGTGCTATATAACCTGTATGACCCCATTTCTTTCTGTGTTTGAATTCATGTCCAGCCATCTGCCCACAGCAACTTTATCACTCATTGATTCTTCTGAGGGTTCTCCCTTATTTTAAATCCTCTCCCAGACAGTGAAACTTAATATAAAACTGCTCATTCACCACTGTAGCCTCTGGGAGTGTCAGAGTATGATGGTGGTGGGAGGAGAAAAGAGCCAGTGAGACAGAGAGAGGAGCACTGAGAAATGTGAGCACGAAGAGACCTTTTCTCACACAGGATCCTAAAATATTCAACTTTTTTATTACGCATACCTACACACACGCAGAAATGACGCACTGGTCACTTTCTCCAGGGTTGGATATTTATATATTCAGATGCACATAATCAAACAATAAAGTAGGTTTTAATATTGAGATACAAGCTTTTTTTCTAGCAATATGTGAATCATAAGGGACCTTACACGAGTATTAAAAAAGTTGCACTCAACAAAAAGTAGCATCACAAACACAAACACACATATGTCTGCAATCAAACTTGTTAGAATTAGAATAAGACAGCAAAAAAACCTCAAAATTTCTGAGTTAAACGGTTTGTAACTAAGGTGATGTTTGCAACTGATTAGTTCTGGACATGACAAGGCGCGGCCCTAGAAGCATGACCACACACACGTGCACGTACACACAAGCTTACACATGTACACAAAGGCAGGTCACAGCTCTAAAGAAACGATTTCGTTCAATCTGGTCTGTACTATGGTGGTCATGGTATGGAGAATTGCAGCCTCGTGTGTGTTTCTGTGTGTGTGTGTGTGAGTGTGTGTGTGTGTGTGTGTGTGTGTGTGTGTGTGTGTGTGTGTATTCATCCCAAGGCCAGGGATGATTTATTTATAAAATGTGATTTTTCTTTTAACTGGAGCTTTCCATCTTTGTAACTTGGACTTGCACACTTATTTACTGGCTTGCACACACACAAACACACACACACACACACACACACATACACACACACACACACACACACACACACACACACACACACACACACACACACACACATGCATGAATGCAGCGGATGCTCTCAATCCTCCTCTGCTGTTGCACTGCTGTACAGTATTTGCTCTACCCAGAAATGAATTTGTTTATTTTGGGATATGAGGATTTAAATCCTGTGTGTGTGTGTGTGTGTGTGTGTGTGTGTAATATGCACATGGTTGGGGGGGAATGAGATCATTTGTTGTTTGTGTGTTTGTGCCTAAATTATGTCTGTTAGGTTGAAAAGTGTGTGTTTAATCCCTTTCAAAGTACCATTCCCTCTCTTTATGACTCATACAGAGGCTGCTCATTTTCACAGATAATACAGGCACTTTATTAACTTAAGGTGTGTGTGTGTCTGTGTGTGCTTTCTCATATATTTTTAAACTAAAATTAAGCTGCATGATTGTGTGTTTAAAATTGCTGCATGTATTGTGACGTCTTCATGTTCAGCTTTCATGCAGTGCATTCTTCAAGCATGGAGTGTAGAAAAAAAATAAAAGAGAAATATTTGTGTGAGTGGGTGTGGCACCGAGTACGTGAGTGACTTCTTCGCCGCTACTTGTGTTTTACTTTGTGTTCCTGTGTGTGTGTCTGTGTGAAGTAGAGCCAGTCACACAGAGTGACTGAGTGAGCTCATCTGTTCTGGGGCTCTATAAATATTGTAGATGCGATGTGCCTGCAGTGAACCTTTTTCAGCAAGCTACTGTATGATGTCATCCTGGCACACCTCTACTTAAACACACACATGCACGCACACACACACATCTGTGCTGCCAAGATCCAAATTCCATGGCAACTCTGGGGTGTGGTCGGGATGCAGAGCCAACAGCTGTTTAATGAATCCAACAGCTCACATGTTCCCATCTGTAAACTTGTATATTTCCCTCCATTTCCCCGTGTTATGTACCTGATTGACTGTTGTCGCCTTCACAAATTGGCACCAGAATAACTTGTCGATTGGTGTTTATTTCTGTAGGTCTGAAATGAAGTTGTGTCTAAGTGTCTAAGTTGTTGCACAAAGTTAGTTTTGCCCTTCTATAAATGGCTGCTGCCACAATGCTACAATGTTCTACCACCTGGATGACCACGGCATTAGTTGTATTTAAGCCGTGCCAGCTTCTGCATGTATATTTACCTGACCAGCACAAGCATGAGGGCATTCACCTGAAAAAACTAAAAAGTGTGGTGGTGTTAGCTTGTCTAATTTTTGCAACACTCTGAAAATCATCATGTCACCTTTTTTTGCGATGTGCGATAACAGCCATCTATTGCTCAGTGGGATATATGCTGATGATCTTGTTTGCTTTTTCAACCTTTAAAGAGAAATTAATTTTCATTTCTGTTTCTCACATTACAAGATAAAAGTTCTGTTCTGACTTCTGCGATGAGTTTTCTTATGTGATATTAAATCTATTTATTTTTTTTATTTGTTTCGGATCATTAAGGAAAAACAGGATATCAAAATAACAAACTGTCTTATTAATCATACTGTTTTCCAGTAAATGGTAAATGGTCACCTTAGACATTAGGAAACAGAAATCCGTAAAAGAAACCGTTTTAAATGAAAGTTTTGTGTCTGGTCATACATTATGCAGTGTTTTCTTTCATGGTTTTCTCATGTTTCCTGTTATCTCTCTCCTATTCCTCCAGAATTATTTTTAGCAGTAATTATATTTAGCTTAATCCTCTGTAGTACTTTTCCCCGAATCCTTTTTTTTGCCACCACTTCCAGTCAGCAGGCGTTGGGAGCTATTTCACAATTTCACAGTAAAAACAGGTCTGTCAATCAAAGAAACTCAACATTAGTCCACGATTAAAACTAAAACATGAAGAGAGCACTGTTTGTATAGAAAGGCAGGAATCAGGCAACCTCAGGGAAAAGACAAAAATTGTCACTGACAAGTCTAGCTGAGCTAACTGTTGTACCTCTGTACTCAGATCTGACTCGTTTTTTGGGGAGGATTATGAGACTCCTTTCCAATTTTCATTTTTTTAATCTGCCCAGCCTTGGGTGAGGTGACAGAAAAAAACAGAGCAAACATGCAGAACATCAGGTACTGTTTCTTTAGTTACATCTCACTGTTTGTTCTCTCCTGCTCCATCACTGCTTTTATCCTCTGTCCCATTGAACAGAACAGGGGATTCCTCCTCACAGTCCTGCAGCCAGACCCACTAGCACACTGAGCCGCTCACTTTGGCAGCCGATTAGATGCAGTAATCAAGGTTGAAGCTTCACATGCCAATAGATACACATACACACACTCTCACACACTAACACAGAGTTGAAACACACGCTGATAAACACCTTCAGAGAGTCAAACTGAGATGACACGCTATGATAATGCTATCTTTACACATGGCCCCTTACTTTTGTAAGATGTCAGCGCCACAGATCATGGTCATCATCACATTGGAGAAAACATGCATATGCTCGTACACATGTGAACACACGTACACACACTAACATACAGAGTTGCTGACAGTTGGCGCCCCGTGGGACACAAGGTGTCAGGAAGTCAACACTAACCCCTCCTTCTCCCTCCCTTCGTTTCCATGGAGACAGAATTTGCAGGAGTGAGGAGGAGAGAGAAAACCCTGAGTCTGCATGTGAACACATACACATTAACGTACACAAAGCTGCCACACATCGAGTGGGTAAAAGGGCAGCCATAAGGGCTACAGGATATTGACGAACACCTACGTACCGTACATGTGTGTATATGTTTGTGGTGTGTGGTGTATGTGGGCGATTGTGTTAAGTGTTGGCGCTGTGCCCTTAAGGTGAGGGTGGAACACCGAGGGGATGGACATATATTCCGTTAGGTCAGCATTAAATAAGCGCCAATTGGATCTGTGGTGTTTTCCCACAGGGTCGCTTTATGCAGCCTTTACATTTGTGTGTATACGTGTTAACGTGTGAACCGGACATGCTCTGCAGGTAGGAAATAGCATTTGTAACAGAGAGGAGAAGAAGAGATGACAGGAATAAACGTAACCTGATGCCATATTTTAATAATCCTGCTGTGCTTATAAAAACACATTATTTGACATATGAGTCCAATAAAGCAGCTTGAAGTGCTTTGTTTATAGCTCTTTTTAAAGAGAGAAAATACAGAATACACTCCTGCTGCAGTTCTGTGGAGACATTCCCCCGGGTGTGTCAGTTCAAGTGCTCTAAATCAGCCCGAGTGGAAGGATTTAAGCAGCTGTTTATGGACGTTTGCCAATCAAGAGCAAGTGCAGTCATGCTGCATTAACTGTCAATCTGTAACTGGCTGTAAAGATGGATGGTTTATTAAAACAGCAAGAATATTAAACCTAAGTTATGAATCAAAATCAGAACAGTACCCCTATTAAATACATACCTTATCACATGATGATGGCAGTATTAAAACAATCATAAAAGCAGTCTGAAAGGTTTTCATTTAACATTCTTGACCTGTTAGGGTATACAATCCCTTTCTAGTCTCTACCTAAAGCTTTATTCTTTTCTTCAATGTGTTGAGTTGTTTATAAGCAGGGAGGTCTAATTAGTGCAATTTGGCAGCTCTGGAAACAGTATGGAGTTACAGAACAACAACAGACAGAGACAAAGGAGAGGTAATAAGAAAAGAATATCAAAAAGAAGCATTTCGCTTTAAAAATAGAGCTGTTTGTGTGTGCATGTGTGTGTGTGTGTTTGTAGTGCATGCTACAATGCACCCACCGCCCTGGCACAAAGTCCACAGCCAATCTGGACCAATTAAAGCACAGATTTGTGTGTGCGTCTCCCTCTGTGTGTGTGTATGTGTTTGAGTGTGTTCTCCCTTTAGGCTGCCCGTCCTCGTGAGATAGCAAAGAGAGAAGAAGACATTGCTGACACAAGATGCTGACATGCCACCACTGGCTGAGAGACGATGAGCAGAGAGAAGCAGAGGATCAGATAGGACGGAGAAAAGTGAGCAGATTTGAGTGACAAAAGGATGAGAGTGAAACATGAGAGAAACAGGATGGAGAGAAATATCAGAGGATGGCAGCGGAAGTGAAGGGGGAGGTGTGGAGGAAAGAGATGGGGAGCTTCATATGACCTTTATGTAACTCAACCACAGGCATTTCAGTCCATCTTTCATTCACAGTTTCTCCTCTTTTTCTCTCTATCTATATGTAGGAGGATAAATGCTGGTGGTGTCAAAATTAAAATACTTTCTGTGGGGGCTTATAGCATTTACAAAACATTTCAAAAATGGATAAACCTACACACATTTACACAGAGACTTTTATTTTATGTCAACCTTTCATCTGTAAAAAAGTGTCCGCTCACAGCTGTCACATCTTGAAAGGGGGTATAAAAAGCATGTGCAGAAATTCATCATTTCAGTGTTATTTGGCTTCTTGAGAGTGACTCACTCACAAGATTACAACAAATGTTCAGCCTAATGCAGATCCACTCATTTACACTTCTAAAACAGATGGTCACATAAACAAGCACAGTCTTTCCCAGTGAAATACAGCATTCCTCATCTGGAAATCAGCAAATTCAATGTTAATAGCTGACATTAGTCACAGTAAGAAGAAAAAAAGACTTATTACAACTTGAGTATGTCTTAGAAACAACAGTTTTTAGATATTTGACAAATTTTGAAGTTTTGTTGACAGAAAGTGTGCACCTGTGAGACATTACTGGAGGTTAGAATCTAAAAGCTGTTTTCACATATTCACTTACCTCCTGAAAATTTCAAGGGAAGCCGCACTTAAATGCGAGTAGCCTTATATTAAAGCCTGACCTTTTACAGTTTTTTTTCCTACTAGCCCCTAGTTAGATTTCTGCAAGAGGTCGTGTTACACCAATGTGAATACAGCCGGTGAATTCTACCTTGAACAAGTGGGCAGGGTAAATGATACCTATGTATCATGGCGAGTGCGGGGTATTTTGATTGAGATACACATAACAAAGCGGCTTTTCCACTCTAGACTGAAACTGTGACTATGTGTCGTAACACATTATCATTGATATAAAGGCAAAAAGATGTCCTCATAGACACCTCAGTCTGCAGTCTTCTTGATTATCTAGATACTTTACATTAGATACTGACTTCCTCAGTGTTATTTTTACATCCTACCTTGTGGGCTCCTTGTTCAATGGGGAATATGTCATGCTGTTGGAGGCATGTGTGAATAAGTAACTTGAAAATTTTCAGGGGCAGGGCTATCTTTCTTGAAATTTTCAGGGGTGTATATTAGAAATCGACTTAAGTCAGACAAAGACAGGATAGTTTTTTTTAGATTTCAAAGCTACAAACTATGAAGCATATCAGTATTTAGTATTTAGTTCTGGGATTTCCCCTCCAAATGCAACAGTTGATTCTTAAAATTTGCTGCCAGCTGAATTTACTATCTGGTGGCTTCTTTTATGGAGCTGACAGTTGACAGACATGATAATTCCAGTATGAATAACCATCAGGCCATAACAAACTGACAGAAAATGACTTCTTCTCCTCCTTCAGCTGAAACACAAAACTTTTAAACTGATGGAGAAAATTATGGTGTGTCATATAATCCTGGACAAAGTACTCACATAGCCTATTATTCTAAGGCAACTTTAAAACTCCTCTCACCACCCCAGTTTATCGACAGTGGTGTATGCTTGAGTCCTTTTTGACACCAGCACAAAATTTTACACACATGCACCTCCTTGAATGCCTTTCTCTGTGCACCTGCATTCAATCAAGTACAAAGTGAGAGCAGAATAATGATATGAAAGCTTTCCAACAAGCTCAGACTGGTTTTTATTTCCAGGAAAATTATAACACTTTCATGTCCAATCTTTTAACGGTTGCCTGCATGACACATTGTGAAAGCAAAGTGAAAATCTGTCAGGCAAAATGTAGAACTATGAATTATTCAATGTGCATTTAAGTTCAGTGTCTTACTTTTATGAACAGAAAATTCAAGATAAAGGTAGAGTATACTCATCTGAGATGAGATATTTGAGGTATTAGATATATTAACTCTATTCTACATGAAACAATTATCACTTAAGACTAATTGCAAAGTTTATAAAAAGGGAATGAAAGACAACAACATTGGCATGTATGGTTATAATGTTGTTAAAGGTGCCTCACTATAGGTATTTAGGCCATTTTAAACTTGCATGCTCCATGGGCCATTTCTATTTTAGATGTTTTTAAGTCTTTAAGTCTCCTAAGCAATCTGAAACAAAGCACTTTAATCAAAGTGTGTGCTGAAAGACGAAATGCATTTGACCTCATAGACCTACAATCTTTGTTTATGCATTTTAGGTCTATTAATCCAGACACAGAATGAGTCAGTGAAAGTTAAATGGAGGTAAATGGACGGAGTATTGGAGTGTGGAATTGAGGGCAAGAAGAGATGGTCTGGGGCAGACAGCAGCAGCAAAGAGAGAGAGAGAGAGAGAGTAAAGGGGAGAGGGGAAGAGGGGAGAGCAGCTAAGTGTGAATGATGTCCTCCTTGCACTGGGGCAGACTACGTCAGAGCCCCCATTATTCTAATGGGGCACCACAATGCTTACTGACCTTCATCATCCACATACAGAGCTGGCAGTGGAGATGACAGTGAGTGTGTGTATCACTTATTCAGACTATAATAATATGTAGCATTGGTGCAGGCTATTAGTACTGCAATTAGATGCACTACATGGACTTTAAAATTCAATCAGAAAGCAATAATTCCAATTAAACAATACACAGATGGGCACACAGGCACGCACATGAAGCAAACACTCAGATAAACACAATCAAATGTTTCCAGGCAATGATGGACACATGAAGACTTTACAGGCCTTCAAGTTTAATGAGCTGATTTAGGTCAATTTGTTGTATGCATACAATTGCTCAGGGACAAAACACACTCTGCTTGATGAAAAAAAAAACTGTGCATAAAACAATAACTTCAAAAGAATCTAGTTTTGCTTTGGTAAGCAAACAAAAACAGATTGAAATCAATCATAAGCTTCCATATAAATATACAGAAAGTATCGGTTTGTGCCTCCATCTCATTTCCCAGCAGCCCTGCTCCCACCTCATGCTGTCAGAGCTGTGGCAAGTACAGTGAACTAGCTGAGAGATATGAAGCATTATCTGACAGAGTGATAGCTAACTAATAGACCTCTCAGCACACACGCTTAAAGCCATCACCACTGATAAGACCGAGAGCAAGGAAGCCAGAGAGATAGACAGTCAGCAAGACTGAGAAAGACAAAAAAAAAAAGGAGAGTCAAGGAGGAAACTTTGAAGACGGGGAACAGATGAGTATGTATGTAATGTTTAAATGGATATTGGATCTTAACTGAGTCAACATAAGAATATTTGTAAACCTATTTTAAACAGGTTCTTTCGCTTACAGAAAATAGGGAGGCAGAAAAAACTAATTAAAGGAAAAATGATTGAGAAGCTCTATAAAAACTTCACAAATCCATAGAAACATAGACAGAGCTTGTGTGTCCTTGTGTGTGTATGTGTGTGTGTAACCGTGCGCACACATTGGAGTATCTGCACCAGCCCACGTGTCTGTGAATGGAGCTGGAAGTAAATGAATAACAGACTGCAGCTAAGATCTGAAGCATGTTGTAGGTGGTGCTGGATAAACGAGTCCTGGTTTAATAACAAGACAAGCAGATCTAAGAGCCGAGGATATACACATGCCAAAAATATCCCATTAGTTTCTGTGGTATGTACATAATGAACCCATTATGTCTAAATAAGCAGCAAGGTGTAATGCAAAGTTGGTCCATTGTATCATGTATCCATCACAGGTTTATTCTCAGACTGCAGTGTACGCTGGAGTTTAGCTAACATCTCATTCACATTATCAGCACATACTATATCTTTTTGGTGCGACACATGCAAGTCCAAGTGTTTCTTTGTGTGTGTGTGTGTGTGTGTGTGTGTGTGTGTGTGTGTGTGTGTGTGTGTGTGTGTGTGTGTGTGTGTGTGTGTGTGTGTGTGTGGCTGTAGGCGTGTGTGATGTATCAGCCCAGTTGGACACTTATAATACCAGGAAGTGCTGACTGGGCCAGGGAGATTTATCACTCCAACCATTTCTTTTCCAAGAAATCCACACACTTTTCTGTTTACAGGAGGAACTAATTGAGCACAATATGTGGGAATACTCATTCTGTGGTTATGATTGGTTATTATTATTATGGCAGATCTACCTTTTAAAGACCCACTCCGATGACAATCATGTTTTTCTTGTTTGTTTATATGTTCATATGGCATTTTTCTGATGCTACAGGACATATCATGAGAAAACTAAATGCGAAATTGCTTTTCTGTTTATTTCTTCATTCAAATTGCTGTGAATCTCTGGCAGACCCAAACTGCAGGTTCAGAAACAGTGAGATTTCATACATAATCAATCCAAGCTCCACCTCCGGAGCCCCGCTATGCAGCCCACACTCTGCATATAGAGGAGAAATACAGAGGATGATCGCGGAACAAGCGTGTGCGTTCGCAGATTGCAATGCTCGTAAGAAAGCTAATTATGATATTAACTATATTAACTTTCATCGTGTCCCTACAGACATTAGTGTCTGAGAGCTGAAAAACTCCTATGTCACCTGCCACTTCTGCGACATGGGCAATGCTAGGCTGCTAGCTAACGTGAAGACAGGTGTGCAGAGCAGCGCTGTCTCCGCCCACGACTCAGAGGTGAATTGCTAATGAGCTACTGGAGCTCTGCAGAAGAGAAGCCCTCGAAAATGACACAGGTAACGTGATTTTGGCTAAAACTTCTTAACCACAATTTAAAGACCACTGATAACACTTTAAGTAGTAAAATAAAAATAAATAAATAAAATAAACGATCGAAGTGGGACTATAAGAGTTATTTAACATCAACATCATTATAGCAGAGGTAAAGTGTGGTCATTTAGTTTGAAGTTGTGAAAATAATCGGAAAACAGTCAGAGGTAAACAGAGTTTAAACACAGGGTTACACAGTCTTTAGGTAAAATAATGTCCAATTCCAAGAGGAGCATGAAACACCAGACTTAGGTTCTCGAGGTCCACACGCCTGTGCTGCTTGGTTATGTACAGCTCCGCTTGGGTAGCCATATAGACAACTATAGACAACCAGGTAGTAGAGCATTATAGCCCTATTACAGAAGCCGTTAGCCAGATTTACAGGCTGCGTTACAGCTAAGATACACAGTTCAGCTGGCACTTCAGGCCAATAATGAAAAAAAAATTAAAAATCTGTTTTAATTCTGATGCCAAAAGGAAAAAGTGGTGACATTAATTTGTTTAGACAACTAACTATGCACATCTCTACTGAAGCTAAACCCAGCTGTTTAGGCATGTGCAAATCTTCTGTGGCTATAGTCTAGAATGTATAAATGCTGTTTTTACTCTCGGCCACAACCCTTTGCTGCATATCACCACTCCTCTCCACCCCTCATATTTTCTATTTAGTTGTCCTCTCAATAAAGACAGCCCATTTGAAGTGATGGACCATGAGATCATTATCAAGATTCTGCAGCTCTCCTTAGCTCTACAGAGCAGTTCAGCTACCCATTTTGGTCTCACAGCGACAAAATAACTCTTTTCCTTGGGTTTCACTTCTTTGATAATATTTACACTGGCAGCAGACAGTTGTGAACTCTGCGCAACAACAATGCAAGTGTGGTATCAAAATGAGTGTGTAGTACATTCAAAATTCATAAGCAGTTTTGTGTATGTGAGAAATGTATATTAGATTGACTAGGATTTTCCAAGTACGAGATGGAACTCGCTAGTCATTACTCAAACCCCCAAAATGCATTGCTGCTCTTCAAACTAGACAATAGCAGAGCTCATCAGCCTGCAACCAGCAACATAAAAAGGCATAAAATACATTTGATATGTAGTTAAAACATAAAAAAAACTATCTAGCATTATAAGTATAAACATTTGTATATTAATGTTGAATTCTATGTAGGCCTGACTGGCATGCTTACTTGGACTGTATGCATTAGTCTGTTGTTAACAGCACGGACTGTCATTTTGGAAGGCGGTATACAGTACGTAATGTGTCAGTATTAGGTCAGAACGTGGTTTCAAACAGTCACGCCGTCAAGCTAGTGGACCATTTAAGCAGATAAAAAAATTAGATATTTGCTCATGCTGTTATCAGAAGGAAACTCGGCTGAAATGAGAGTAATTATGGGAGTTACTGTTATAAGAGGAGCAGAGATGTGGTTTGAAATTCATGCTGATGCTGCAGTAGTGGTTGGGGGGTAACTTGACTCATACTGTTAATCAATCTGTTAGCCATAAATACTCCTTATCCATTACACTTTTTACTGCTTAATGACAGCTTATTATAACTGCCAGAAGAATATCAATAATATTAAAATTTTTTCATAATCGGAGAAATGGCACTCACAAATACAGACACTGCTCCACAGAATACACTGAATATAAGAATAAAACATAATGGTGTGATATATTCCCACTTACATTGTATGCATATGCACAATGAGAAATGTGTGCTTTGCAAGAGTCATTTTCTATATACAACAATACTTGTCCTACAACTGTGTCCTTCTCTCAAATCCTGCATTTCACTTGCACCGCCACACTGTCTCAAATCTGTGTGTGTGTGTGTGTGTGTGTGTGTGTGTGTGTGTGTGTGTGTGTGTGTGCTGGTGTTATTGACAGTCAGCAGCAGGGGGTGTGTGCTATGTTGTGAGACACTGACAAGCTGTATTTCATGGAGCAGATGAAGCATTTTGAAGTTCTGTAAATCCTTTTAAGGGTCCAGCCGGGGACTAAGCTTCTGATGCTGCTGCCCATGCTGCTGCTGCTGCTGCTGCTGCTTAAGTTTCTCTCAGAAAAACTGGGGTCTAGAGATTGCTGCCCCTACCACTGTGTGTGTGGGTGTCTGGAAATGCTTTTGGCAAAAAGGGTTGTGTGAAAGTATTGTCTTTGGCTTTCTTCTCAGAGCTTTCTGTTGTTTTATTTTTTAGAGTCTATGGCATGTACCTCATTTAGACAGCAGCCATTTTTCCTCTGTTTTTAGTCTAATGCTGGGAGGGTAAAAAGTGTGATGATGTGTGAGTTTTATAAGCATAAAAACATGATGAAAATTTAGGGCGGTGTTGGCAGTATCTTTGCTAATCACAATAATATACAATCAGATGTTAGATGACCACTTTCTGGCTAATATAGATTTCTCCTCCTCACTCGTCATAACGTCAAACCATAGACTGTATATACTATGGACAACTTGGGTCCGCCTTCCGCTGGTATACGGATTTGAAGCCGAAAAGCTCTCGGTCATTTTTTTTGTTTTTTTTTTCTCCACTTCCTGAAACCAACATTGTGCAGTAGCGTTGTACGCGCTCCACCACTTGCGCAGTAGCGTTGTACGCATTCGATGGGAGAGTCGCCGAGAGTTGCTGTGATGACGCTCGGCTCAAACAGCATACCCTGGGGTGAGCTACGCAATCTTTATACGCTCATAGGCTGTATCAAGTGTCGATCATAGAAAACATGAACCCCCTAATAACTTTTAAAAATGGTGCTGCACAGAAAAAAAGAGGACTTGAGCACAAACCAGTCTTACAGTAACTACATGTCAACATCGCGAGCAGGGGGGAGAAAAGTTTATATTCTGTGTAATAGTTTTCTAAAGTTTGTCCACAGCTCCATAAGCTTTGCTGGCAGAGACAGGATTTATGACCTATACTGCAGCCCGTCACCAGAGGGTGCTGTTCTCGGAGTGGCTTCACCCAGTGAGGAGGCAGACTCTGCCATTCTGTAGACAGTCTATGTGCCAAACCAAAAGAGTAGTATTAATATTCAGGTGCATGCTAGCCCACTTGAAGTACAATTGTGCAACATTGTTGTATTTTAGCTCCTCACTTCGGGCCTCAGGACAGAAAAAAAATGAAAGCCTGCCATTATTATGACCAACTGAAAGTTAGAATCATGTGGCTGCAGTAACACCCTCCAACAATATCAACTCTGTCCCCTCTACCCAAAACCCATCTGACTTTTAAACCCCTTCCCGCCAACCAGTACCTTGTTTTGTATTCAGGCGTAGTTGCAGGAGGGAAAGCAAACTGACAGAGTTCCAATAGTGTCGTTGTTAAACATGGCAGGGTCGCTGTGGGCTTACCTGCTGGCTGGAAAACTTCATCTCACGTCCTTTTGTGCCTCCTTTTCTCATTCTGCCCTTCCCTGCCTCCCCCCCATCATCACTCTCTCCTTCCCCTCTGGTGGTCCTATGACTCCAATCACACTGCTCTTATTACCAAAGAGAGTAGACTAACACACACATGCTAACGGTGACGGTTTGTTTTGCCCATTACCGGAGTGTGTCACACGCTGCTGGGGGCCGACAGGTACACTTGCTTCTGTTTCTTTCCCTGACTTAATCTCTTCCAGTCTGTGTCTGCTGGATCTAACTTTACATACCTGTCTCTCTTTGCCACTCTTCCTCTTTCCTGACTCTCTTTGCCTCACTCAAGCAGCCAGGGGGACAAATTGGCGCCCGGCTGAGCTAAATGTGGCTGGCGCTGGGAGCCAGATGGCACTGGCAGAGGGATGGAGCGAGCGAAGGATGGATGCTACTGAGACATGTAGCACTGAAGACGTGCTGCAGGAGAGCAGTGTGGGGGAGCTAGGTTTGGACACTAATTATCTATTAGTGCTCAGGGGCCCAAAAGCTGTGCACCAGGACTTGCCAAAGGCTAGACCAACCTGGTCTGAGCTTCTTAGGTGTTTTTGAAACAAGACTGTAGACTAATAGGGAGTAGAGAAAAAAAACTGGTAGATGGTGTAAAGCTGTCATGATGTCGCAGGAAGGGAGGAGAGGAACAGTCAGAGAGGGAGAGAAAAAAAAAAGAGGTGTGATGTCAGCCAGCCAGGAGGTGGAAATGTTAAGCAGACACACACTCACACTTCCTCTGGGGTCATTTGAGTTTGTCTCTCTCACTCCTGACTAATCACAGATCAAACATAATCTAATTGCTGTAGCTCTTAAAAACAGAGAATTAGACAGAAATGTTAGTTTGAAGTATAAACCAAAACCAATACGCAACTTTCATGGTCAAGGTGATAAACCTGCACTAGCCGAATAAAGAGCTAAACTCAGTCAAGGCTGAGAGCAAATGTGTATGAAGGTGAGCAGGCTCACAATCACTGCATGGTTTAATCTGAACCGCAGCACTTGCCGTAGTTGTAGAGATACACAACTGTGGCACGCAAACAACATTTCAGTTGTATTTTATCAGTTTTTTCAACAAATGGATTCTTTAGATGATCTGTTAAGAGGTCTTTGCTATGAAGCAGGATTAGCAAAGACTTCAGGGTTTATCTTGGGATTTTAGTTTAACAGCTATGGCTCACTTCTTTCAAGGATTGATCGCTTTCTTAATATTTGCTGGGCACCTATCTTTTTCTGAGCCTGTTATGATAGATATAAAAATGTTCCTGCATGGGGCACCAACCAAAGCCCCTATGATCCGAGAGATCAGTGCATGGATGGATGGACAGGAAAACAGGGTTCAGAAGGGGACACAGCCTTTAATCTCCTGAATGATTTCAGAGGGAATCGTCATTCTTTCATGATCTCGTTGTTTTAAATACTTGACTCCACTTGGCCAAAACCCCAAACCGAAAGTGATTCATTCTCCACAGCAGAAGCAACACCACAGACAATCTGATCACACAAAAACTTATCAAATCAATCTGCAAAAACACAGTAAGGCATTGTTCACCTCTGCCTGTTGACACTGTGGCATTAATATTGATTTATATTAGCATCCTCAATTGATAAAAATGTTAGCTCTCTGGCCTTGAGAGTATGTGAATGTAATGACCAAGACAGTGGTCAGACATTTACAGGGTGAAAAGCAGACAACAGTCTGATAAACTACTGGACTCCAACCACATCTCATGGGAAAACATGGAGCAAGATCCTGTCCTGAAACTCAGGCAACGGCAGCAGAGCTACTGGGAACTGATTTTTACAAGTTAACTTAAACCATTAGAGGTGGGCCAATGCATTGATTTTTGGATGAATCAGGATGGAACACGTGACGATTGATTATGATTAACAAATGTTCAGAAATCGATAATTTCCCATGATAGCCACATTGCAGAAACACACAGAAGTTGGCTGGAACAAAAAGAGCTAAAAAGTCATGATCATCATGATAATCGTATTAATTGTTTAATAACTGAATCCTAGCACCCTAAATCGAATCATATTTTGGAGTTCCTAAAATGACACACCCCTACCAACAATATCGAATAGTTGTGATATATGTGTTATTTGTGCTCATATTTTACATGTCAACTCCTTCTGCATGGTGGTACTAAACTCACATTAACCAAAGAGGTTATGGGCAAAATGATGAAATAAAACAATTCGGTGACACTCCAGATTTTTCTTCAAAATTGCTATGCTTGGGTATAAACACTGAAATTATGTGCCACAGAGACCATCATTACATCCTCAACTCTGTCCTACTCCACATTTGTAATGCAGGTTAAAAATGCCTCAGTATTTAAATAAAAAAAAACAGCAAAAGATGAGACACCCTTTGAACAACATCTGTTATATCAGTGACATTGTTGCCTCTCTCTTTCTACTAAAATCACCCTCTCTCTTTCTTGTCTTACAGGGAGCCTTGGTGACATTCAGCTGCTCACTTCATGCTCCATTTTCTTCCACATCAACCCAAATTCCTGTATTTGCTTCTTACATAACACAGGGCACAAGATTTGGACTTAAACAACCGACCAATAGGATGTAGAAAATTGCTGACTGAGTTGGCCCACCCTCCTCAATATTCTCCAATCATGGTACACAAAGCTGCTTCAGCCATGCATGCATAAGCAACACTAGCCTTTGGCATATTAGCTCACACACATGCAAACACACAGTGCTACATGTAGAGAGTGCATGCTGACATTTAGGAAAACACAGGCCAGGCAGTGTGTGTGTGTGTGTGTGTGTGTGTTATTGTTTGCAGATGAGTGAAGATGTGAGTAAGAGGGCTTTACTGAATGTGTGTGTGTGTGTGTGTGTGTGTGTGTGTGTGTGTGTGTGTGTGTGTGTGTGTGTGTGTGTGTGTGTGTCCTGATAATCTGAGGCCATCTCCAAACACGATGCAGGGGGACCCTAAAGCTCTTCCTCTTTGCTCAGTGTAAGGTCTATTAGCTCTGACAAGCATTCCCTCTCACACTGTACCTGTAAGCTAAGCACACCTCTGCTGCAGTCACTAAGGTGGCTGAGTACTAAGCCTGCTGGGCTCACTTCTGCTGGCTTTGGTTCAAGTGGTGCGAAAGAACGTTCTCTTTATTGGCCTAAAAACCATTACCCTATAATCGAACTGGGAGTGTGAAGTTCATAGAGATATTTATTGGTGTACCGAGGAGATTGCATATATGAAACATGTATTTGATTTCATTAGGCTGAGGATAATATATTGAAAACCCAGGTACACATCTTTGGGCTGTTTTTGTTTTTCTATTAAGAGCAGTAGAGACCTTCTGATAACAGAAGAATTAAGAAATATACAAATTTCGGTGAAAATTGATCACTGGTTTTGAGAAACATTAAACTCACCACTACAGTGTTGTTGTTAATGTCACACAACCATTTATTGGATACTGGTTGGATTTCTGTGAGGCCAAACAGCGACGGCATAAGATGGATGTGTTTGTCCATGATATCTGCTGCGATCAGTTTTTAGGCTTTACTAGAGGTGAATAGACGAAGAGTTTATATATATTAAAAAAAAAGAATCATGAAGTAATTATTCAGTTAATTTTCCAACGAGTCGAATTACTGTTCAGGTTTCATTGGCAAGCTGACAGGGTGTGACCATAGTCTGTATATAGAATGGACGCCATCTGCCTCCCCGTTGGATGAAGCCAAATTGAGAACAGCACACCCTGGTGACGGGCTGCAGTATAGGTCATAAATCCCGCCTCCTCCAGCCATCCTTATGGAGCTGTGGACAAACTTTAGAAATTAATTACTCAGAATATACATTTTTTTCTCCCCCCTCCTTGCAAAGTTGACATGTAGTTACTGTAAGACTGGTTTGTGCTCAAGTCCTCTTTTTTCTGTGCAGCTCCATTTTTAAAAGTTATTAGGGGGTTAATGTTTTCTATGATTGACACTTGATACAGCCTATGGGTGTACAAAGATTGCATAGCTCACCAGCGGGATATGCTGTTTGAGCATCATCAGCGTCATCCCAGCGACTCTCCCACCGCATGCGTACAATGCTACTGCACAAGTGGTGGAGTGCGTACAACACTACTGTGCAATGTTGGTTTCAGGAAGCGAAGCAAAAACGGCTTCAACGACTTTTGGCTTCAAATCCGTATACTGGTGAAAGCAGAACCAAGTTGTCCATAGTATAAACAATCTATGGGTGTGACACACTCTGAGCTCCACCTCTACTCCTGCCATTTTAAAGCTGCTCTTAATGTTGCCTAAACACAGACATCATATACACACTGACTAGCTGGACCGTATATCGACATTGTTGCCATATGGTTGATGGTATTCTGGAAAGACGCTCATTCACATGCAGATAAAACAGCCTGTCAGACACCAGGACCCTTTAGAGTTGCATAGTTTTGAAACTGTCATATTTTTATAAGTCCCGCCCACATTTGATTTTGTGTTGCATAACTTAGCTGTCTGTCAAAATCAAGTCGTAATAAATACAGAAATGTTCAATTTTGAATCAGTCTGTTGTGTACATTATTATAGCTACATGCCAGTACTTTTCATCTCATGTTTTTACTAGGACACAAAAATCCCCTCACCTGTTTGATCAGTCAAAATGTTTTAAACACTCTGTTCTCATATGAAATTGACCAGAACAACTAACTGTTGTTGAATTGAATTTTCCTTCCGGGATCAATAAAGTTCTTCTTTTTCTTCTTTAATAATACATAGCATGGACATGGACTTGAGTAAGAGTAAAAGTCAGTAAAATTTGATTACTTTACATCAGTAACAGTGTGACTAACATAACCACATAATGAAATGTGGTCAAACCCAAACCCCCAGTGTCTTACTCAAGTGTGTGACAGAAACCAGTTATGATGTATTTTATATCTTATTTATATTTAACCCAACTAAAGTTTTATTTGTTCAAGTGAAGAAAATGACCAGTATCTGACTGTTTTGGATGCTGCTCTGCTGAGCTTTAATCAGAGAGCAATTTTGTCACTTTCCCTCCGGAGCAAGAGTGCCTTGCGCTTTGGGCTGAGGTCAGCTGCAGGAGACGGAGGGAAAAAGAACTGTCTGAGATAATGGACTTCTGGGATATTGATGAGTTAGATAAATAGAGAGTGTGAAGGTTGTCGGAGGGGAAGAGAGCAAAATATTTTAGAGGAAGGACAAAGAGGATTTAAGAGCCAAACAAGTAAAGATGCCAGCAAACAAACTAATCTTACATCCACTTTTTGAGAAGTTAGACCAACCAGGGCAAACAAAGATGGACAGAGAGGTCTTAAGTGAAAACAGAGGTATGCATAACACTTTTCATGGAGGTGAAGTAAAAGCGTGTGTATGAATCTGTGTCCTTTTGTCTGACACAAAGGTAAGCAACAGTAACTGCTCTAAAAGGCACACAACAGGTCAGGGGGATATGGTGGGTCAAAGTAAGAACACAGCACACAAAAACTTGTGTGCATGTGTGTGTCCTTGTCTGTGTGTCTTTGTTTTTAGAGTAGAAGGAGGGGTAAGAATTCATAATAAGTGGCAGTTGTTGTTTTGGGAGGACAGGAGAGTGTGTACAGTGTGTGAGAGTGCCTTTCTCTCTGTGTGTATTTGTACACTGGCAAAAATAGCCAGTGTTGTGTCTGACTGGAACAGGTGTCCAAACATCACAACACACACCACCAAACACAGCATGGAGATCACATCCCAGAGTGAAGGTACAAACCCGTCTCACACAGATGGAGATTCAGAGGGGAAAGATATAGTGTTAACATACAGGGGAAATTAGATAACAAATATTTAGTTGTTCAAGCAGAGAGCTGCGTGCTGGAATGACTTAGTGCTTTGTTTATGCCAAACACCCTTACATGAATCCAGAGAGCAAACACAGTAAACCATGAGTTAACACAGACATCTTTGAATCTGTATGTAAAGGCCACAGACCCTAGGAAATTTACATTTTACAAACATCAAAGATGCTTTATAATACAACTTCCACACTGAAAAACCTCTCTGCGTGTCCAAGTGCCTTAATATGAGTTTCCTCCCAAGACTTTGATTTCTCACACATGAGCTGAGATAAACACAATGATAGGATTTTACTTTTATAATTTTCTCCATATCATAAGAGCTTTCTTCGGGGACACAAAAGACTTGATAACACTTTGTGGAAACAGTTTTTAACAAGTCCTCTAAACCCATGTGACAACATATGTGATTTTTTGTTTTTTACACTATTTTCTAGGATGAACCACTAATGGTGTAGTTAGGTTAAGTGTGCCAGCCTTGTTAAAGTTAAATGACCTTTATTCATTAAACTAATGTGGGATTTAAGTGATGCCTTAAAAGCAGCTGTTATTCCACATGCAACTTATGAGAGTCATGCACTGACTCTCAGTGACAGTGTACAACCATTTGATCAACAGGTGCGCATCTATCAGTGTATGCAGCTTTAGTGCAATATAACATGGATGAATACTTTCATGCTCTCACTGTGCAAAAGTGCATACATAAACATGTCTGTTTATGCAAATTTTTGTACAATAGGGCAATGTGAAATCACACTAGCAATTTCAATCAATGGGGCCTGGAGCAAAGGTGCAATTTACACCAGCACCCCTACCATCATGTGCAATACACCAGCACTGAAGCACTTTAACACTCTAGCACTTTACCACCTGCCTTTACACTTCAAACATCTAATTCAATTCAGCTCTCACACCAACTTTATTTCTGGTTTGTCTGGAGTGTAATTTTACCGCAAACTTAAGGCTTGTTATACTGCGTGGGTCCTCATAAATTTCTGCGGTCCATGTTGTCTGGTACCAACAGTAATCTGTTTACAAAAAGTAGTCCTTCTCACCAATGTGCCTTGAACATGTGTAAACTGTAGTTTTTCTAAAAAAAACATCTCAAACAGTGAAATGTTTCAGTCTTCAAGATTCTTTGTTAAATGTTAAAAAATACAGTTTTTGCAACATGCTGTTTACCATGTAGTCTGTAATAACCTATAGCAGCAGTTGAACAATATAACTAGAGAATTCCCTCTGAGAATTTTTTAAAAGGCTCTTATTGGGCTACTGCAGGGTGTGTATCTTTGATGAGATTCTTAAATGGAGATTTTACATGGTTAATACAAGTAGCATTATGATATTATATACAAGGAGCACACCTATAGTAGACGTTCCTTTTTCAAGGATTGATTTATAGAAAAAAAAAAAAAAAAGAGGAAGCCTGAGCAGAAGAGGTTTAAAAACCTCCATAATTGCTCTTTTTCCCCCCTTGTTCTGTTGACTTAAATGTAAAATTTTTCTACATTTTTTTAGACTTATGTTGCGAAAAATTAATATACAATAGAGAAAAGTAACAGCACACTGATCCCAATCAAACTGCACATTTTGATATATAATTTGTCATACACTTTTAAAGCTGTAAGACTAGTAGGGAATCGAAATTTGTCCAGAAGAGGAATAAGAAAAATATCCACAGTATAACATTAGTGCCTTGGTGCTTTTGCCCCGTGGCCCTAATAAACAAAATAACAGTAAAGAAATAATCAGCTTTGTCACTGTTGTCCCTGCTTGCTTATTAAGAAGAATCAGATTTCATAAGTGCTTTTCATAACCCTTATAAAAAAAAACCTTAGAGGAGCTTTAAGGTTTGATTATTTGACCCAGTCATTTTCTCTGACCACTTCCCCAAACTACCTCCTCTCCAGGTTAGCTTACTATAGCCTCCAATGGTTGCCAATTTAGTTCCAGCTATAAACCTGACATAAGTTAGATCTTAATTCCAGAGTCTAAAGTTTCATTTTTGCATAGTCGTCCAAGTCTGCTTGTCTAAACACAGTAGGCTTGCCCTCACTGGAACATTTTGGGACACAGGCCTATTCTTCGAGAATGTGGCAAGCCATACCAAAAGCACGGGCAACAGTTAACCTGGCTCTTGTTTTGGTGAAAAAACACACCTTTCAGTTTGTCTTTGGCTTCGTTTCTAACAAAATGTTTAATTTGATCACACCAACATGCATTTTGTCAAGACCAAAGGATATCACATACTCCAAACAACCATAAGGACTCAACTGTTATTCCTACAACCAACAAAAAAAAAAAGAAAAAAAGAGTCATCATTGGCTTCATGGGACTTTTTCTTAATCTGCACAATGTTGTTGTCATAGTTATGTTTGTATATGACCTAAAAGTCATAACAAATAGCCCAGTAATGTGTCTCCTGACTCACTCAAGTTTTATGAAGATGCACTAACCACCTCCATGATTGGACTGTGTACAGAACAAACAGACCTGATATTAGTGTTAATCATTGCACAAAACACTCTACGAAACAACATAAACCCTATCTCCCAGGGGAATGAACTTTGACATCATTTTTCTCTGTTTCTGATGAGTTCCTGATAAAAAAAAACAATCCTGTATTAATGGAGTAACCCTCAAAACTTTTCAAAGTCACTGTGCAGCACCTACTGGCAAAATACCATAGTGATAGAAATATGCTGCATAGATAGGAGAAGCAGTGACCTGCTTACTTGACACACAATCTTCATCTACTGTGTGCACTCTCTCTCTCTCTCTGTGTGTCTCGCTCTTACAGCACACTCTCTATGACAGTATCTGGACAGCTGAAGTGGAACAAGCATTTTTGTGTGTGTGTGTGTGTGTGTGTGTGTGTGTGTGTGTGTGTGTGTGTGTGTGTGTGTGTGTGTGTGTAGAAGCATTTGCGTTTGGCTCTGTGTGTGTGATTAAAACCTAATTTGTCTTTGGGCAAACCCATCTCGGAGGGCTGTATTAGAGGCATTTTGCACTGTAATGGGTTGACATGTTAATCTGAAACCCTATTCTCTGTAGCTAATGAACATATCCATCCTCGTCTTTATGTGTGTATATCTGTGTGTGTGTCTGTGAGTATATCTGTGTGTGTGTGTATGTGCTTAAAAGGCAGCATCGTCCCATTTAATGATGCTACAGAGACAAACATAAATGTGAACAGTGATGCCAAGGTGATATGAGTTTATGTATTTTTAACAATGACAACACTGGAGAGCAATGAGTTCTGAACCTCTCACAGTGTGTTTGCACATATTTGTGTGCGTGTATTAGCGAGTGTGTATCTGGAGGAGCGACAGAGATCTGACAGTTCTGGGTCAGACCAGTCCCAAAGAGTCAGGGAACCTACAGAAGACACATGACAACACAAACACACACAATCACAGACACATGCACACCTAATAGGTGCAGATGAGAAATGTTGGTAAGGCAAACAGAAAGAGAAAGAAAAGAGCAGTTGGATTTGGGGAAAATGTCTGGGCTGCTGCGCCGACACAAATATATTAGTCTACACCTCAGGAGCAGGGCACTTGCACAGAGGAACAACACAATCTCTACTTGCCTACAACACATATGTAGACACTCCTGACTGAAAGCAGAAGAAATAAAAGATACTGGGTGATATTTCATCGCAATCAACAGCTTTAACACATCAGCAGCAGTCATAATTACCACTGACACATATAGAATAATGGGGTCAGCAGCACTGCCAACTGCTACAACATCCCTCTAATGTATTCATAACGCCAAAACTTGAGATATCAGAGACAGTATGTTGTTTTTACCACACTTCCCCCTCATTATTACAACCTGCACTTTGCAATTCGTCTGCAATCATATCAGACTATCCTTGTTCATCCTTTCAGAGGAAAAAAAGGTGAAATATTCTAATTTCTTTATATTGCTTCACCACTGTACTGACCATTGCATCATCACTGCTGGGTTTCTGGTTTGGAGATGACCACTGATGTGCATGTGTGCCTTGAGTGTGTGTAATGTTTTGAGCCACAGTAAGAAAAAGAGGGCAGGAGACAGCTTATGCATGTGTGCGCCAGTCATAATGTCTGCATAATGTCCCCGAGGTCTACGACTGTATAACTAATACTTGTATTATTGCTCGAATAAAACATTACGCTGAACCAAGCAGGATTAGAAAACGAGCATGACAGTCTCTTCCCACTCCCTCCTCTCTCTCTCCATCTGACTCAGACACACACACACACATTGAGACACATGTGTGCATGTGTGGAAGCAAGCAGCCCAGGGCCATGTATACTAGCAAGCGGCCATGTTTCTTTCACAAGAGGCTGCAGTGAGGCTGTCATCGTCAGCATGTTTCTCTCCCTCTCTCTCTCTCTCTTTCACACACACACTCACATGGCGCTGTGACATCATGCCACGCATTTAGACCACAGGGTCATAGGTAACACTGCGCTATTTGCTGAGGCTTAACTGTCATCATGCCTGATGACTTCAACAGACATTATTCAGCTATCTTTCTTGAAAATGTTCCCACTTTTACTCATGAATCCGCAAAAACTTCAACTTTATGCTCGTCAACCATCACCTCCCCTCAGTCACATTGTTATTGACAGGTACCGAAAGAAGTGAGGCTGTTTTGGTCCAGATAATAGCAGGCACTACCCTCCATTCTAAACAACAGGAGACATCTTTCTCAGACCAAAACATTCCCCTGGTCTGGAGAGTAAAAACACTCCATCCTCCCTCTACTCCTCCTCCCTACCTTTCCACCAACTACTATCAACCTTTCTGCCTATGAGACATTTGGATCCTCCCTTTCGGCACACTGCCAATTACAAGCGTTTGAAGTAGTATGTGTGTGTGTATCCCCATCATCATCATCACAGTTACTCTCAGGGTGAGATTCCAGCACATGTAGGAGCATTATAGGGGTTCCCACAGAAGGTGAACACTACAGAAATCTTAGCTTACAAAAGACATACTGCTGCTGTAAATGACATAAGCTATGAGCCATCGGCTTTTCTGAGCAGGAGTGCCGGACTTGGAAGAAAATAGGGGCTGAGTATTGGCCCCTATTCCACAGTTAAAAGTTTAAATAGCCATGGATACTAGAGGGGGCCTGATAGACTTTTTTTTTTTTGCCACACCCTTTAAGTCAGATGTAGATCTGACTAAATGACTCAAGATTTGTTGCCCTGCTTGGGCACACTGACAATGTTATACTGGATAAAATCAATTAAAATTGGCGTTGTAATTGCTTCAGACTCTATCTAGAACAGGAGATTACCTACATTATGATTCTGGAGCTTAATATAAGTCAGATGGTCCAGAACCTACTGGCCCCGCTTCTCCTCACAGCTGCTTCAATATGTGTGTTTGAAATGCAAGGACATTACCTTTACCCGTATTTGCATAAGGTGATTAATGGTAAAGACATAATGTCCTGAATATGCAACACAAAAGCATAATGCTGAAATAAATGAGGTCTCAGGATGCAGACAGTATGGCCAAATCTATGCATCAGAACAAACCAGTTCTTGGACCAAAGCTAAAAACATGAGGGTCCTTGAGTTGACCATCTTGTCTTGATGGAAATTCAGCCTTTGTAGGTTTCAAGATCAAAGGTGTCTCACTGTAACATGATGTACCTTACCACAAATAATGCACACAACAGTAGCAACCTCATCTATCTCATCCCACACCACAACCACAGCCCGACCCTTCCCCTCCACAGGCCCACTTCTCCTCCTCCTCCTCCTCCTCCTCCTCCTTCCCCTCCTCCTCCACCACTGTCTCCTCACCTGAGGCAGCGCGGCGTTGATCTGCCGCTGGAGCACGTCCCTCTCGTGCAGCGCCCCCTGCAGCTTGGTCTGAGACTGAATAAGTGTCTCCTGAGTCTCCCTGAGGGACTCCAGCAGCTTGTCCCTCTCGTCCAGCATGTTGACCATCAGCTGCTCGAAGTTGGCCTCCTGGTCCGAGCCGTTCGGGACTCCGGTGGTACCTCCTCTGGGAGGTCCGGCCGAATCTCCTTCGCTGATGGTCGGCATTACCTCGCACATCATCTTCCCTGCACTACGGTCAGGCTATAGGACAGTGTCGCTGTCGGGGTTGAAAAACAGAAATATATATGTATGTCAAAAAGCAAAATAAAGCGACTCACGGTGACAGATAAGAGGGCCTATTTTACGCCCCGTAGCAACGCACTGCCTATATGCAACCGTAGACACGCGCCGTGTTCCCATTGCATTAGGCTACACATCTCGTGCATCAAACGTGCATCCTCACGCCTTCCACCGCTTTACCTAATCAAAGTGACTGAAACGATGAGATGATGAGTGACCTTCCATCCATATTAACCGGCGTTTCTTCACCCCGCGCGGAGAACCGCCCTGCCCGGCGTGCCATGCACTCACATGTAGAAATCCCGGAGTGATATGATTGACAGCTCAGAGATAGACGGCAGCGTTCAGAGGGGTGGTGCCCGCGTGCACGACGGAGATCATAGTATATTGGCGGGTTACATGTTAAAAAAGCAGGAATCTGTCCACGAGGAAACGTTCAAACTGCGTCCTTAGTCTCGGGGACAGCGGGAGCGAGTCTTATCTGCATCCGCCTTCCTCGCGTCCATCTCTCCACACACACACACACACACACACACACACACACACACACACACACACACACACACACACACACACACACACAGAACCAGCGATCACTTCTCCCACACACACGAGCTTCACACAGTCGCTCAGTCACACGCACATACACAACCATCACACACGCACGCGCACAGGGGAATCGGTAGTTGTCACCACCAGGTTACATAGCTCTCGAAATAAGGCAATAACTTATAGCGTGTGGTCGATGAGCGATTTGCACCATATATTTACTAAAGGAGTCTGAAATTAGCTGGATGGTGATTCATTTCATTCTAAAATATCCTAATTCTACAGTGCTATTATATTTCTTTATTAAACCTGACCCTTGATTCTTGAAATGTAATTAACTTTAAAACATCCGAACCGCTCTCTGACAGCTCCTGAGACACGATGATCGTTCCTCAAGCATCAGTTTAGACCACTGAGGTGGACTGCGGTCTGAGAGTGTACAGCGCCCCCTGCAGGATCACACACGAACCATGAGTTCACTATTAAACGTTGTCTTTCTTTGGCTAAACACTCCTTTGAGTGACCCTTTTCTCAACACACCTTAAATATATAATTAATTAAACTATATGGTTTTAATAGTTTGATTACCAAACTGGATGACAAAACCATTCACTGTAAACACATTAAATCCAATTCCTCATTGAAAGGGCAACTGGACTTGTTCCTCAAACAAGTTGTCCTTTCACTGAATTGGATAACCATGACCTGACGAGAACCTACTCACACATTTATAGTTAAATTAAAGACAGAAAACATCTACAAACCTTAGTGACACAACATTAGTGGGTGCCTTTGTCACCCATGGGGACATTTTTTTACAAGTTAAAAAGCTTTTTTTGTTGCCATTTCAAAATCAATTACAACTCCCACTTAGAAAAAGACGGTCATTAGACGTCAAATTTTTTTTTAGACCTAATTTCAACCATCTAGATTCTGTATATTTTCAGACAGAATTTAGACATTGCACTTTAACCTATTTGTTAACTACTTATTCCAAAAAGCAACTGTGAGTTGCAAAACGGATTTCCAATTACTTACCCAAAATAATTATGACAGCCATTGAGCAATAAACAGTGTAGTATATATATAGCCCAGATTTAGATTTAGTCTAAACTTGGTCTAAAAAAACTTTCATTGTTAGACCTGTGGTAGCCAGATTTTAGACCAGTTGTCTAGGCTACATTTAGACGTCTATTTGACTTCCTTTAGACCAAAAAATGCTCAGTGGACTGAAAGTGCACTCTTAATATTTTGCAGAATATTACTTGAAAATGTTCATGGACGTATTACAAAATCAAACTTTCAATTGTTTCATTAGACTTGCCTGTGAAACTCAATATACGATCATGTGTCTGGTACTCATACATATAAGAGCAGCATTAAGATTATTTCTCTGTTGTATAACTTTGTCAGCTGTTGAAAAAATCATATAAATTGAGGTTGAGTCATTCTTGTTGTACAAAAGAATAGCTTCAGCTGTGCAAAAAATAGTCACTCAGTCCATCTAAATTTATTATGACACAGTGAACATGACTTTTTCATAAAGCCTCATGGTGCCACAGTGTCCTGAGTTTCCCTCTGAGCTCTGAGTTGATGTTTGAGGATAAACTCTGTAAAACAGCAGTGAGATCCATTAGAAAAAAAAAATCCTGGTTATTTCATGATTTAAAATTATACATTCAGGGCCGCCAGTGTTGCAAAGTGGCAAAAAACTTTGTTAAAAAGTAACTTTGTAGCTTAGTTAAATAAAAAATAATAATAGCTTCGTTAATCAGTTAATGTGAAGGTGTTAGAAATGGTCACAACAGAGGACTGACAGATGAAATTATTATAATGTATCATTATTGAACATATAACCTATATATGTTTATAGGGCTTTTTTCTTTTTCTAGTATAATCTACATTTATTCATGTAAAATTCACCTCAGCTCCTTAGGGGTTTTAGTCACCTGTGATACTGGATACAGAACTATCTGCCTATGTCTATTAGCTGAATATACCTTTCTTCTATGTAAAAGACTAACTTTTCAGTTGTTGCTTGTGAATTTCTACAGGACATCAATAAAGCCCTGTCTTTATTATTTGTCTTTATTTTTTATTTATTTATTGTTTATTATAGTGTATATGAATAATTTAAATTGTTAAGCAACCAGCCACTGAAGACATAAAAAAAGGGATGGGATTAAAACTACACAGCATATGGCGTGCTTTTTCATTGTTTACTACACTGCAGCAGTTTTCTCCTGTAACTAATTTTACTTTGCCTTTTGTGATTTACCCTCAGGAAAACTGCATTTGAGTTTAAAGGTCCTGACAATAATGTTGTCAAATTCTTGTAATTCTGGGATGCTGTGGTGCCCTGCAGGACATGATACAAAATTGTATAGGTCACTGCACACAGCACTGCGAATTGTCTTGGCAATATGACTCTTGGGTCTGTCAACATTGGCAATGTATCCATCTCTGAGTAATTGTCATTATCTAGCCTACATGTACTAATTTCAGTGATGTATGGGCAGCTTTGATACCATCCATTAGCAACAACATAATAGTCAGAGTGACAAGATAATTTCGTTTTTGTCATGTATGATGATGCCACATGATGCAATGGATGTGTCTCATCTCTGTATCTGACTCTGAGCTCTTTTTCCACCCTTTTCCAGTGCAGAGCCATTTTTAAAAACCTTGAGGACTTATAACTCAATACTATTAGGTACTTTTTATTGATAACCTTACATTAAATTGGAACCCTAAATAGGAAAAAAAAGTCAGATTAAATGTGTGATGATAAAGAATAGGGATGCTGAACATCTCAAAGTTAATGTTTCTTTCTTTCTTTTATTTTATTTATTCATTTATTTATTCCAGCCAAGGCAATTTCTTAATTTGACAATATCATGTCACATTGCAACATTTCATATCCATTGGTTGGAAGGGAGCAGGGAGAAGAAACATCTTATATTACCTGCCCATTACTCAAAGTCTAATTGTTCTAATAATCTATCACTGAGCAACATTCATACCACAAAACAAAACAAACAGAACAGAGTTTCAGATTGACTTATGGGTCACTGAGCTATACTGTAGTCACACCATGAAATAAATAAAACAAGCATAATAATAAATGTAAATAAAAGACAGCATTTCAAGCTGATTTTTCAACAAGAATTTTTGGTTACTTTTGTCATAATTTCAAATTGCATTTTCCTTTAACATTTTCTTGACTTGTAAAAGATTTGTACAGGTCTTCAATTCATTACTTTCACAGTTCCACTACAGAGATACACATCTGCTTCAGAGTTTTTAATTCAATGTTTATTATACTAAACTAATCTTTGGAAGCTGTAAATTCTATTTTAAAATGTGATTCAGACGAGGAAAGGCTTCACTCGTAAGTATCACTATAAGGGAATAAATGACTGATTAAGGGAAGTCTTTCTCCACGTTTTAGGGAAGATCATTGAGATTCTCGCCTCCAACGGCTGGTAGCGATAAGGCAGTGGAAGATCCGAAAACAACAACGATACTCTCGCGTGACTTACGTCGTTACGTCATTCCATGATGGCTGAAGATCCTGGCGGAACATTTTTCAATTTCTCTCTCATTTTTCTTTCTTTCTGTCTACCTCTGCTTGCCATAGAGACATGGCAGGACTCACTGGCCCGTTAAGTTTCCACAGATCATTGGTGTCGACATGCCCAAGAAAGGGAACCGAAAACGGCTGAAGTTTAGAGCCGGGGACGTTTGTTCGGAGTCAGGTCGGTTGCGTTTACATTACCCAGCAAGCTCTCACTAACCCCGCCCACTACAGAGGCTTCTTCTTAAAGCCTGTCTTATTTTAGTATCGTCTTATATAATTCAGTTAAATCTCTCTTTTTTTATCATGATATGCTTAAAAAGGTATTTGTTCCGAGTCACTTTGAATTTTTAGCTGGCTTAATGTAAGATTTTCTAGGTGAACGTCAAGGCCAGTTTGGAAATTGTGTTTATTCTCAGACATTATCCTAATAAAAACTACCATAACCTTGTCCTTTCCCTTCAGTCACTGTTGCTGATTATGCTGATGCTGACCCTGCCGTAGTGAAGTCAGGGAGGGTGAAAAAGGCTGTTGCAAATGCTGTTGAAAAAGAAGGTACTGTGTAAACAAAGACATGTCCCGTGTGGCCTTTGTACAGTTTATCAAGATGCTTATAACCGGCTTTGTGTGTTTCAGTGAAACTGCTGTGTGGTCTGGAGGCCTCTCAGGGTGCTGTAGAGGAGGTCCTGTCGTCTGCAGCTAGTGTCACAGCAGACGCTTTGGACAGCAGTGATGACCTAGACCCTGAAGAAGATGGAGAAAATGAAACTAAAGTGGCCCACAAGAAGAAAAACAAAAGGAGAAAGGGTACATCATATGCATTTTGTCGTTGTTTATTCACAGAATGACATCTTAAGGGGTTATTAATGAATTAAAAATTAATTTAGGGTAAAACACACCGTAATACTGAGTTAGACACCCCGTCAAGAGATGAATGTTGCCGACCACTTGCTTCTCCAGTTATACCAACTTTAGTAACGACCGCAGGATAGCAATACACCGCAGTCTCAGGGGCCATACACAAACCTCGACCAAAACACCACTCTATAGCCACAAATAATGCTCAGAACAGCACCTGACTTCATCAACAGTACATATAGGGTCCCAGCCATAGCACTAGCCACCAAACATCTTTTTAGCTTTGCCTAATTTCTTTGGCAAAGAGACTAAACACAACTCACATACTCTCTTCCAGCAGCCACCTGTTTGTTGCAAGACCTTGACCAGTCCATATATCTTCAACCATCTTCATAAATATTCTTCTTTGAGCTGCCCCCCCAGCCCCGCCTCAGTCGATAATGGATAATAGACTGGTCAAGGTCTCGCTACAAACAAGCAGCTGCTGGAAGAGAGTAGGTGAGTTGTGTTTAGTCTCTTTGCCAAAGAAATTAGGCAAAGCTAAAAAGATGTTTGGTGGCTAGTGCTATGGCTGGGACCCTATATGTACTGTTGATGAAGTTAGGTGCTTTTCTGAGCAATATTTGTGGCTATAGAGTGGCGTTTTGGTTGAGGTTTGTTGATGGCCCCTGAGACTCCTGTGTATTGCTATCAGGCGGTCATTACTAAAGTTGGTATAACTAGAGAAGCAAGTGGTCGGCAATAGGCCTGCACGATATATCGTTTGAACATCGTCATCGCGATGTACGTGTGTGCGATAGTCACATCGCAGAGCCTGCGATATTGGAGGTGAATGAACTCATTTAATTTCAAGGGTAACCGACTGAGATACACTCCATGTGACTCTGCATGTGCTGTGCAGCGATCCACCAATCACCTTCGTCCTTAACTCAGTTGCCAATCAGACTCACTTCTCAGTTGCCAATCAGACTACCCTGCCAGCTGTCAATCAAAATCAGGGAGGAGGAAACCCACCCCTGCACATGTTCTGCACATGGAGGGAGACGTGTGTCCGCTGAGAATTACTTTCGGAACTTTACTCATGACTATTAAGCCCAACAAATAAGAACTGTATGGGTTTTAAATTGTACATTTCCGTGGACCACTCTACTATAAGCAGTGCGCGTTTTGCGAGGTGCATGCAATTCTCGGAGGACATGCGTTTCTCGGCACAACACCGCTAACAACAACAACAACGATCGCAAAATGAACAACGAACAAGCGAAAACCACCGAAAATGAAGATATTGTTGCCAAAAAGAAAAGGAAAGTCAGTTATCTGGAATTATTTCGGTTCAAAGAAGGATGATGTCGACCAAAATACGTGTTCTGTGTTCATCCGTCGCCACAATAACGTCCCAGCATAATAAAAGCTGAAAATATCTCTGAGACAGACAGAAGCCATTCTACTAACATTCAGAAAAAGAGGTAAGATCAGAGCAGATTAACTGTCCTCAAGATTTCAGCAGTGCAGCATAACATTAAGTGCTATTCAGGTCATCTGTGGAAATTCCTGTATTTTTAATATCGCAATATATATCGCAGGGTTGAAAAAAATCGCAATATTATTTTTTTCCAATATCGTGCAGCCTTAGTCTGCAACATTCATCTCTCGAGGGGGTTTCTAACTTGGTGTTACAGTGTGTTTGACCCTAAATTAGTTTTTATGCCGAAATATCCCTTTAAACAAGAAGACAAAACACTTTCAACACTTAAAAGGGTGTTGACTATGGTGTCTGCTTTTCATCTGTGCAGAAAGCATCGGAAGCAATGATGGACAGGAGTATCCAGTGGATATTTGGTTAGTGCTCTCCTCCTACATCCGCCCAGAGGATGTTTGCAAATTTGCTCTTATCTGCAAGAATGCTTGGACAGTCACATGCACTGCAGCTTTTTGGACCAGGCTCTACAGAAGGTGAGGAGCTGTCAGTGTTGAAAATAACATGAACGCTGAGAATCTATTTTCTGTCTAAAATTCTATTTTTTGCTCAATATAATAAATGTACTGTTCTTAGGCCCAGATGTTCATGAAAGGCACTGTGATGGGATTTTGGATAAAGCTTTAGTCATGACAGTATTAGTATTACAAGTTCAGCATCAATGAAGCAATACCTGATTTGACTGACAGGTGGGCACATAGTAAGTGTTGGTAAGGAGACCTATCTCAACTTCAAGTTAGGCTGAGGTAATATTTCCAACATGCTGCTGATAGGCTTCAAAACTGCTTCAAAATCAAATGGATATCTCCTAAACTAATTTATGTTTTACACAGTCTAGACTTTGCTCATGAGCTAGGGGAAGTGTAAAGCTAAAGCCCTGTTGCTTTGATAACACACCGGAAAACATGCTTGAGATTAGTTTGTTTGAACAATACAAACATGCAAAGATAATATCCCTGGCGTAAACTGGCACCTTAAGATTAACATGTTTTTTTCTTCCCCTTACCAATCTTTTCTGTCTCACAGACACTACAAGATTGATGCCGACTTGCCTCTGCGTCTTCAGCCTGATTCTTTTGACAAGATGCACTGTCTACGGGCCCGTGTGATCCGCTCCCTTTTCCATTTGTACGAGCCATTCGACTCGCGTGTTTCAAAAATTCCTGCCTTGCCAGAATCCACACCCACAGCCCTGCTCAACTCTAAGGTAAACAGGCTGATCTGTAGTCAGTTAGTGTTGTATCTGATAGGGTTGCATGTGACTTGTCACTTGAAGCTCTACCTGTTTTATCCTTTGGCTCTTTTGGCACAATATAGAAGCTCAAGGTTAAATGAGCCTAGATATAACCAGAATTCTGCTATGTATTGGTCCTCATGGCCATCACCTTTGAAAAGTCATGATGCTCAGAGAGTTCCAGACTAATTTGAAGACTTGTTATGATTATTAATGATTAATTTAGTGTGTGTTTGAAGTGAGATCTTGGAGACTTGGCTCTCATGTCATATAATAGCACTCAACTGGTTGGATGTAAATGTGTTTTCTTATTCGTTGATTATTTTATGAGAGTCACTGAAAAAAAAAAATCTACTAATACATTTCCCTTAATCCTCAGTAGTCAAAATTAAAATTTTATTTATTCAATTTTGTTTTTCAGTGTTTACTGTTCTGGGTTAGAAAGGTAACTGGAACACGGCCAGAAGCATTGTGGGAGTTCAACTTTAAGTTTAGAAAGCAGGTAAAAAAGTACTTTAATTCCCCAATATGACAACCTTTACATTGTCAATACTTGGTTTTCTCCATAGAGGTTACATTTGTCCGTTTCTGGGTTCACCTTCTTTTTAGCAGGTGCATGGTAAGAATGGATGTGCCAAGTCTCTGCGGATGCCCAGACAATATGAAGATGTCCACACAAACCCGGACTCTGACTGCTATGTACTTCAGGTCACCACCCTCAACTTCATCTTTACTCCTGTTGTCATGGGCATGACTCTTACCCTGGTAAGTATCTCTCTTCAGGCTCATATTGGTTACTGATTTACATGGTAGTCATTTAAATGTAGGGTTTTTTCCCGTGTGACCATACCACAACTGTACAGAGGATTTAAGTTGCAATGAATCAAAACACCACAAACAGCTACCTTTTCTTCCATGAATTGAGAAAGGAGGTGGCAGAAGGTATGAATGAATGTTTATATCTGTAACTTTTAGCAAGAGGAACTCTGATTAATGAACAAGATGGAAGAAACTAAAACTGATCATGTAGAGGATGGGAACAGTCAGACAGGATGGATTTTGCTTTCTTGTACAGCTGTTTGTAATATAGATCCTGTAAAGTTCCATAAACAGAGCCAGTTATTCATCATATTATATAATTTGATTTAATTTATTTCCTTCATGGATGAGTTTTTCAGCATCTTGCTGAGATGAAAATAGGTGTACTTTGGCAATATTTCCCATTTACACACATTTTTAATGTTGCACCTCTTATTAAACATCTCTTTTTTTTAATTTAGATCCCTCACACACTTGATGAAATGGCTGTGGGACAGCCCCAAGCTCTTGCAGACTTAGCTCGAACTTGTGTCAAAGTCAGTGAGTGTGTTAGTGTGGCCATTAAGACTAAAGGCCAAAACATACAGGATCCATGTTGAGCACGTTCCAGTGGCATAATGTATCACGCAGCAAATAGGTTCCCATTCTAATCAATGCAGCATCACACACAGGGCACATTGCAGCTCTTTCATTCATAAAATTGAATGAAAAAAAAAAAATGGTGCCCCAAGCAAATTTTTCTTAATCCAAAATATTGTGTGTCTTCTCTGTTTTTCAACAGTTCACAATAAATGTTAGTACAGACATGCGCCACCACCGTGTTCGCCTGGTGTTCCAGGACTCGCCACTTCAGCGAGGGAAGAAGAGGAGCGATCAAGGTGGGACCCAGGTGGTACTAGATCCTGTACAGAGTGTGAGGCTCATGGACTGGTGGCACCCACAGTACCCCTCCTCACCCTACATATAGAAGTCGTGCCCCCTCGGTCCTTACCACAGCAGCTCGTCATGCAAAGACCACCTGTTGTTTCATCCCACTCATCAGGACAAACCAAAATTGCATGGGCTGTGTTTAAACGCAAAGCTTTTGCAGATTTTTTTTTTTGTGATTGATATTTGTCAGGGTTAAAGAAAACCAACTTTGACTGGCCTGTTGGAATCAAGTTTCAAAATCAGAATCATCTGAACACCTTTACCGTACTTGTAGAGTTACTGAGAGCTCATATTTATTTCATTGACACTGACTCTGGATGTGTACCAAGATTATCCAGTTTAAACTGTTTTGGCAGGAAGACTTGTGTGCACAGGATCAAGTCTACTATATCAGACCACATGGTGACATTGGCTTGACCTTCAATCCCTAAACACTCCTCAGCTTTGCTGGTCTGAGGTAGGGTAGGGTGATATAAAAATGAAACAAATTTGAGATTGTTAAGTTCAGTCACCCACTGATTTGTATATTGATGATAAACTGCATCAGCTTGTTCAGTAATGATTTGGTCAGTAAACTTATGCAAATTCAGAATCATGTTGGCAAAATCTCCCTTCATGTGATGTTTATAAATATAGCAGGCAAAACTTCAATGTTTTTGCATAAAAACCGACTACTTTGATACAGTAGCTGCCAAAAGATGAAAAACAACATATCACTCAGCCCTGGGGATGTGGAAAAGAGAAACATGCACCCATTGCTACCAGATTCATTAGAATTTGTACGTCCACTTCATGCTGACAGTATTTACTCTTGTGGATTTTATTTTGAAAAAGTCGAACTGGAATACCTTGGTTTTGCCTTGATCAAAAGTTTGCGGCAGAAAATCATGATACTTCTTTTCAAATCAATTTTATCTTTATGTATTGAACTCAAGGCCGCCTCACTTTGTATTATGTAAACATAATGACACTGCACTTCATTGAGGGGGCCAAAGAGATGATTTACCTCAGCCGTCATCCACTCGACTGCTAATTAGGGCAGGGTTACTTTCCTCTTGAGAGGTTTGTGGGCTAAAATAATTTTGTTTACTTGTTGAAAATGTGAGCCATTTCTCCCACTGCCCCAATATTAACTCCAAATGGCACAGAGTTTCAGGGCAATTTCAAAAGCAGTCAGTCTTTTGTGTGTTGAATGTGAGTAGAATTATTCCAATCACGTGCTTTATTATGATGGGTTGAGAACTATCATTGACACAAACCTTTATTCATCTGCAGAGCACAGCAAAAACTGGTGTATGGAGTTTCATTCACTATTATGTGTTTTGTAAGTTGAAAACAGCTTCATCTCAAACAGTGTTCAAAATGAAAAATAGTCGACCATGTTTTCCCATAACAGAGGACAGCTAGATGTTCTGGTTTGCAGTAGATAAATGTCCCATTAGACGATGATTGTTTGGATGTAGAAATTTTCTGCACTGAAATAAAAATGAAACTGCCCATTCACAATGCCTCCTGCTCTGTTTTTAAATGCTGACATATTCCATATTTTTCTTCCCTCTTGTGGTCATATTGGGTACTGCCTAGACTGCCAAGGATTTAAGCATTCATGCCTCTGTCAGCTTTTGACCATTTGTCTTGACACAGGCTTGATTTTCGGAGGCCATCATTCACATTTCTTTAGATTTCTATGAATGTAAGAAAAGGCCATGCAATGTTTCAGTAAAATTATTGACAATTGGCCAACCAACACCCTGAATCAAAGACACCTCCAGACCTGCAAGACAATGTCAAAGTAACAACTTGGATTTAAACAGAGATAAGAACACAATGAACACCTTAGCAATCGAGTTGTGCTTTTATATTGAAATTATGGCCTTATGGCCAAAAAGTGCAAAGGTAAAACTTTTAGAAACGTCTTAACTTTCTACAGCACCACTGGCTAGATCACTTCATTTAGGGCCTCCTATAGGGGTCACAAATAGTGTAATTACAGTGGTCGAGAAACGCCACTGCTGCAAATAAGACAGAATGAAAAAAAAAAAGGAACCATAACGGAAGTTACTGATGCAAAAACAAGAAAAAGAAAAGAAACTGAAATTAGTGGAAAGGTTATCGTTAACTTGCGCTTCGTAAACTTCAATGTATCATTTGGTCAAGCCATGTATAGCCTGAGTCGATATGAAGTTGATCTGGAGGATGCCGGTGTAGTGTTAGCTTCGGTTCAACTTTATATCGACTCAGGCACAACATGGGCTAACCACATTGAAAAGCACACAAAGCAAAATTAAACAATAACCTTTCTGCTTACTTCTTTGCTTGTGTTCTCGCTGTCATCTTCTGTGCCTGGATCGTAAAACCCTGGTGCATCATCATTCTTGGTCCCTGGCAGCTCACTTCAGTTGTGGCTTTTCGTATTTCCATCTTTTTTATTTTCGCAGTAAGTAACTTTTTTTTTCCATTGCCATTTTTTTTTGTAGTAAACTTCCGTTGTGGCTGTTTTATTCTGCACTGTTTCTTTTTTTATCAGTAACTTCCGTTGTGACCTTTTTTTTTTTTTTTTTTTTGCATTCTTTTTTTATTTGCAGCAGTGGCAGTTCTCGGCCACTGTATGTAACCACCCCTGCATGTTGACTGATAAATCCTGACCAGAGCCGACCCAAGGCATAAGCGAACTAAGTGCCTGCGTAGGGCCCCATGGCCAGTAGGGGGCCCCCAAAAGCAATAAAAAACAAAATTTAAATATTTTTTATTTTTTGCATGTATGAGTGATGCTTTCTGTATGATCAAATATATATTATTGTAAATATAAAATAAAGTAAAATCATTGTAGTGCTGCTGCTGATGTAGGCCTATGATTCTTACTGACGATGACACTTTTACAGTAAACACAATGCTTTATCACTTGGAATATTGTGAAAATCAGCCCCAGGCCGCTCTTGTAGCTGAATGTGTTACATTCTGAGATTAAAAACCATATGTGACACCCTTCATCAGTCATTCATTGGTATTATTTGTATGGTTGCATTGGTATTATTTATGTTATTACCTAGGCCACCCCCTTAAATGTGTAAAGAAACATCAGGCGCATGAAATTTGTACTGTAGTGGGTATGTGAATGACCAATAATCAATATATTGGCAGAAATAGAGGGCCCCAAAATCAAATTTTGTTTAGGGCCCCATTGAGGCTTGGGCGGCTCTGATCCTGACAGTCGATTTAGTTGGAATCAAATCAGTTACAGAAAAACTGCAGTAAAATGTGAATCCAAGCTTGTGACATTTCAACACGCAGGAACAAAGCGCCTCGAATACAGACGGTAAAATGTAAAGTCATGTCCGACTTGAAAGTATTCTGGCTAAAGTTAGAGGGCCCCATGAAACTCTCTTTGGAGTCAACAGTCATCACGTCATCGCCTCAAAATACCGCAGAGTCTGTTAAGGATACGAGGAAACTACATTACCCACAAACCCGCTTGCGCTGTGCCATTGGTGGTGGCACAGGTGACCGCAAACGCTCCGAGTTGTGACAACATCTCGACTGAGCAAACGAAAACAAATTAGCCTCCGAGGTGCGAGGCTGCACACGCTGACACGGACTGTGGAAATATTTAGACTCGAACGTATAGGGTTCAGTCCTGACTCACACGCGACCCTTTTCCTCGCTGTGCTTGGTTGTGACGAGTTTGGTATCATCAGAGCGCACGAGAGCAGTGGGCACGCACTTTTCCTCAATCAGATTACTTCGTTCTGTCTGACCTTCAGCTCGGGTAAGTGATATTTCAGCACCGCAGCTACAAAGTTAGCTTCTGCTAAAACACTTCAACCCAGCCAAACACTGCAGCTGCCTATGACAAGAGCATATAACCCACTTTATGTTAAGATGGAAAATATCATTTAGGCCTATTAAGCCTCAAAGTAAGACAGCCAACTTTTTTAGTCGTCATTAAAAATAAAGACCTCAACTTTTTTTGTTATTTTCAGTGGCTTAAATATGTGGCGGAATTACTGCAAAATCGTCCAGTTTTTGCATCGTGAATATAACACGTACCTACATCCGTTTGCCTACACGACCCATTAACTTTACTGATAGACATCACAAGTGACAGTGCATCTTATGTCATTTTATATCCAGCAATTTACGGTGTTATTGGGATCAAGATGAGGTATGATTGTAAAGATGTCATTTCATATTTTTCTTTATCGAGTAGAAATATTTTTACACAAATAACGCTGGAAAAAAAAAGGACAATAGAAAAAAAATAAAAACCAAAATCAGCTGCTTTCACATACAAGGTGGATACTGGTACCATTTTGACACCCACTGTGCAAGACCATGATGCACTTTTCCCCCCCCTTTTACTGTAATCAGTGAGTATCTGCTGAGAGCTGCCCCCCTTACCATTTATAAGCAACAGGCAGGCTGGTATCAGTGACAACACCTCAGTCCGGGGGGTATGCTGCTATGTATAAGCTGTGACTGTAAAACTGGACAGACCATAATACACTGCTGCTTTTTCCTGTACAGTGCGCTCACAAATATACCAAAGGCATCACAAGCCATTTATGCCTCCCTCGGTCCCCCCTCTGCAGAGTGGGCTTTATTTACATACCATGTTTGCTATTAGTGTGAGTGCGTGTTTAGTGGGGGGCGCTCTTTGTTATGCTTTATGCTGTCTAGTAATACTATGTCAATGTTTCATTCCAATATTTGTCGACATTTAGTGTGCACCTGCAATTTAGAGGCAACTTTAGAAGGAGCGACATGTCAAACCTTGTTTTGCTATAGAAAATCACATATAAACATTTGACCATGTTGCTGTATTAAGGTGGGATAATAGGATCATGTTGCTGGTGTCGATCTTCAATCATCATTCAAATTATTTTTTTCATGGTCAGCGTGTATCAAAACAGCTTTCTTTTTTCTTCTTAACTCCTCATCCAGTTAAAGTATCACTTTATCCTCTCCACAGCTAGTCTATATCTCACCTTTGTAGGCCCACATGTGTCCTTACAGTTTGACCACCATACCAGCCTAGTATTTAACAGCAGCTCCAAACTTTGTGATCATTCAAATCAATTCAAACGGCAAAGTTCAGAGGTCAAAGAAAAAAAGGAACCTCTCATACTAAGTTTTTCAAGCTTCTGTTTTTCATTCATCGTGTCTTGGGTGCTTGATCTTTGTGCATTTTTGAGAAGTTTACTCTCATACCTTACCATTAGTCCGGCATTGATCATGTGGTTTTGTGAAACTCTGTTTTGACAGCAAATGACGTAAGTTTCCAGAAATAGAAAACATAGAGGTCAGCACACACGTCACATTAATGACACAGATTGTTTAAGTGAAATATTTGAGAAAACTTGAAGCAAAGTGGTGTTGAAACCATCAGCAGCAATAGTCTTTATGATTACCTTTGGTTGAAAAAAGTAGGATTTTGTGGTTTAATGTTTCTTTGAATACTGTTGTGCTTTCAGTTTCTTTTCTAAAAGTTTTTGGGAAGTAGCCAAGACTATTGAGGTCAGCCAGCCCCAATGTTGGGTTTCTTGGTGATGCACGTATTTCTGTTTATTGGTTTTTGTTTAAAAAAAAAAAAAAAAAAAAAAAAAAAAGGACTGGGGAGCTTCCACCTCACCGTTACTCATCACTGCTGAGAAGTTAGACACACACAGATGGGCATTCATATGCATGCAGGTTCAGCTGCAGGTCTGTGGTTTAACAAAAAAAACAAAACAAAAAAAACATCCAGTAAATGAGCCGTGAAGGGGTGTTCAGGTCTTATAATGGGGTGAATATTTTACAACATAATATGGATTCTGATTTGTAATGTGGTGATGGAGACACCAAACCTCTTTCCCATTATTTTCTGTTTTTTCTTTTACTTCCTGTAAATAATTGGACGGAAACATTCCCATTTCCTATAAAAAGATCAAAAAGATAGACCAAATGGCACAAGCTGAAACTATTACACTAATTCAACACTACCACATGTTCCTTAACAAATTTAATTTAGTTAATGTTTTGTATTTTATCATGTGCCCCTTGATGTGTTTCAATGATTATCTTAGGAATGCCTCTGAACAAAAATCTAGTCAAAAGGATCAGAAAATATTACTGTAGCCATCTGCTGTTAGTACAATCAGGGAATATCGTAATTAAGGTGACAAAGTCAGAACCTAGTAACAGGTTTTTTGGGACAAAGGAGGTTGAAGGTTTGTGAGTAGTTGTTGGGACCTTCATCTGTCCTGTACTGGTTCTGTCATTGTGACAAAACACAAGTCTGTGTACAGTGTTGAAGCTTAGACAAAATGGCACAGATGCACACAGAGGAGTCAGTGAGGTTACAGAGTACACGAGGTGTAAAGGGTCGAGGGTTAGTTAACATACTGAGGGGTGAGGTCACTGTCAGCGAGGTCAGAGGTGGCCAGCCAGTATGTGGAGCAGCGGTGTCGCCCGGCAGACTGATTGCACCCTCTCCAATAAGCACAGTGACAACCTGCTCAAATGACCTTCAAAGGAAAACAGAGTAGGATTTCAAGCTCTAAACCTTTGTAGTAGAGACGTCTGTTTCTTTCAGCTACTTTAAATATGATCCAAAAAACTGAAAATGCTTTACTACAAATATTTCCATTCATATACCCAAACTGATTTCTAAACTAAACGCTAGCCCAGAGCAATTCCCCCTCTGCAAATATTGTCTGTGAAATAACACTCTTTGTTAATGTACCACGATGACTGACTTTAAAAAGCCCAATTCATCAATGAATCTTAAAGCAGGTAGAAATTCTCATTATTTTCTACACCCTTTTTGTTAATTTTACTCAATATTGAAGCTAAAATCAGTTTTTTCTTGGTTTGCGAGTACTGGTTATGGATTACTGCAGTTGCACTGGTGGTCAATTCCTCTGTTATCTGTTGATTTTGATATCAGCGTAAATTGTGTTACTACTTCTAAACTTTTCACAAAAAATGAACCTGAAAGCTGTAGGATCGTGGTATGGGCCTGCTGCATTCTATACTATAAAATATGATATGAATACGATAGGTTGAAACAAAAGTATGATACAATACAGCACTATACCGTAAATGATACTACACATACACAATGACAATACTATCATGTCACAGTGATTCTGCAGTAGTTGATAAATTACAAAGAAATCAAGTTCCGCAGAACATCTAAGAGTAAGAATAACTTTATTGATTTCCGAAGGGAAATTCAATTGTCTGCCCTCTCATATGTCATGTCTCTAAAAGTCATCTACGATTTATAAAAGGGTTGTAAAATCTGATGGCTGTGGGTACAAAAAGATCTTCTGAATCTTTCTGTCGTGCAGCGAAGAGAGAGGAGCCGTCCACCACCATTGGCCCTTTGGTCCATTAAGTCGTTATGAAGTGGGTGATCCATGTTCTTTAGAACAGTCTCCACCGTCCTCAGTGTAGGAATTCAACCACGGAGCCAGCTTTTTTCACCAGTTTGTTCAGACATCTTGCATCTTTTTATTTGATACTGCCTCCTCAGCAGACTGCAGCGTGGAACAGAACACTTGCCACCACAGACTGATCTGTGGTGGCACACATCTGATTAATGTGGTAAATTAAAATTGGAGTGGAAATCTGTTCAGATAGCTATATTAGTCAGTCAGTGATAAGGTAATTTTTTTTTAAACATATCAATATAAGATACACTTAGAAAAGATAAAAAAAACCATTTTAACTCAACAGTAAAACAAAAGTAGATAAATTCTAAATAATACAGTGAACTAGTTTACTGTCCTGAGTGTTTTTGCAGGTATGCAAGAACCAAAATAAACAAATTGCCCCCTCAGGTATATTGAAGATGCCTTAAAATGTAAACATTAGATGACAGTAGATGATATGATTATTGCTGCTTTGGTCTGTGGCTGCACCGCTAGTTGTGGCTAAACTGCTAATGTTACTCGTACCGTCAGCAGTGACAGGCTGTTCAGACTCCGCTCACATTTTCATGCTTTACGCATAATAATTCAGGAAGAACTTCTTCAAATGATCAAACACATTTGTTGTGTTGCCGGTTTTTGAAGGCACTGATCGCCGACATACCTTGCACATCGGCTTAATTGCCCAACGTCACTTTGGAGATACCCGAACCACTGCAACACAACCGACGTAGAACAACTTCTCAACAATAACATCTTCAGAGGATGACTCAAAGTCGTGGCTGACATCTATTTTGCTGCCCTCAGCTCTGCGTTTAGCTCCACGCTCGGTCATTCTTTTTACTTCTCCTGTTTACTTCTCCGGCAACTTACATAAGTTAGCAGGAAAAGCTCGACTCTGATTGGCTGTTGTGACGCACATTTCCGCTATGTTTAATCGAGTAAATATGCTCACAGCTGATCACCGTGATCAAACTGAAATTTATCACGATCATCGATCACGATTATATTATCGCCCAGTCCTAGTCCCACCCCTGCTTGCTTATTCTTGATAGTGCATTTTAACCAGTTTTGGTGGCCTGTATTTGTATCATATTGTATCATCAGCATTGTCAGTTCCTATACTGGTGTCAGTATTGATCAGCATTTCTCTTGTTTATATTTTTGTCTGTGTTTGATTTTGTGAAACATACAGACCCATCACCTTGTCACAGAGGTGCACAAATTAGTACAAGCACTGCATCCTGTGTGCTCTGATTATGGAAAAGTGTGTGTGTTGGTCATATTTTCAGCCTCATTGGACTCATGTCCGCTTGTGATGGGTTTAATTTTCTTCAAGTAAACATAGGCAGCAGAGCCAACACACACAAATGCACACCGGCACACTGACTGGGCTCAATAGATGTACTCTAGTGTGAAAGAGCATCAGCTGTGTGTAAACACAGTCTCATCTGTGCTCCATATGGACAGATGTTGCATGACCTGAATGGTTTTTTCCTGAGGTTTGGTGACTAGACAAGGTAAAAACTTAATGAGGAACTGCTTTGCTGTTGTTCCAGATTTCTCATAAACATTGTCAAAGAAAAACAGAAAGACCAAAGAAATTACCAAACAAATTTAACATTCAAGCCGGACTTTTCGAACCACAGAAATGACGGCTTGGCATGTGCTGTGTGACAACATGACCCATGATCCATCAGAGGTGAGTGTGGGTGGGACACTTAAGGGCATGTGCTGAATGTGTGACTCCACTTCCTCATTTATCTCCACTCCACTGTTTCATATCCTCTTTTGAGTGACAGACAGTGGTGGAGGTACACAACAGTGTCTCTTTTCTCTATCAGAACGGCGGCTCAGCGTCATGTTGGAGTATGTTCGGACAATGGACCTGTTAGAGTAAAACACAGGGGTCTGTAGTTGTAGAGTTCGGCGACTTTGGCCCTCTCAAAGGCCTATTAGAGATTCCAAGGAGTGATAGTTTCATTTTCCTATTAGATGTTTAGTCAGCTTTGCGTTTGAGAAGTATGAGGACTTCCTGTTCCCACTCTAAAAATTGAAGTATGTTGTAATATAATTAGTGAGCTGTCAGTTGTCATTGTAATCATCTGACTTTATCGAAACATGAAAAAGATAAATCGCTGAGCACATTTTGTTTGTAATCTGCAGTTTCACTTATGAAGTTTTGCTTAAAAGGATATTTGACATTGTAAGAAAAAAGTTTCCTGCTTGTTAAGTCTGTACAGAGTCTTTCTGTCTTTTGTGGTCTTTGTGTTTGAAAGTTTCCTGAAAGTTAACATTCTTTCATACTAACTAGAAACTCTCCTTTGAAATACTGCAGCCAGCTCCCCCAATATTACACCCCCTGGGCTTCTCAAACAGGTTTTGCTCCATTTAATTTCTAGTACTCTTTTCATTGCCAAAGGCTTTGAACTACTGCTAACATATTTCAACGATTTTTGTCTTTTGGCTAGACTGGTTTCAATGTGGTTTTCAAATTTGGATCAAGTCTAATGTGTAATGACATATTCTCATCATGTCGAATCTCCTTCTGGTTAGGCAAACTGAGTCTTACTGATTGTATTTAAAGGATAGTTGTATTCCGTACACTTAAACCTCCCCCTACAAAGTTGCACCTGGCTCTGCACAGCTGTTTAGGACTTTACAGTACTTTGCATTGCCTGCCATTTTTTGATTGTTCATTAGGATGATTCTTAAAAACTTTGTAATAACTTCTACAGCAAGTATTAAACCCCTTTATGTAGTTTCCTCTCTGTTATTATAATTAAAAACATGTGCTGTCTATTCCTTGAGGTAAAAAGAAGACCTATATGTGGCCCATAGAGTCTGATGCAGCCTTCTCTTTCAGAGTCAAATGTCTCCTCTTATGCACCAACGCATCCTTGGATCCATCCTCTGTATTCTGTCTTTGAGAGCCTACGGCAGTATATTCAGCTCATTGTACCTTTCTCCAGTTTTTTTTTTTTTTTTACATTTTTGTTAAAAAGATCATATTGGAGAAATAGGAAAAGTTATGAATCCATGATCAATGCACAACTTTGAGTTTAGCATGTTGTGTCTAGTTGTAAAACCTGTTTTTTGTTTTTAAAGCAGTCTGATTAAAAGAGGAAGGTAATAAACAATGTCACCTTTTGCACTTTCAGAATCAACACACTGTCATTAGTCATACTCTTAAAAGTAAGCGGCATGGTTTATGTACTTTCCTACTCTAATATTTCATGGACGAACAATTGCATTGATCAATCCTGAGCCTCATTTTACTTTAAATAATCTCAGAGGAAATTCTTCCTTTTTAGAATCTGTGCGTCTAAAGTGCACAGCTGGATCTGGCATCTTTATTAAAGGCCACATATCGTTGTTAGCTGTTGTTTACAGTTGTCAGCTGTTGTTGGCCATCATCAGCTGTTGTTAGTTGTTGTTTGGTACACCAGTTGTAAACAATGCATAACACAGTATTTTACTCTTACAAACACCATAGCACAAATACCACTTTCTCAATTTCACAAAAACAAAACAGAAGTGCTAATAAATACAACATTATGAGAGCTTTCATTGTTACTCTTTACTGTTGACGCACTGCGCTGCCATCTTGGATTATGACGCTGTCGTCAAGTCGGGGTTGGTGAGGATTGTCCGACTTTCTGAGTCGGAATTTTGATTTAAGGGGGGCGTTCCAGATGAATTTCTGACTCAGAGCTCGGAAATTCCGACTTCCGAGTACAACTGGAACGCAGCAAAAGTTACTCTAAGAATCACAACATTTTCAGGTGTAGAATCAGACTCCTTGGATTACCTTCTCCTTTTCTGTGAGCATTTGTAATGGTCCATGGAGGAAATCTTCAATTCTATCGTATTGTTGTGTGTGTGTGTGTGTGTGTGTGTGTGTGTGTGTGTGTGTGTGTGTGTGTGCGTGTGTGTGTGTGCGTGCGTGCGTGCTATTGTGGAATCAATTCTTTCTGTGTGCCCTATAATTTCAGACTAAAAGGAATTGATACTTATCAGGCACACACACTCACACACACTCACACTCACACACACCTGTTCCCTTGTAAACTTATCTTGTTGATAATCATCTTCTTGACCCCTCCTTGAACTCCCCTGTGTTTTCAATTGTTTCTGTCCTTCCTGTCTTACCTTTTTTTGCTCACGCTCTCCTTGCTCTTCCTTTCTAAAGGGCTCAGGGGCAGACACATTCTTATTGCTGGTGTTAATTGGTTAAGAATAAAAGCAGGAGATTGAGAGTGACACAGTGGCAGAGAGTAGTAATTAGAGTTAAAGAAGGTGGAAAGCCTGGAAAGATGAGGTTTTAATTCTTCATGGCAACAACTGATTAAATTTCTCTGTTTGTGTGTATGTGTTTGTGTGTGTTTCTTATCTTTTTACTCATCTCTCAAATGCTTCTCATTCCATTTCTCCCTGCACGGAGACTCTCGCCCATGCAAAAAGAAATGCAGCATGGCTGGTTAGCCGGTTTATAGACTGTCCTTCCTCTTTTGCACACAAACACACTCATGGATTCCCACTTATGTTTACCCAGTATTAATAATGGTTGGTTTATCTGCTCCACATTAGGAAGGCTTTATCAGTTGGGAAATTAACATCTAATAGCTTAGTGATCATCCAAATTTGTGAAAGCATAGGGGTACATTAAAGGCCCACTCTGATGAAAATCATGTTTTTCTTGTTTTTTTTATATGTTCATATGGCATTTTTCTGATGCTACAGGACATATCATGAGAAAACTAAATGCGAAATTGCCTCTGAGTATTTCTTCATGTCACACTTTTAGTATGAGGAAGTGATTTTTTCGTTTTTGTGAGCATAAATAATTTGATAGCAGAGCCGGGCTTGTTTGATGTTGAGTTCCTGTAAACAGAAGCATCTCTGCTGGAATCAATGGTGGAGCATTCTTACAGAGGTACTACTGTGCTCCTGTTTAACTTGTGCTTTTTTTTTTGGTATGGCTAAAGATCCAAAATATTTTAGGCAGACTCAAAGGTAACTGAGCATAAAACAATTAGTAATATTTATTTATTTACTGTATTTGATCTATAGCCATTAAAAGAGTCGTATTTGTTTATTACACTCCACACCATCATGGTTTCAATGTTGAGTACATACTGTATTTAAAACATTGGGTATGATTGAAGTCCTGTTTGATGCAAGTGTGCATATTGATGAATAGTGAAATTGTAAAACCAATGCCTGTGTTCCTGACTTTAACTAGCTGGGAATATTGACAAGGTTGTTTGTCCTACTTAATCGAGAGATGGCTTGAGGTTAGAAAAGCTGGGTCAGACTACACTCAGACATTTGACACAGCGGTTCAACACTAACAAACACTTACTAAGATTGTCACATGTATACTGTATTTGTTTACTAAGTCATTGTGACCATAGTGACCTGAGGAGTACTGACAAAATGCCTGGCGGACTAACAGAAGAGGGTCTTGAGTGCTGTGCTTGTTTGTGTGCATGCATGTCTGTGTTTGGGACCCGCCTCCTCCACAGGCCTTTGTCAGAAGAGTACAAGGCTTTATTGGTCAATGATTTTTCCTCCTACATAAAAGCTTCATGATTGGCCAGACTGGACTGGACCGCAGCTTTACCAACCAATAGGCTGCTGTCCTGGAGGGGTCCTGCCCCCCGGTCAAAAATAGCCCAGTAAATACACTGCGGGCACTATGAGAACTGGAGCTGCCTCACTGATGAATGCTTTGTGTACAAACAAGGGATGCTTGTGAGCTGGATGCTGCTGAACCATGCTGGTCAGTGTTTTCCTCTGTTGTGATAGGCACAACTAGCTTAGTGGCACTTTGATACCGCTGTTTGTGTTTCTGTATCCAGGGAGAAAGGAAAGGGGGGACTTATGAAAGAAAGCACCAAGTCGAGCTGCACACAGAACAGAGGAAAGTGTTGCAATTATTAAACTACACCACAAACTAGGGCTGGGCGATAAAACAATAACGATATATATATGGAAAATTAATTTCCCTTAATATCAATATAAAACATGGTCACTATTCTTTTCAATAGTCAGCATTCTGCCATGTTTTGGTAGACTATATGAGTAGCCAATGAAAAGGGGAGTTGTCCCGGGTCCGCTTCACGCTGAACCAATCGTGCTGAATCAGAACCAAGTAGCAAACAACTGCGTAGTAGCAGGCTGCAGCTAAACGCAGCCATAGCACTTCAACACATAAAGCTGCCAGCACTGTCGGTGAGAAAAAAAGAAAGAGTGCTACAGATGATTGACAACACTGGCACGAAAATGTCGGTGGTGTGGAGGTATTTTGGTTTATTGAGGTCGGACATGAAGCAGAGTAATGTGTACTGCAAATTATGTTGAGTACATGTTCTCTCAAAGTGGGGGAATACCTCAAATCTTTTTCATCACCTGAAGCAGTGCCACGCGGCAGAGCACACACAATGCAAAAGGTTACAAACCCCGAGTGGAGCAAGAGCCCATGGCACCTGTGCAGCGGAAACAGCCGACCATTCAGTCCGCTTTCTCTAGCACAACGCCTTAGGACAAAACTTTGAATAGATACAACGACCTCACAGATGCAGTGGCTTATTGTATTGCAAAAGACGTGCTACCAGTAAGCACTTGTACATTTCATTTTTTATATTGTGATATTCATCAATGTTGACTGATATGAAATAAATTTATTATGATAAACTTTTTACCATATCGCCCAGCCCTACCACCAACCTTTCCATCAAATTACAATGAGTTTTCTGCATGTGGCCTTGACAGTATGATTCAGGACATATGGATATAGATTTGTTGATTGAAATAAAAGTCATTAATCATATATCTCAGTTAAAAAAAAGGTTATGTGATGGATTCAACTTTTGGGCTGAAGCTATCCCAAGAAGTCAGAGTTGTTACTTCATAAAGACCTGCAGCAAACACAAGCAAACATTGCTGGTTGCTTCACAGAATATTTCAACCTCTTAAAGTAAACTTTCAGTAAACCAGAAATCAAACACAGTCTCTTTATTTTAAACTTGTTTGTGTGCAACAATTTCACATTACCTGAATTAAAACTCCATTAATATTTTGCATGATCTCACCACTAGGAGGCTTCTACCTTCTGACGCTTTTCTGTTGTTTGCGATGTGCTTATCTTTTGGATTGAAACTACTTCTTCACTAATCCATATTTGCTTGCTTTAGCTTTCGCCTAGTGCACATGCAAAGAGTGAAGAAAAGGGAGGAACGTGACTACAGTCTCAAGTAAACAAATCTTATAGCATCTTTTCAGGGGTTAAATTAAATTTGAACCCACTTGACTGTCACAGGTTTGAACAAAAAACAACAGCTGAAAGTATAAACCTATACTTGTATACCTCAAAGTTAGCTTCTATTCAGTGCATGCACTTAAATGTTAAAATAATATCTAAACCAAGCCTCTCTTAAAATGGTGATACTCTGAATACAGATGTGAGAGGCAGTGTCTCACGTATTTTGCGATTTTCTCGCAGAAATGTGAGTAATGAATAATTAATATTTTTTTGATAAATTTAAGTGGAAAATGTGTCATGCAGTGTGCCACAGTGTCAAATCAAATAAATCATCTTTCATAGCTAAAATAAGAGAAGTACAATACCGCAGAGTCTTGTTTGAAAACATGACCAATACCACAATTACTTAGCAATTCTTCTGCCCTTCATGGAAGTTGAAAACTCTTTCTCTGTTGTTTTTCTTCTGTCTGCTGTTAATCACTGCTCTGTAGTCACTACATCTGTTGTATATCTTGAGAAAGCAATTTTTTATTATAATTTGTATGCCTATAAGATAATCTTTTAAGAATGTTGTGACTGAAACTTTCAGTAAACTGTGTCAAATAGATCAGTTATGAAAAAGTGTGTGAATACTAAAGGTGGGAATCACCAGTGACCCCACGATACAATATTATCGCGATTTTTAACAGTTTGCAATACATTGAGTATTGTGATACAATACATTGTAACTCATACATTTTTTTTTCAACTTTTAGCATTTGTCTTTCCTTTATGTTTGTCTTATTTACACAGTGTTTTATTTTCATGTAGCACATCTAATAAACCTTTTGTTTCAGGTCCATCTCATTTGTGCCCACTGCCCTGCTTGCATTCCTAATGTCTTTCCCCGGGTGGCGCTATATTTGTTGCACTAATTTTCTCCTGCTTTATGATTTCACCCCTGCCAACCTCACTGGAAAAACTGTTGATTTTATTTTTCCATTATCGTAGATTTGATATCATATTGACAATTAATTTGAAAAAATCAATTCTCGGTAAATGAGACGATAAGACATATCACCAGACAAAATATCAAAATACTTTGCTGTATCAATTTTTTTCTCCCACCCCTATAACTAATACTGACTGGACATAGTTTGTCAATGCTGAGAAGTATTAAGTTATTATTAAATTTCCTAAGTGTAATCTGTGCAGTTTTTTAGTCATCGAAGCCTTGACGTTTGTGTGCGGCATTGTGGTAGTGTGTGGGAGTGCCTTTAAAGAAGTAAATTTGCTGATTCACCACCAATCAGCTCAGGAAAACACGTCCACAATGAGCCTGCAGCAAAAAAAAGGAGTTGCTTTCAGAATTTGTGTGTGTGTTTGTACACGCACATGTGTAGGTGTTGCTATATGCAAATATTGTGCAGAGTTTCAGGAGGGAGGCTGGGCTAAGGGAGGAGTTCAACATGAGAGAGAAACAAGAGAAGGAGAAGAGTGTGTTAGACACTGGGCTCCTGTTGTTGTTACACCAGACTACGGCATTCAGGCTAAATTAGGGGAAGAGGAGGAGAGTGGGTTGAGGAGAAGAAGGAGGAGAAGAAGGAGGAATAGGAAGCTGAACTGGTACTTAGAGGAAGGTGACTAATAGCGACTGTCACTTAGCCTACTGTAACTGCGCTGGTGGAGGGAGGAGTGGCGTTACAGCCAGTGAACCGGCATATGAATGCAGTCATTTGTAGAGCCTGGCCTGCAAACAAGTGTCTGTGCCTAACTGTCAGGGAGTGTTTGCTTTAACACGTGGACAAGTGGATATTCTACTGGCTGCACTATGAGGTCTTGGTGATAGCTGTAGAGTTGTGGGTAAGTTGTGGATCTATATGTAATACTGTTGTAAGGGCTCCAGTCTTGCAGATGTGCTGTTAGCCTCAACAGGTCTGAATGCAGTTTGTGTGTTTTGTCAAGTGGTAAAGGTAAAGCAGCGGGAACAAGAGAGGTCACGTTGATAAAATAGTTGTGTACCATTACATTTTGACCTTTCAAATCCAGAAATAGCATCAAGTGCCTATACCGTATTGTTCAACAATGTAATGATTGTTATGTGGCGCTAAGTGAACACACATACTGTCAGAGAGATGGCACTGATTATGTGGCAGCCGGGTGAGGATACAATGAAACCCACTTGTTTGGCTTGTTTGAAAAAATGAAAATGCTGAACTGAAGCGGTTAGAGTTCGAGATCTATGAGCTGCTGCTTCTTCTTCTCTAAATTTTTCACATCACTGCACCACAACAGGTTGACTTATGTCCTCATTTGTAAGTTCCACAATGAGTAAGGTTTGTGTCAACCACGTGGTTTTGTATGTCTCTGTAGCAGCTTCAGCCTCTTGACTGTAGACATTCACGGAGCTTTGGATAATGTACGAAGTTTAGATAAGGGTTTTAAATCAAAGTTGTTGTGAGCAGAGATTGAAGTCTAAAGCACAGCTCAGTCACGGAAACTTTAATATGACAAAAATCTTTTCGTTCTTTCCCTGGGCTTCCTGCAGAGGAAGTTGCTTCACCACTGACAAAACTGGGAGTTGTGAAAACTGATGCAGGGAAAGGGGAAGTGATGCATTGTGGTTAGAATTGATGATGTTGGTCTGTTGTCTTTCCTGCATCTTGTTGTGTCACGCTGTGATAAGAAATGACATAAAAGGTGTTTGTGCTGCTCATCACCATTTGTCTTTGGCTCAATGGTTTTACATCACTTCTTTTTCTTCTGTGATTCGTAGACCAAGGACACCTGGGCAGAGCAGTGCTTAGTGTCCACATTCACTCTGGATGACACTCTTCTTGGTTAGCTAAATATAGACAGTGTTTAGAAGGTGGCAGGCATTGTGATTCACACACAATGTTGATGAGTTGCTGTGATTCATTCATTTAGATGACCTTCATGAAGTGGGTTACTGGGCAGAAAAGTTGCACTTGTTTATAGTAAGTCATGATGCAGCTGTTAATATGCATATACCTTAAGTTTGTCTGAGGTTTATTATCAACTCAAGGACACTCTGCATTTGACAGCAGTTTTCATGCATCCAACTATTAACCCCAAAAATGTATGTTAAGGGACAAAGGTGCTGTGTTTTGAGTGGATGACATACAAAAAATGTTTGAACCTCTTCTCCTTTATAATACGGGCTTATCAAAACATCCACTAACCAGTTAAGGAAAACCAAAAACCGCCTTGCAAACTTAACACTGTGATGACCAGTAACCTGAATGTACAGACATCTGAGTATTTCCTTAATAAGCAATAGAAATGGGTCAAAGTGTCCTGCAGCAGACATACAAAAATAGGACAATTTCCAGCTCTCAGTGAGTCTCACCATGCTCCGCTGCCTCACTTACCTCTGCAATAGAAATGCTTCCTTGCGAGCTCGCTTGTGTTGCACACCTGCTGCTTCTTCCTCTGAAACACTTCACTGCCTCCTCAGCTGCTATTTCTTCCATTTGTCCATTCAAACATGTTATAACCAAGCATCTTTGTTTCTGTCTATTTAATTCTGATTTTTTTTTCTTCCTGTCAACATCATCTACATCACCTTTTATACCTCTCTTTGCTTCATGACACCTCTCCCTGCAGATTGCAATCCACTTTCTCCAGCATCAAGACATGTAGACAGGACAGCGTAGCCAGAGCACATTACCCCATCTGAGCTCTTTTTCCTCTCCAACAGGTAAATAATCGTGTCATACATCTGTGTGTGGTAAAATCCTCCCATTTAGTGATTGTGCTGCTTCTGAGCATTTACACAGCAGGCAAGTCTGGCTTTGACGAGCAATAATCTTAATTATTCCAAAGTGACCTTATCCTCTTTGTTGTGGAAACTGTAACTGAATCCACGGCATCTCTCTTGTAGTTAGAACGGATCTAAACTGGTAACAGAAGGATTTCTATATCTAATGCAGCAATTGGCCTCGCTGAAAACCAATCCAGAGTGTTGAAAGTGATCTGCCTGTCCATCTATCTGCACGTCTGTCTGTCTCCACATCCATGCATTATAGTCGCAGGGGGATATAGCTTTGTGTGTGTGTGTGTGTGTGTGTGTGTGTGTGTGTGTGTGTGTGTGTGTGTGTGTGTGTGTGTGTGTTTGACACCAAAGAGGAAAAAAGGCAAGGACCCCATGCTTGCCATACCTGCCTTGTAACACAATCCTACTAAACTTACTTTGGGTGCTCGTATCGGTGGCTTTAGGAATATCAATGCTCTTGGTCAGTTGTGAAGGAGTCCACTAAAGGCCCGACTGATACCTTTAAGGACTGACATATGTAAAAACTTAACCTGTATGTGCATGTAGACACACATAAACATGAACACAACCATACAAATACACAAAAGCAAAAAGCACACCAAAGCTCAGGGGAACAGGGTGTTCCTGAAAAGGAGAACAGAGAGCAGTGGGGGTTATTTTAGTCAGTGGAGTGGGCAGACAGATAGCTTAATGCGGAAAGGGTGTGTGTGTGTTTGTGTGAGTGTGCATGGTTGCAAACACTGATGGCAAGACTGGTGAAGTGCACGGTGCTGTCATCCTTACATGACATAGGAACAACTGCTAACGGATATAGAACCAAAGTGTCAGAAATAAATGGTAATAGTTGAACACAGATTGCTTAAATGACGATGTAATGGAGTTATTAAAGTTTGTGAATGAGGTTAGTATATCTGTATAAATTGTATAGTTTGTGCAACCTTGAGGGATTTTTCTACTGCGCTGTGCAAAACGTCTCTGATCCTGTCGTAGACACACTAAATACATTTTGTTTAATCAGCATTTGTCCAACCACCCATTTCATAATACATCTTTTTTTTTTTTTTAAACTGTGATATGCAGCTGTTACTGCGATACATGTGGGTGCACACGTGCTTTGTTGTGAGAGCATCAGTGTGTGCGTGCAAGTACACACCCCACACTGTTGGTTGTGAGAAAGGCCTCTCTTGGCATTGCACACTTAGCTCTAAAAATACACACTCCACAAATTAACACCATGTCTCTGAGCACAGGTGCCCCGCACTGCCCCCAAGTGTGCACTTTTGTGTGTGTATACACATATGTATAGACCCTGTATTTTTGTTTTTTGGTGTCCCCTGTATTTTGCACACTTCTGTGTACTGCGAGCGTACAGTTGGCATGTATGTTTGTGACTAATCGGCGGCACAATCCAGAGGTGACCCCTGACCTTGGCTTCCTCCGCTCTGCATCCTCCCACTGACTGTCAGTTTTTGAAGTGAGGGGCCTGTGACATCACAGCATCTGACACACAATGGCCGCTGTGTTTTCTCACTGCGTCACAGATGCCTTCTTACCCCAGTGGATGCCAGGCAATGGGAAGGCTCCCGTGTGGGAGATCATGCTGCCTGGTAGCAGTGTGTCACCATATGATATCAGGAAGTGATATCCTGTAGAGTGTGTGTGTTTGTGGTACATTACATCATATGTATATTATGGATAACGGCTGAGTCACTGAAGCGGTACATACCCAACATGAATCGGAAAATATAGACGCTCAAACTATAGATTTAATGTTGCTTTTGGTTTCATTCTGCAGATCTGATCTGAGGGCTTTCAAAGAACTGTTCAAATAGATATTAACCTGAACTTGTTTGACCTAGAGTGACACCTGTTTCAAAGAGCCAGCCCTAGGCACACATGATCCTTACTCATTTATTGATATGGTGTTGAGAAGTTGAAGAAGAGGTTGGAGCCTGACAGATATCAGCTAGCGTATATATGTGACAGATATAATAAGATGTACAATATGGCAGCACAAGGAAGAAAATTTCAGGGCATATTACTCACAAAACAAGTTTTTATTTAGAGATAGTGTCTTTCTGTGTAGTGTATATTTGAACTTCATAGTTAAAGCTCTCAGCAAATGCAGCTTTTGTTATTGCAACAGTTCTTTTTTCTTTTGATAAATCAGTTCAATTTAGCGTGCAAAGCGACCACTTGCTGCTGCGGAATGATTTAATCAGACCAGTAGATATGAATGTATGCCTTTGACTGGACTGTCTGGTTCAAGTTCAAGTAATTAAAATGTTTCATCAACAGAAACACGGTTTGTATTTCAAAAAGGAGCACAGCTGTGAAAACGTGCGGTGTATGATTTTATCTTTGCATCATCAAAGCACATAGCAAAGGCTCTCCTCCAGCTGACATTCTTACTTTACTGAGTGTGTAGAAATGCACTCAGCCCATTTTTCAGTCCACATACACTGTGCTGCATTCCACCACTGTGTATTTGTGTGTGTAAAAACACATTTGTTTTCAGCTTAGGTGCACTTTGAAAGAGAAAGGTATCCAAGCCACTACTTTTACAGGAACCGCCTTTGAAGCCTGAGATGTGAGCTGCAGATGTGACAGATAGTCCTGCAGCATCAAGAGTCGTGTTTGCGTCTCTCTACTTCAGCGTTTTTTTTGTGTTTATGGATGTGATATCACCGTCTGTGTATATGCCTTTTAGTTGTAGTTGTGATGTGTTGTGATTTGGGTGCATGTATGAGTTGAAACGTGTGTGTTTGGATGTGTTTCTCTGCATGGGTGTGTTTTTTCGTTCGTTCTGTCAAATGGGCACAAAGCGGGCAGTGTGTGCCCCCTCGGATGCTGAAATGTACACTTCGTACAACAGGCGGCTTCAGTCCTCAATAGGAGCTGCCCTTCTTATTGTACCTCAGGCACAATGAGCTTTTCTCTCCCTCTCTGTATTTCTCTCTTTAGCACCATATACAGACAGTGTTTCTGATGAGAGACTGGAGGAGGCAGAGGATGATTGGTTGGCTTAGTCCCTGACGTACCTGTCACTGCTTTTCCGCATCATATCGTCCTCAAACCTAAAACCGAGAAGAAGTGTTGGAGGACAAAAATCTTTTTTTTGTTTTTTTGTTTTTTGATTTTTGATTTTGGAGTTTCATGACACCTTTGTGGATCCAGGCAAGTGCAGCCATGCAGGGGATAAATACACAAGTCATAGCAGAAGGGGAACTATAAGTCCGGGAGTCCCCTCTGACTGTGTGCGTGTATGCATGTGTGTGTGTGTGTGTGTGTGTGTGTGTGTGTGTGTGTGTGTGTGTGTGTGTGTGTGTGTGTGCGTGTGTGTGTGATAGAAACAGGAGGGGGTGTTTCTCAGGATTTTAATGGGTGTTCCCCATCTTCGTCCCTCACATGATCACCCAAGAACAACAAGACCACATGACTCTCATATGACCTCTCCACCATTATAGAGGAAGTACCTCTGAATACTCCTTGTTTTTGTGGGTACATGTTCAGGGGTCTAAGACCATTAATGTGAACCTCCTTCATCCTGAACCCTTCCTAACCATGTGAGTGGGTCTGACCTCACGGATGAGGTCAGACCCACATAGAGCGTATTAACGCCATCAAGGCCTGGTCTCACATGCAGTCAATCAAACAAAGTGTCGTAATTAAGAAACACATACAGATTGTTTATATAACTATATGTAGGGGAGAGTGGGGTAAGTTGAGCCAAAGGGTAAGTTGATCCACCCCCTGTTGCTTGGAAATGGTAAAAGAAATTGATCATGTGACCAAATATTGAGGAGATGGGCATCAATTCATGGAGTCTGTGAAGGTTAGAAGCACATGGGTGAAGTGGTTAGACATTTATTTACAAAAATACATTTGTCACTCTTGAAAGTGAATTTAGTCTGTCATAAGTTTTATTATTATTATACATCAATTGTGGTATCTATGAGCTACAACATGAGGTCAAAAACCTAGCATAAAAGTCCACCATTTTAGCTTAGAGGACTAATAAAGTCATGATAGTAGTTCTGGGTTGAATAGTGTATAATAGATAAAAATACACATGAATGTGAAGAAGTGACTGTTACTTAGGGAGAGAGAATGTGAGGGAGGGCTCGGTTGGACAGTGCAGGGGTAGTAGGGATACGGCTCAATTCACCCCACTCCTAAGGTCAACTTACCCCATACACGGGGTAAGTTGACCTTAGGAGACCACTTTTTTTTGCATGCTATATTATCAAGACTGTTCTGTTTACACTCATTCTGTTGGTTGGCAGGGATGGACAACATCTTGAAATATATGCAGATACACTAGTTAGAGACAAAACTATGATTGCCTTGATGTAGTGATCTGAAATATGAAGAATGGCTCATCTTACCCCACTCTCCCCATCATATTTATGTACATATGACTCAGAGACACACACTGCTTAAATACTGTAATTATACATAATTTAGAAATACGGTTCATTAATCATTGTATGTAGATAGGTGTTAATTGGTTGTAAAAAATATATATTGGATGTCTGTTAAAAGCCACGTGGTCTGTTTTTCAGTTTTACTATTTTCATGTACACAACAAAAACATCATATGAGTACACTACACATGCTGTAGACAACCAGATTCTTTCTTGAGGTAGTTATTTGAGGCCTCAGAAAGAAAGAAAAGGAGAAAGAAAGAGGGAAAGAAAGAGACATTGTAGAGAAAGCTCTGGGGCTCTACACTCGATAAATAGAACAGGGATTCTGACAAACTATCTGTAAACAACTTGTGGAAAGCTCTCCAGCTGCTGTTGATTCAGTAGAAACATGGAGTCCTTGTGAATGATGGACAAGTGATCAATCCATCTGGCCTGAGGTGCATCAAGATAAAGTTTTCAGGCATACCTGCAGGAGGAATGGCAGCAGTGTGTAGATCTGTGATCTTTGAGCTGACAGGAGGCTGTCAGGAGAATGATGAGGTTCTGTTAACATTCTTTGAAATGAGCTTGTTTAGTGTCTGACCTAGAGAAGGAATCTATGTTCGGTCCATCTAGGTAATGGGTTTATTATGGCCCACTTGAGTAAACATCGTAGTGACATATTTTGCATGAGTTTCTGTCAAATCTTGTGACTTATCTTAAAATTAGGGAGGGGATGTCCAAAATATAGTCACAGACAAAACGGAAAACGAAACTATTATGAAGACGGGCAGCTTTGCTTGTTTAATATCAAAATAGTCTGTCACAATATTACGGCCCATTTCCCCTTTTCCTTTTATGTTTCTATGTCTCTAATGCATTTCTTGTCAATGGGTTGAATGAGGGATTTCTGCCCAAAAGAGTTTGTGTGTTAGGTAAGAAGTAGAGATTGTACAGCATCATCTCTTGAGAGCAGTGCTTTTAAAGAACCATCCACTTACTTTGAATTGACAGGATTGATTTTTGCAACTGCATCAAATTCAACCTTCTTTTTTCTGTTATTGTTTTTGATTTGTTTTTGCCTTTCTCATCCAAGTCTGACTTCGACTTATCTCTTGTTTTATTCCTAGCAGTATCTTCTACCTCTCGGGCTGGACTGTGGAGCACTGACGTCAGCTCGCCCTCCCCTGCCCCCTCGGCCCCCAGCAATGGCCTCACGCATTGGGCTGCGGATGCAGGTACGGCATTCTCCACCAACAAAATGCAGCAAATTAAAGCATTTGATCAGCCTATGATCTGTGTGTCATGTTGTGAGATGTATTCTGAAGGGAAGATACTTAGGTCTACATAACATTTTTTGTCGTGTGTCTTTGAGCAGTAGTCATTTTGATGATAAATGGATTCTGAAAAAATTGACCGTACTGTTTGCCATTGAGATATAGATTCATTTATCTGCGCCAGTGGTGTACTCAAGCTCTTTGAGGAGCAGGGGCATAAAAAAATAGAAAGGGCACCTTCTGTATTCCACAGGCCACCAGTGCTCAGAATGAAGCAGTAAACGTTTCATTTTGGCAACCCCAGACGGTCGGAGGGTACAGAAGTGGAATAGATTCCTGATTCACACAGTACAGGGTTCATTTAACAAACAAAAAGACGGAGGCTCTGAAATTTTGAGTATCTGAATTTCCTTTTGGAGATCAATAAAGTTCTTATCTCAGTACCTAATGAATATTTATTCACCATGTAGAGGTATTTTGTAAAGATTTCAAAAATATTAAAAAAAAAAATTATGTTACTTCCTGCATGAGGCCCACATTCTAGTAACATTTGATCTTTTATTTTTCTCATGGTCATTTTGAAACTGAGTAATTTAAATGAGGTAAAAAAATGTTTCAGACATGAGGTCACCAGGGCGGGCTACCCCTCCCACCACCACCATACAGCACACAGTTAAATGTGATGTGTATGGTCAGCCCTTAGTCTCTAGACTAATCTACGAGCCACGAGAAAGACCATCAAATTAGTCAGTTTATTGGTCAGAATGCCTTTCTGAACAGCCGTGTAATGCGCTGTTTTATGTCTTTATGTGTGTCCAGCTGATGCGAGACCAATTGCAGCAGGAGGAGCAGCGTGAGAGGCAGCAGCTTCAGCTTCAACAGCAACAGCACAATGCAGCCCTGCAGTATATGCAGCATCGTATGGCTGGGCCTCCTGCACCCACCCCTGCCATCAGCACCCCTCAGCATTACCAAAGCATGCAGGTCCCTGTGGAGGTTCTCAAGGTCAGTGGGAGTGGGAAATTTATATTCAGTTTCATGATCATCTTTGTTTTTTTTATTTACCACCAAATGGTTCACTCTGTTAGCCAGGTAGCTTCGTCTGAGCCAAGAAAACAAGTTGTGATTGGTTATTTGTCTTTCTATATATTAAATAAAATATAAAAAGTTCAATTATTTGAAATCAAAAGAAATTAGTCCTCCTCTGTAAGAAACTACAGGGGAAAAGGAAATGTTTGGCCTTATTAGAACAGTCAGTCTTTATGACACACTGAAGTGAACTAGTATTTCAGGTTGTTGATTGACCGCAGTATGTACTTTTGATTATGATTAATGTGTAATCTGACAGTGTCTTGTTGAACAGGAAAAAAATCACTAATAATTTAGCAGGAAAATCTAAAGATATTTGAATTCCTTTTCACTTTATGTGCTTGGAACTTAAGACTTGTGTTTTTATTCAGACTTCTGGTCTGAATGACAGAAAAACTGAACGCCAAGTCAAAGGTCCTAAACAATGTTGGATTTTTGCACTGCAGCAATGCCACACAGGGGACAGAGATGATGAAAAAAAGCAGGCAGAAAAATGTGGCATAGCAGCAAGCAGGTAGGCTTTCAGAGCTGGGAGGAAGTCGAGGAGATAAGAAGAGGTTTGACATGTTGTGTGATAGGACAGACAAGAGTGATGTAGATAGTCTGAGTCAGACAGGGACAGATAAAGCTTAAGTGACATTTTGCCTGATTCCTAAGATGCTTGTGTGTGTCCTTATCTGTGATGGTTTGTGTCTGTGTCTGCATGGGTTTGTTCTGCATTCCATTTTATGCATGTTTGTGTTGATTCGTAGTAAATATGCTTGTGTATGGATCAATTTGCTGCACGGACAGTATACTCTGTGTGCATGCACGTGTGTGTTTGTGGGGGAAGCGGGTGCGTTGAGTTGTCAGTGTCGTTTCCTTTCATGGTTTAGATAAGATGACATGCATGTCCATCAGTCTCACTGGGCATGTCAAATCTCTCAGGCTGTTTCTTTGGACTTCATCTGTACTGACAGGGTTGGGCAAACAGTTTTGTCTGAATGTTTGTCCCCTTTGGGCTCACAAAACAGATTTAAAGCTGACAGACAGTCCTGTGAATTTATCCAAAGTGAAAAGCAATATAAAAATCATAAGTGGCAGTTTTTTGAAATTCCAGAAGTTTCAGGTTGGTTTGATACAGTCAAGACAATCAAAAGCAAAAGTGGGTCAGAGGAGTTAAAGCTCCGGCCTGCTCTTACTTAACTTCACTGTTTGAACTGAAGGAAAAAGTTCAACCTATTGCTCTCTGCAGCCACATCAGAGGATTTAGTGCCACTTTAACCCTGCAGGCATCACCAATGACCTTATGGCCCTGTTTTATCGTGTTGGGTCATTTGCGAATGATTCGTTCAAAAGAACGAATCTTTAAAGTGAACGTACTGAACTGAATCACGTCCTCAAGTGATTTGTTCATTTCTCAGTTCAGTTGAGTTGTCAGCGCAGCTGCTATAGCATGCAGCATTGCAGGGCGAAAATGCAGCAAGGGACCGCACGCGCCAACACCTGAACCACTTGGTGAACGAATCACACAGTGAGCTACACTCTCTGGAATCATTTTCATCTGAGGGATACAATTTCATGGCCACCATTGTTCCCTGTTGTTTTAACAGGTTTAGTTCCCAATTAAACAAACTTAAAACGTTAGGCTGGCAGTAATGCGAAGAGAGTAAGACCCACTCGCTGAAGCAAGCTCTTGGCTGGAGCAACGGAGGGAGACAGGGGTGTGTTGTGTTCAAGTGTACCTCGGAGAAAACTAAGTTGTCGCAGGCTCCTCTCGCCAAGCGCTAAATGATTCAGTGATTCGGTGAGGGAATTTTTTGAACTTTAGTGAACTGATTCTAGTGATTCAGAACATCTAAAAGAACCACCGTGCCCGTCACTACTGTTTTACAGGGCCATCATATGTATTGGATCAGCATCTGAAACACATGTTCAGTGTACTAAGTCATTTATACTAAAATGTTAGTCTGAAATCATGATAAATTTACTGATGATAAGCCTGTTTTGTGAGGGGAATATCATTACTGTCACGAGTTTTCACTGGTTTGTATTTTATGTGGCCTTCAATCACAGCACATAAGGCAAAAATGCTCAGTAAAAAAGAGACAGAAGTATTATTCTGTTACCTTCTGGCTTTCATGTTTATGTTCTAAAACCAATCCATTATTTTTCTGGGTAAATTGGCAATAAGACTTGACTCGTTTTGAGCAAAAATGAGCAGTATTGCCCTCTGACTAAGGAACTAGTTTGTTTTTTTTCCTGAAAACAACCACATTCTTTTTCAAAGTTTTTGTCTGTTTCCTTTTTTAAATTATGGGCTCTTTGTGTCTTCAAAGATCACTGTGTTACTATAAAAATGTGGTCATAAGTCCTTCATTAACATATTAAGAAAGACACGAATCATTACGATGCCGTATTGGGTCAACAAAGACAGCAGCCCAGTATTCTGTTCATTTAACTTATTGGTTAACTCTCTTCTTACTCGGCGACTGTGTTGTGCTCAAAGATTTCAGGACCAAGGTTTAGGACTGAATGACGCGAGGACTACTTTTGCTATTGCTGCCCACGTTATGAATGAAACAGTTTTGAAATGTGAAACCATTTAAAGGAAGATGGGTTGGCAATATGAATTTGTGTTTATGAATGTTTTTATTATTTTTAATTGTGTTCATGTTTTTATTTGTTCGGATTTTACTGCCCCTGGTAAAGAGACCTTTATTTGCAAAATAATAAACATATTGAAAATTTACACATTTTTTTCTGTCAACTTCTCTAAAGGTACAAACCCACCTGGAGAACCCTACAGACTACCACATCCGTCAGTCTCGGAAGCAACAGGTGAAGGAATACCTGTCCACTACCTATGCCACCAAGCAGGTACTGTTTTTAAATCTTTGCTGTGAACTAAAATTAACCACTACCTTTCTTTAACAAGATAAACTTGATGTAGTTTTCACCCTGCTGCAGATTTATCTATCAGATTTAAGTCATTAACATCACCACTTCTCTTTCTCTCTCTCTTACTCTCTCTCTGAAGACGGTCAATGCAGCAGCAGGGCTGGTTCCACCCTCTCCCCCTGCAAACATGGGACCCACAGGTGGATCGGCGTCTGCACCCCCACCCCTCCATTCTCCACACATGCGCACAGAGCAGCTCATGTCTGGAAACAGCGCCCCTAACAGCCCCATGGCCATGCTCAACATCGGCTCCAGCCACGAGAAGGAGGTAGGCGCCCGCAAGCGTGAGGTGTCAGACTGAGGCGTCATCATAAACTTTTAAACATTAATTCCTTTTCTGTGATAACGAACAATCAGCAAGAACAAGCTTGACAGATTATCTCTTAAACACAACTTAATGGCACTCTTTTATAAAACTGAGGATTGAATATTGCCCCTAAAGAGACACCACCTCCACATTTTATGAAAGCATCATGATGATTTAATTGCTCCTTGGTAGGCGGGTGCAGTGTTTGTAAATGAGTTGCTGTTAATGTGTTGTGAAAATAGTATGTGAGGGGGTGTATGTGTTGGCTAACTGAGAATAGCTGAAACTGGTTACCACTGAGATTTAAATGCTTCATTATGGCCTTACAAGAGTCATTACATCTTTACAAGTGACAGCAAAATCTAAGGCCCTTTGAACCTGACAGACTTTGACCATCTCTCCTCCACCTCTTCTTTGTCTTTCCTCCTTTACTCACCTTCTTTAAATCTCTACTGGAAAAATAAAGTTTCACCGTAAAAGTCATCCTTTAAAGTCGTCTCTTGAGTAAATCATGTGTTTTTAGGCAAATTCATAAAAGCTGAAAGACTTCAAGTGCTCGGTTTAAGAGAAAAGTTATGACACTTTTTTTATGTATGGTGTTAAAAATATTTAGTTACCGGTTGACTCTTTACAAAAGACATAATGGGCCTCAAAAAATTATAACAATTTCGGATTAAAATCATTTTCCTGTTTTGTTTTTGTCTTAGATGGATGAGGTCATTGACCACATTATCAGCATGGAGTCCAATTACGATGATATTCAGGCATACATTGACCCTGTCCAGATGCCAAACACAGTAAGTGAAGCCTCTTAAACTAGGTGGAGTTTCAGGAGTCCCTTTGTTTTTTTTTTGTCCTTTCAGTTCAGCAAACAACTTTTTCACTTGTACATTTAAGGTTTTATTTTTACAGAACATTTTCCTGGGAAGTTGCAGGTGTTTTCTTTTTCTTTTTCTCTGTGGGTGTTGGGAAGGGGCAGCGTGGTCAAACTTCAGCGTAGTGTGTCGTATTCTGCGGATTTATAGATTGTAAAGCCCAAAGCGTTAAATAAGTGAAGTGTCATTTCCTTCCGTTTTTAAGACAAATTATCTTGAATGCACATGAAAGTCACCTTCATTTTGCAAAGAAATATAAATCAAGATACAGTTATGATAAAATAATGCTCCGATAGAGTGACAGTTGCAATGCCAGCAATTTGAGTGAAGTCTAGATTCAACCTAGAGACTTTATTTGATAAAGGTTTGGGCAGAATAACTTCAAGAATCATAAATAGATGATATACTACACTATGCTGTATTGCTTGTGATTTTGTATTTTCCATTTTGCACTGCTTTTATAACAGTATCGTTTACAAGGAGTGTATGTATCTTTTGTTTTTGGTCCACAGTCATCTTGCACCTTTTACGTACCTCCATGCAAACACCCCCCATGAATTCACAGAGTATAGTGTGCTGCGTCGCTAGTGCTCAGACTTTGATTTTCCAGGAGTTCCTCTCATCACAGTTACTGCTCAATCCTTCTATGTCTTTGTCGCCCCACGGTTTATGAGTAATTTTTCTTAATTATTCCGACTGATTTTACTTACTACTGTTATTAACAGTGTATTTGTAAGTCAAACATACTATCTCAGCCGTTTACATGTTTGCCTTTATGGATCCATGAACAAAACTTGATACATAAACTCACGAGTGCATGTGCAAAATGTGTAATTGACTTAAACCCTGCACATTCCATCCCATAACCAGGCTGGACATAGTTACAAACTGTAAAGAAGACATTTCAGACGAGGACTGTGCCGTGCTTTGTGTTGAGGGCAACCAACTCAGAAAATTAACAATTAAACTGCCAGCAGTTAGAGTTCAACTTGTTTACAAGACATGCAGCGCAGGAGGGAGGTGGAGAAGGAGAGGGGGGGAGGAAGGGAGGGAGGGAGGTAGAGGGGGATGAGGGCAATTTGTGCAAGGGGAAAACAGGCTGAAAGTCCAGTTAGGGGAAAGTTCACTCTTGTTTGGTGGGGAGTGGAGGTAGAAGAAAGACGGGATCGGTGCAGCCCAGGTCAGTCTCACAGGACAGGGGCAGCGGTGGTGGAGAGGAGAGGAGAGGAGCTGTGAGAGAGAGAGAGAGGGAGAAGAAGAGAGTGTGCTGGCCTAAAGAGGGCGGGAGTAGAAGATGAAGGAGATGAGTAAGACATATGCCATTGTGGAAGTTATTGAAGGAGAACAGATTCAGCTGGTAAGACACTGAAGTGCTGTGTGTTTGTTTGTTTGTTTTTTAATCAGACTGTTTAGTATGACTCTTCTTAGGGCGTTAAGAGTTAGGCATTTGCTCCGAGTGAAGCAGCTTTGACAGATGCAGTCACGGCTCTAACTCCCAACCCGAGGTCCCTGATTATAGAGTGCTGGCAGCAGAGTGGGTGAGGGGTCTTGGCTTTAAATAAATGATGGTTTGTGTGTTGGTTTTGTTGGTCATAAGGACTGGATTAAGACTTCCTACACTTTTTGAGATGATTTTTGGCATCATTTTGGGCTTCGCTGTATAATTATAGTTGAGATGTAAGCCGGTCTGAACTCAGCTCATTATGTAGTTGTCTATCTGACTGTGTGTGAGGGGGGAACCTCAGGCTTCAGCATGTAGCTTTTTCTGATAGTATGCCCTGTACTGTTGATTGTTTCATCAGTGTGAGTGTGTATGCATGCATGAGTGTGTGTGTGTACCTGTTACCATTACACTGACTGATTAGATTAAGCAATCAATCAGCCCTCAGAGTGATTACTGTGTGAAACCAGCACAGAACCGACTGACAGAGAAACTCTGATCACTTGGATCAATAGTACAGCATACTGCAGCCGTGTAAAGTTATCCACATTATTGACATGTTCGCAGATAAAGAGGGATGTTTTGTGTTTCCATTCGCAGGACAGAATTTCTTAAAGTGACAGAGCAGTGAGTTAAATTCACCTGCTAATCCTGATGAGGATTAAAGCAGCAAACGCTGTGGAATTCGTGGAATCTCAAAGTTTAGTAAAAGCACCACTGAATACCAGGCACAAATGAACCGAGCGTGTATGAGAACGTATGCGTATTCGTAGTTAAACCGAGCAATACTGAGTCTCAGTCATGCTTGCTTAGATGGGTTCATATCAGAGCTGGCAGTCTGATCAGGACAGGCATGAAATTAGATTTACCCTGTGATTTTTTTTTTCCTGTTTGTATCATCAGCAGCAAAACAGGAAACAATTATATAAGAGAGGGGAACTGTAAAATGTTGGAATTCAGATTTATTTTCCGTGCTGTAAGCTGAAAAAGTGGAGATTTGTGCCCCAAACGGTGTGTTAAGTGTGAAAAAGTCAGTGAAAATACTTTTGTTCCTCTCTCCAGTGGAACTATGTCACTAAATGTGATGAAGACGAACCTAAGATGTGGTTTTACACATTAAACTGCTACATTGGATAAAATGCAGCTGATACAACTCAGTTTATCTGTGCTTGAGTAATGACCACCTGTCGGATATTTTTTTATGAAAACCCACGTCCTTACTGGTGAAGATTAACACTTCATCGCTGTACTTTTTAGATCTTTCTGTGAGATTTCAAACAAGGCATAGCATTAACATACAGACATGAACGTGCAGGAGCGTTTGTGTGTGCGAATGTGTTTGATCTCGCAGCACACAGTAGCAAGTAGATAAGGTATCTATCCTTTGAAGTTCTTTATCTGTCAGGCCTCATTAGCAGCGCCACGTTTGCCCTCCCTGCAGGGACTACAATACGATCACTAAGGAGGTATAAAAAAGGCGCTCATAAGACTTAAAGCATACAGCACAATTAAAAGGAAATCAAGTCTTTTCTGAGGAGTCCACACAAAACTAAATTACAGGCCTTATGCAACGTCTAAAGTGCAAAAGTAAGGAGACCGAACCAGGAGAAGCAAGAGGAGAGAATAAAGCCATAAAGAGCAATCGTAAAGATAGGATGATAGTGAATTATTACTGTATGTTTGGCAGGCTGTTCGTAGGTGTGATGTTGTTGCATTATCTCCTTCTGTGAGTGTGATCTGCACTTTACAGGACACTCAACACGAACGCTGACTTTATGAAGGTACTTACAAAGATGTTGGAAGCTGTAAATGAGTCGTCTAGGAAACGAGGGAAATATCATACATTTAACAACAGTGTGACCCGAGTGTGAATGAGCTTGACTTTCTGTTTTAATTAATTTTTAAATTTCATTAGGTTCAACAGTCACTCCTGTATAACTATAACTAATCACAGGGAAGTAGCATGCAATTATGTGAAACTGCAGCCCATGAAAGTGTTTGATTGTGTTGATAGTTTCTTTTTCAAGGTTATTTCACTCTTGAATAGAAACACTTGAGTGCATAAAGAGTTATCCACATAACCAGTCTGACCATTTATGACAAAACCTGTATTTAACTTTGATACATTTATTCAATCTATGTATGATACAGACCTATGAACTACATTCATGAGTGCTGAGGTGGTTGGTTTTCTTACTGCAAATATCTGTTGTATCTTTGTGCGGCTTTGTCTGTGCTCCCTCCCCAGCTCCCCCTGTCTAGCAGTCACCTGGATGTTTATACAGGTCCTGGGATGAAGGGACCAGCCGTAGCCATGACCAGTAACTCCTGCCCTGCCAATCTGACCATCAAACGAGAACTGTCAGGTGCGAACGTCCAGCACGTAATAATTATAACTCTAAGAAAGCGTACTGACATGTTGTTTGTAAGTTATTTAGGAGATTTTACTTCCTCAATCTTAAATTATATTCAGGAAAAAAAGGCAGTCTCTTAGTCTCAGATGTTTGTTAATCACTTTCTGTTTTTGCAAAGATGCAGAAGCCCGTGCTTTGGCCAAGGAGAGACAGAAGAAAGACAACCACAATCTGAGTGAGTCTTCATTTCTGCAGCCCCTTTTCTCTGTCTCTCATCAATGCTGCATACGCTCTTAATAAACATTTACACACACACACTAACTTAACACATACATACACACATGCCCGCACACTCTAGCAGACCATAATCTGTCTCTTGCAAAAACAGTTTTATACAACCTTGCACTGATTTAGCTGACATAGTGCAAAATCTTGGTGGATGGTTAACTTGGTCATTTCTGCTGTTCTGGCACCCGAGTGTAATTGCCTGTGACTGTGTGTGTGTGTGTGTGTGTGTGTGTGTGTGTGTGTGTGTGTGTGTGTGTGCGTGTGAGTGTGAGTGTTTATGTGTATGAGGGTTTGCCTCAACATTTTTTTTTTTCATGGATTAAGCCTATGTAATACTCTAATCTCACATACATTAGATTAGTGATCTATTTCCTTCAGATTAGAATCAAACATTAGATTTCAAAAGGTCCCGGTCTGCCTCGGACAAGTTTTTCTGTCTTTCTGTTTTTTTGCATTTTCTTAATGAATCTTCCTTTTCTCTGTTTTTGTCTCCTTTCTGCCCCTGCTTTTCTCCTCTGCAGTTGAAAGGAGGAGAAGATTCAACATCAACGATCGCATCAAAGAGCTGGGCACCATGATCCCAAAAACCAATGACCTGTGAGTTGCTTTTGCTACATGATGATGGAACCATTGAGTTTAACCACCTGCTTCCAGTTACTTATCTGTGTAAATTGCTTTTTCACTTCACTGTATGCACAGTGACGTGCGCTGGAACAAAGGCACTATACTGCGGGCTTCTGTGGAGTATATCAAACGTATGCAGAAGGACGTGCAGAGGACCAGAGAGGTGGAGAACAACTTCAAAAGAATGGAGATGGCCAACAAACAGCTGATGCTGCGTATTCAGGTAACACAATCGAACACAGATGGAGACAACAAAGTTTGACTAATTTAAAAATAAATAAATGTTGACCGATGCAAATTAGACAACAATGTCAACACTTTTAAACACAAGATGTTTGATTCAGGTAAAAAGTGCAGAGACCCAAAGCTCTAGAGTTTGAAGGCACAAATCAGGAAACTTTAAATGCCAGAGCATTTAAAAGAGAAAGGACAGGGGACTGTTATGAACTGTCTGGGACATGAAAAGACAAAAAGATTGCTAATGTGTCGGGAACAACTTCACCATATCTATATAGTTTAGTACTAAGTAACTTGTTGATTATTTGGGAAAGTAGCAGGTACAAAGTGCAGGCATCCAAAAGGCAACATTCTGATAGACCTGTAGTTTCCTCTTGATTTAGATGTCTCAGTTAGTCAAGAAAGAGTAGGGCTGGGCGACAAAACGCTAACGATCTACAGTACAGGCCAAAAGTTTGGACACACCTTCTCATTCAATGCATTTTCTTTGTTTTCATTACTATTTAAATTGTAGATTCTCAAAACTATGAATGAACACATGTGGAATCATGTGCTTAAGAAAAAAGTGTGAAATAACTGAAAACATGTTTTAGATTTTAGATTTCTCAAAGTAGCCACTCTTTGCTTTTTTGATAGCGCTGCAAACTTTCGCTGTTCTCTCAATGAGCTTCATGAGGTAGTCACCTGAAATGGTTTTTACTTCACAGGAGTGCCTGAAGTAACCCTGACAAGGTACTTCTGTCATCAAGAGCAAAGAGTGGCTATTTTAAAGAAACTAGAATATAAAACATGTTTTCGGTTATTTCACAGAATTAAAATTCTGTTATTTCACACTTTTTTTATAAGTAAAAAATTCTACATGTGTTCATTCATAGTTTTGATGCCTTCAGTGACAATCTACAATGTAAATAGTCATATAAAAAAAAAGAAAAGACATTGAATGAGAAAGTGTGTCCAAACTTTTGGCCTGTACTGTATATCAAAAATTAATTTCCCGCAATATCAATATAAAACATGGCCAATATGCTTTTCAATAGTCATTCTGACATGTTTTGGTAGACTCAGCCTATGAGAAGGGGAGTTACTTTGGGTCCGCTTCGCAGTGAACCAATCATGTGCTGAATCAGAACCAAGTAGCAAACAACTGCGTAGTAGCAGGGTGCAACCGTAGCACTTTTAGCACATGAAGCCGACAGCACAGTCGGTGAGAAAAAAGAAAGAGTGCTGCCCCCAGCAGAAATGCAGATGAAAGCTCAACAGATGACAACATCGTCGACAACACCAGTACAAATTATGTCGAGTACATGTTCTCGCAAAGTCAGGGAATACCTCAAATCTCACCACCTCACCACTTGAAGCAGTGCCACGCAGCAGAGCACGCGCAATTCAAAAGGTTACAAACCCCGAGCAGAGCAAGGAGCCCATGGCACCTGTGCAGCCGAAGCAGCCGACCATTCAGCCCCCTTCTCGCCTTACAGCAAAACGTCTAAGAGACACAAAGGCCTCACACATGCTACCAATAAGCACTGTTAAACTTCATTTTTTATATCGTGATATATATCGATATCGACTGACATGAAAAAATATATTGTGATAAACTTTTCCCATATTGCCCAGCCCTAGTCAAGAGGGATCACAAACAAACACATATCAGGTCGATTTCCTCTCTCTGTCTGTAGGAGTTGGAAATGCAGGCTCGTCTGCACGGTCTCCCCAGCAATTCCCCCTCTGGCCTGAACCCCACCGACCTGATGGCTGCTTACATAAAACAAGAGACCAGCCCAGAGGAGAACCTCTCCCACCAACAAGCCCACCACCAGCCCCAGCACTTAACCCAGAACCAGGTTCAGTCCCATGCCCAGCAGCAGCAGCAGCAGCAGCAGCAGCACCACTTCCTCCCACAGACCCATCTTCACCACCAGGGCCAGGCTCAGCCCCGGCAGCTGCCGCCACTCCCCCAACACCTCCAGCCTCAGTTACCCATCCAGTACCCTTCTGTGGGCAGCTCCCAGCCCTTTGACTTTGCCCAGTCGCTGGACTTGTGCGATGGGATCCCCAGCTTCTCAGACGGCATGTCGGGGCTCGGTGACCTGGGTGGGCTGGACGTCCAGGGGAGGAGAGGCGAGTTGGGCTTCATGATGATGGATGAGCCCCTGTCCCCCATGGGAGGAGACCCACTGCTCTCTGCAATGTCCCCCGAGGCGTCGGTGGACTCCAGCCGCAGATCCAGCTTCAGCATAGAAGATGGAGACATACTGTAGACACACACACACATTCACTCACTCGCTCACATGCGCAGGGGTTTTAAAAAGGTTATTGTAAAAACAGGAACAGCAGCACATTTACAGCCCAGCCAACAATGAGGAATCAGCCACCAGACAGGACACTCATTTTTGTGCAATTACTTAAAGGAATAGAGGGTACACAGCACCCACACAGTGAGAGTACTCCGTGTTGTACGAACCATCACACACATACTCGCACGCACACACACAACACACAAGTGCATATGAGATAAACTTGACACATTGCCCAACGGACAGAGCATTTACAAGGGCTGAACTCACACTGCCAGGTCAGGAGTTATAGCGTACACTTGGCCTCGTTTCCATAAAGGTGCCTCTGAAACAAAATTGAACAAGGGACAAAACCAGCAGTTAATTAGATTGAAGTTATCAGATACAAGGACAAACTGAATGCATTGTCTCACCGGATAGAGGACAAGTTATTTTCTCCTTACATCAGCCTCTTTTAGCAAGCATAAATGATTGAACCAATGATAGTGAATAAAATGGAAATGGCTCCATGGCCCTGCATGCATAATTCATCTTAAGGGGATGCAGTCCAGTCACATTGTTCTGTTACTCAATCTGTTATTCCACAGTTTGCTTTTGCCTCCAGCGCTAGCTGTTAAACAAAGATCTGTGTTAGCTGACTGAGCTGAAGTGCCCACATTTGAGAAACATTTGGATGGACAGATAATCCAGTTTTCGTTTAATGCATCCACTGTAATCCTAGCTGTACTTGTTTTCTTCTCTAAAACACACTCTCTTACACACCCTGCTCTCCCCAAAGCCCATGTCTTTCACACTGGATACCGTTATGACCTTTATCCAAAGAAGACACTGGAAAAAGTGTGTTGACTCTGGCAAGAACAGAGGATAGTTTTCGGAATTCTCAGGTACTGTAATATAATACACAAGCAGGATCATTCTTTAAGCAGAAGCAGATGTTAACCTGAACTGTGTCTGGCTCACAACCCCTATCAATATGCCTTTTCATTTTTGCAGCTGCTGCCCTTCAAAGGCATGTTTTTATAGATCAGCAGTCTTGACCAGGGTTTAGACTTAAATATCAACTTTACTTATGCCTGCAAATGCTTCAGAGTTTGCCTCTACATTTGAAAACGTTTCATTTTTCTGCCTCTAACTGGCTCCTTAGGCCTAGCCTTGTACCAAAGGGTCAGGAGACTGTAAGTTTAAGTGACAGGGTCTATACTTAGTCTTAGGTGACAGCAGGTGAAGTGTAATCTTAGCTGTAAAAAGACACACACTTCGCTCACTCTTCTTCTGTTCACATGTAGGCATCATTAAATGTTTATCTTGTACACAAATAGGCTTTATAGTGCTCCCATACCTACAGCTGAAGACATCCAGTGCAGCCTTGAGGCTATTTTCAAATCAGCTTGTGTCCTACTCTGATGAGTGGAGTGAAGCTGTTAGCTGCAGAGGCTGAACTCAGGTCTGCTATTCACCTACAGTAAAGGGAACTTGTAATCCCATCGGTTGCGGTCATCATGGTGTTGTATGGGGTCAGGCTGAGGTAAACCACAGTGTTCCTGTTACTGTGGTAACTCAGGCTTGGCTTTGAATTGGTATAGTTGGTCATTGGTACTGATAAAGGAAGAAAAAAAACTTTGGTGGTGATTTTTTTTTTTTTTTTGAGTAAAAAAAGTGGTTGTTTTCTTTACTATATAGTTTGTTGTTTTATTATATCTCCCAAAGCACTGGAAACTATATTATTATTTTGACTTTGTACGTGGAAGAAATTGTGGAATAAGATTTATTTCAGATGTTATATGCCACTAAGCCACTTAAATGTTTTATTTGTATTTGTTGTTTTGATTCTGTTTCAATTTTTACTCCAAAACAACTCATTTCTTCAGCCATGTTCAGTCAACACACTATCGTAAGGCTGATTAAGCCAAAGATGTTTTGCTAGGGAAGGAGCAGGGAGACGTTTATGAATTCCAAGATAGATCATGTACATTTTTGATGCCATTTTTATATGATTGGGATTCTATTTTTCATTTTGTTTTTAATTTGGAGCCAGACATAGATGAAACTGATTCTTTGATTTGATTGAACCCAAATTGCTCATTGTATATGAATGTAAGTTTTACCTGCAGTTCTGGTACGACTGAAGCACAACCACACAACTTTTCCCTCTGAGACTTTGGTTTCCATGGAGACTGAATGATGACTGACTTCACAAAACTCTGAGCCATGGAGTTGTGGTTGCCACGGCATTGTAGCACTGACTCTATTTCTGTGTTGTGCCTTTATTCTCCCCATTCAGCTACAGTTTGACAGTTTGACTGTCAATGACACTCCAAAGAGCTGCTCAGGCTTCCTCTACTCTTCCACTAGAGGGCGCTCTGCAGTGCAAACCACAAACTACATAGGGAAAAGTGGTTCTGATTTTACTGAGAATATAAAATGTTTTACCAGAATCCATTCACTGACTGATGGTGTTTCTTTTCTACTCTGATCTGGGTTTTTTGTGTTGGTATGTGTTTTTGAGTGGCTTTCAGGGTGTGTCTGAATAATTATATTAAAAAGGTAGGAATTCTTTAATTAGTCACAGGGTCTGCACAAGATTCTAGTTTCACTCCACTCATAACGAGTCTTCTGTGCTGAGTTTGAAGCTGGATGTTTATTTCCCGGTGATTGACAACATTTTCTCCATGTCGATGTTTCAGCACGTACAAGCAATATAATCTTTAAGAATCACCTGTAACTCAGATTGGAGAGTTCTCTAATGCATCAAAACTTCTCTGCTTCATCTTTTAGTGCTCTTTAGTTTTTCTGTTGTGAGATTTTGAACATATTTAGTAAGTTCAAGTCTTACTAAATGTCGAATCAAGAATATTAGGGGTCAAAAGAACTTCAGCAACACTTATAGTTTAGGAAAACAGCTTTATTCAACTTCATTGGTGAAATTAAGCTGTTTTCCTGAATTACAAGAAGTTCTTTTGACCCCTTCAAGACCTTTTGTCTCCAAGCACCTTGAAAGTTGCTAGAATTTTTGTCAAGAATATTGTACATCCAAACTGGTCAAACATTTGCATGAGTATCATAAAAAGGATAATTAATGCCCATTTTGTGTTACGTTAGAAAGCATGAACATGAAAATTTAAAAATACTTTAAAATGTTGCCAATCCATGAGAACGATTGTGTGCCAGTGGAGTTAAAAAGTTGGACCACATTTGATGATGGTAGAAGGTACTCATGACATCTTTTTTTTAGCATAAAATGTAGCGCCAGATTGTGTCTCACTCAAGAATTCGTGGTGAATACAAGCTGAAGACGGGCAAAACTGCTCCAAATAGTTTCCTTTTAAGCACACCAGGGGGCAGCAGAGCTCTTTACCACAGAAGTCAGTCTTGCTGTTTTCAACTATCTTCTGTAATATGAAGTAACTGCCACAGAGCGGACTGCGCCGGTGCTGTAGTATTACCTTCTTTGAATGAACAACCTCCAAACATCTTATGATGTTTTTGTCGGCTAAAAAAAAAAAAAACATCAAGGAGAGTCGTGGATGCTCAGTATTAGTAAAGTTTAGTTTGTGTGGAATAAAGCACCAGGATCATTCTGCCACTTGGCCCGACAGTTTGGACCTTGATGTACAGAGGCTGGAGTCCTTGTCGCAGTGGTTGCTGATTTAACTCCTGGCTTTGATCCATTGCTGTGTGTTTTCCCCAATCTATATCCTGCCTCTTTTTCAACCTAACAAGGGCAAAAATCCACAAAAATTTTATTTAAAAAGGATATATTCACTAAGGATGAACTGAATATGAAAATGATTTCACTAATTTACTGCACAGCATTGGAAGTGACAACTATTAGAAGGAAGACATGCATGTTTTGAGTCGATTTCCCTTATTTTCTTGGAGGGGTGGCCTTCAGTTTCCCCTGCCTCCTCATTTTTTGGCCTCGTTTCCTCCTCTCCTGCAGCCCTTTCAATCATCTCCTGATATATTAGCCCAGCACTGCTTCAGGATGATCCATAAACCATTTAACTGCCTTTCTTAAGTTTAAATCGAGGTAATCTTATTCCTCATCCACACACACTCACACATACGCACGGGAAGATGCCGCAGAGCATGTTTAAGTGTAGTGGTGGTGTCTGCAGCCCATCCACAGGCCCATTCTCCCAGGTCTTTATGATGCTAATGTACTCCCCGGTCTAATAAATCCCTGTAGAGCTGCAAAGAGTAGATCTTATTGCTCACTCCGATCACCACCTTTTCGCCCATCTCTTCCCCAGCACACATACACACACCGCTATTACTGCGGCAGAAGTGCCTGCCTTGCACTTCCACTGATACTTGGGCGGCTGTTTAGTAAGAAGAAGAGGAAAAGGGGGGAAAGGGTTGAGACAAATCAAACATGAATGTGCAATTTAAGAGATGTTGGCACCAAGACGTGGAGTTGTGGAGGCCCTGGCATTGATTGCTGGAGAATATAGTGAGGGAAGACACGCTGAGAAACACTCACCACTCTTCCTTTTTTTTGCGATGGTGGGGCCTCTTGAAAGAGGTTTGGCACTCCACCTAGAACTCTACCCTGACCTGCAGAGGGGTGAGGAAGAGGAGGACATAGAATAACCACAGGACATTTTCTCAGTGTTCAACAAGGAGGTCCATTCAGAGCTCAGAAGGAATCCTCTATTTTCACTCTTTTTCCTCCTCTTGTTCACAATTTCCCTCTTTAACCTGCATTCCCCATTACCTTCTTGCATAGTCTTCTTTTGGCCGTTGGGCTCAGTGTGTGTGTGCGTGTGTATGTGTGTGACTCCTCCCTCCCTCTCAGGGGAGCAGTGTGTCACTCAGCTTGAAGCCCAAGGAAGAGGGGTGAAAGGGGGCTGATTGAGCTAATTTAGCCCCTGGATGTGAGAGCAGGAAAGGCCTCACCCTCTGCTAATAGACAGACATCAAAATGGAGATGAGGGGGGATGAAAGAAGGGAAGGAAGAGAGTGAGGAGGGCCGGGCCATAAAACTGAGACGACTTTTTGATGGATTTATCTCTTTTTGTCCGAGGGGATGTGCAGGAAACTTTTATGAACGCTGAGTGACATTGTGAAGTTGGTAAAGGTTTATGTGTGTTGCCTTGAATTAAAAACTGCTGATATTACTTATTGATCCATCCTCCTCCATTAAGATGCCGTCAATCACCCTCTGCTTTATGATCTCGTCTATTCTAGGCCACTCTGTACATTCTCCCTGACAGGGATACTGGAAGTCACACCAAAAAATGCCGGCTTTTACCACGCAGATGGAGATTGGAGCCACTTTTTATGGCTTATTTAAGCCTATACTCCTGAAGGAACAGCTGGCCCTCCATCATAAAGCCTCTAATAAAGATGGCATAGTGACACTGCATTGATTTCGGCTCAACAATTTATCAGCAATGCATGTTTAAATTTGCTCTTAAGTTCTTTTCAGACACCCCTGAAACTCCTGTACCATTTGACTCTTAAATCTTTCTCAGAGTTCATTTGATTTTTACAAGACTTGTCACTGTGTAGCGCATAAAGTGGGGTTCAAAAAAGACATTAAGATACCTGAACATGAGAATCATGAGGCATCAAGTGACAACAGGTTAGAGTATGTCAAACTGTCATTAAAACCTTCATCATGTACATTGGATGCGAACAGAAAAACAGAAACAAGTGACATGAGAGAAAGAAACTAGTGTGATAATCGAGGCACACAGGTGCTTACATGGCACTGTAGCCATGTTTACATTTGAGGGATCAGATCATCTGAATCCACTGTTCATATGGGTGCAAAGTCAAATAATCCAATCATGATGTGCGTATACATGCACCAAGCTTTATTCAGATTAGAGGCATTTGGACATGCGCAGAGTTTTCTGATTTCGCTGAAACAACCGCAGAAGAGGAGTTGTATTTACGCCTGTACTGTCAACAAACCAACAAACGTGTCAGTGGCTCACTCTAGCCAATTCAGGAGGTACCCCCCCCCCCCCCCCCCCAGTGAAATGTTGTCACTAGATGGTGCCCTTGCGTACTTATTTTAATGTCCTGTCAAAGGTTGCATTGTGCGTGCAGATGTGACATCATTACGCTGTACGTACACCTTGTCTTACCAGAGGAGCAGCAAGGCACCTGCGGTTGTGTTTTATGCCTGAATGTGAATAATGAAACCTCCTGTACTGGCCTCAACAAATAAGCCAAAGGGTAAAGAGTAAAGATCGAGTCAGGTAAGAGAGTCACAATCGGAATAAGTGTTTACGTGGACACATTTAGGAAACACGAACAGCATAAACCACCCCTTATTGATCGAAATACAATTTCTTTCCGATTGAGCCGAAGTGGATCAGAATCTTCAGATTGACATGTTTACATGGCACATTTTTATTCTGATCGGGCATTTATTCTGATTATTTGTGCCCATGTAAACGCAGCTAATGAATTGTATATAAATGGACAATGTGCTTTAATCTACTCCCTTTGGTATGTGATTGCACTTTGCTCTGGTGATGGCCGAGGTATGCAAAAGTGACCTGGAAGTAGAGCTGAGTGAAGTCATACTCTCACCACTAAGCAGAATATGCAAACATATAAATCACTCCAGCACACACAGTCCACTGCAGATCAGATTCAGCTGTTGATTTGAAGCAAACACTCGTGACTATGGAAAGTTTGATGTTCATTAAGTTTTCTCCTGTCCTCCCTCCTCTACTGTCCTTAACTGAACGCTGCGGGAGCCTGCATTTATCAATAGAGTGGTAACTTAAAATTGAATAACTAGTGGAAATAACTTTCCACTGGAACGTTCACGAAAAATGTATTTGAAGTTTGACTCCTGTTCACTTTGTTAACGTGAGGTTTATGACTGATACTGCAGCTGGTCAGTGGGAGAGGTATTAAAATATTTAGCTTCATTGTCAGTGATCACTTATGGTGTCCATTTTAAATAGAAAGTTTATGATAATGCTTCAGTTTTAAGAGGGTTTACAAAGGCTAAAACTGGACCCTTTTAAAACTTCAGCATTATCATTGTCAGTAACTAAAGACCCTCCTGTAGTTACTGTCATTATCAGGTTTTTAATGTTCAAGCATCAAATGTGTAAAGCTTTATATGCACACATTTTAGTTTTTAAAAAGTAATTATAACTATATTTATGTTGTTCTTAAGGCTTAATCTTTATGTTGGTTTACACTGTTTAATCTTATGGGATCAAATCAGAGTGCAGTAAATGAATACATCATCCTGCACTTTGTCTTTCTGAGAGTATTCATTATTCTTCAGTTGATCTGATAGTAGGAAGTATCATTATATTATCATTAGGGGTGTAATGTAATATATTTACTCAAAATATTGTAAGTACTTTTTGTGTATTTGTACTTTTCAAGCACTTTATCAAATCAGAACTTTTATTTAGTTCACGTAGCTGGCTGCTTTTCTGATTTTCACCTTCAGTATAATATACAGGCCAATTATAGGCAAAAATTATGGCTTTTATTTTCTCATAAATTCACAACTTTATTCTCATAATATAACATTTTAATTCCTGTACATTTTCATCTTTTATGTCAAATTTTGAGTTTGATTTAGTAAATAATAGACATAAAAAATGGCCCAAATAGCCCATTATAAGTCATCCAGTGATTCCCACCTCTAATAATAAAGAGTACACATGTGCTTATATTTAACAGGTTAGTTTTGAATGAAATGAAAACTGTTTTTATTGCATAACATCCTGTAAATAGTTATCCATTCTTCTTTTTTATTATATCTGATTTTAATCATTGTTTGTGATCAAACCATTTACACATCCTAAGTGTGCCATCCTTCTGAAACGTGAAGACTGAGAGTGACAAACTCCCATCACACAGGCCAGGTGATCGGCTCCTTTCTTTTTGTCTCCTTCCTCACATTCTTTTACTAACTAACCCAGTCTTGACACCTCCTGTCCTTCTTCATTCCCACCTCCCCTGCCCCTCTTTATTCTGCAGCACCATTGTCCATCTTCCTCTACATATTTAATACTCTCCGCCGACTCCCCTTCAACCCCTCATGCCTCTATATCCCTGAAAGAAAAGGAGCTCAAATTGGCAGGAGAGATGAATAATGTCTCCGCCATTAACTGTGGCAATGGAAGGATCAGGCTTTTCATGTGTGTAGAGGTGCAGAGATGGGCTCCGGCAGAGGTGAGGACATTGTGGTGGTGGTGGGCTGGGTTTTGTATCATTCTTTCCAACTTTTGCTCAGACTGCTGCAGAGTAAGAAGAAGGGAAGGGATCAGAAAAGAGAGGAGGAAAGTGGTTTTTGCATGGAGCCTTTGCAGAGAGTGAGACAGTTTGGGGAAAGTGTGACTTTGGTGTGAGAGTGGACTCACAAAAGCAGAAAGTTCAGAAATAGGCATCCATAAAAAATCTTTCATTTCCATTTTTCCCATCATCATGAAAAATATATTTGAAATAATATCCTGGAGCTCTTTTATGAAAGAAATCCAATTGTTGTACCAATATGAAGTCCAGCAGGAACAGTCGTTTCTCCCATTTATTAAATCTCCATACTCCAGACATCCAGTAGGGGGAGTAAGTGGTCCACAACACTGTTGGAAACACAGTTAAGTCAGAAGACAAACAAGACCTGAGTGACATTTCTTTGCTCTGAAAATGTTGTTTGGGTTTGCACTGAATGTCATCTGTTGACAGGAAAGGCGCACAGTGCAACTTCTATAAAATTGGTGTTGTCTCTAAACATAAGCATCGGACTGCTCCGGAGAAGAGTAGACAAACTGTTCTTATCAAAGATGAAGCTCTACTTCTGTAGCATCTCTTAGTTTGGAGGGTTGGCTGGAGAGGTAGTAAATTAGGCTTATCCTTATTAAGATAAATAATGCGCCTGACATGAAATTTGTCACATTTTGAAGGTTAACCACTCCATCCTTTCCTGCAGCGGCTGATGGAAAGGCATTGAGAGTGATGAATCCTGGGACATATCCTCACTGCAGATTATTTTCACACTCCTCAAATGATGGACAGTATCACCGTCCATGGTGTGCAATAAAAAAACCCTCCAAAGATTACTGACTAATGGTCTGGCACAGAGGATTCATTCAAATTTAAGCTCCTAAGATCTGTTTGCTTTTTTTTTTTTTTTTGCTGTGTTTGTTTCTCTGTCTGCCAATCTAGCCATCCACTCATCCGATCATCCATCCATCTTGCAAATCCTCTTCCCCAGTTTTGCTTGGTGTTGTTTTGAGCGAGAAGCTGCTTTGCTGAACTTAAAAATCTGAAGGTCGCGAAAGATTTGACTTCCTTTTTTCTCCCTACCTCCCTGAAAAGCAGCGTAGATTATACAGCCTACAGCTGTTATCACATTTATGCCCTTCTTCAAGCTTCTTTTTATTCTCATCCTCTCGTCTCCCGCCTTTCAGAGACCTGAAGATAACGGCACACCACATGACGCCATTGTCCTCCTCCTCCTCTCTCTTTCTCTTTCTCGTAGGTGGAGATTTAAAGTTCTGTTTTAAAACTGCCACTGTTCCAATCCTACTTAACCCCCTCCCTCCTCCTTCTCCTCCTCTTCCTCTTGTCTCCCCCCTTCCTCCTGAGTATACTACCTAACCCCTCTGAACTTCAGTCAGAGTTACTGAAGACCCAGAGTACACTGGGGAGTCAGCTACACCGCTGAGAGTGAGACGGAGATAGACAGAGACTTAGCTGCCTGCTATTCCACCACTCTCTCCGGTAATAAGAAAAGTTTCTGTTCTGTTCTGTGTTACAGCAGAGAGATAAAACTAGGGATCACTAACATTTCTGTGCACTACAGCATGCACGCACACATACACACACTTGGATACGTTTTTCACAAATCACACAATCATCTGCAAAGAAGAAATCAAGATGTACACAAATCTTGGAAGACAAAATGATGGCACAAACTTGCACTCTCACCCTCTTATGTGAACCTGCACAACTCTTCTGCACAAGCGAAAAGAGAAGCTAAAGACACGAGGAGAGAAAAAGAAACAAGTTTAGTCTGTAAGCGGCTCGGAAACCTGATTCGAATTAGAGGGCGATTTCCACAAAGGTCAATGTATTCAGCTGATATCCTAAGAGGGAGGAAATTTAATACCCCTTTTTGGTTGAATTAATTAATTATAATATTAGGCTAGCTCTGGGGGCCCTTTTCTTCAGTGATTAAGTGAGCACATATCTTTAAAAGACTGTGTTGGTCTCTGGGGCCTTGGGCTTGTGAACCTTGGGGTGAAACGGAGAGAGATGTATTATACATGAGAGGACAGAGAAACACAGACCCGTCTTCTCACCTCCACCGCAACACACACCATGTTCCCCATTTAGACCTTCAATAGCACTTGTCTTTCTTTGCTGAGGCACCTCTTTATTGCCCCGCTGCCCTTCTCCGGTCCCGTCAGTGTTCAGCTCGGCGAGGCTTGAGTTTAAATGTCTTCAGAGACGGTTTAGCAGTCTCCTATACCCCCTGACATCTTTACAACTGAGTGCATTTAAAAGGAATAGATTCAGATTCTGGTTCAGATCTTAAACTTAGAGAGAACAGCACACCACTACACATAAAATACACTCAGTTTAAATAAAAATATAATAAAATAATGGATGGTGTTTTTCTTTTAATTTTAATTACCTGTAATCACGCTTAATATAATTGGTCATGGATATTAGTGGCCTGGTGTGTAGGCTCATTTTGCAGTCTTTTATTAAGGTAAACCACTTTAAAACTATTCTTAATTAAAAAAAAAACCAAAAAAAAAAAAAACCACAGGCTTTATTACTGTGTTCATCTCGTTTTTGATTAGTATCAGTGTACAAAACATCTTTATAACAGCAGCTTAAAGAAAATAAGAAAACAGTCTTTTGTTGTGTCTAATGTGAGGTGGTACAAATAATCTGAAATTTTTATTATCTGGTGGAAACTGACAGTCAATGTACTACAAACATATAATTGTAATTAGGAAGGGTAACATTTTTTTAATCAAAAAAAAAAAAAAAAAAAGGTCTTAACGTCAAATTTTTATTTAAGGACCGTACAATAAATCTACCCGGTTCTATACAAACATGTACTCACAAGTACATGCATGTACAGGTGTCACACTTCACTAACCTATTCTGACCCTGTGTGTGAACATGTGTGTCTGTAAGTGTGTGTGTGAGAGAGAGGGAGAGAGAGGGAGGGAGAGAGTGACAGGTCTCAGACATCATGTCTAAACCACTGTCACTTAATGGCTATTACATTTTCTAAAGGAGGCTGGTGGTGGAGACAAAGATGAAGGGCACTGGCAACAAAAAGGTGATGACAGGGTAATGGAGGAAGTGATGGGATGCTGCTCCATCAGTGTGTGTGTGTACAAGTGTGTTTATGGGTGTGTGTGTGTGGGTCAAACAGAATAAACACATGAGGACGAGGAGGAGTGACTCTCGCTGTCTGCTTTCACTTCCATACAGAGGTGTTGTACTGCAAAGTCAACAAGTGCTTGTAACTAGCATCCCCACCCCTCTGTACAAACTCACACACACAAACTCATGCAAGCGCTTTGTGAGGCCCGCTGTTTTTTTACGTATTTATGGGATCCACCCTTTCCAAAGGTGCTACAGCTCTGTAAAAAAACAGGTAATACAAGAAAAAAATCCAAATAATTATCATCTCTTCAAATTATCAGAATTTCCAACTTTTTGTCTTATGCTGGTTTTTCAGTCACTTGTGAGATCCCATTCCAAGTGTTCATCGCTTGTGACGTCCTCTTACACACACACACACACACACACACACACACACACACACACACACACACACACACACACACACACACACACACACAGTGTCTCTTCTAGATTTTACACCTTTGTAGGGCCTTTCATGAAAAGCTGTTTTTATTTTATTTCTTATTGATCATTAAACTACAGGACTGATTTTAATAACTGACCTTGTGTTCATCCTGCATCTCATCTGTTTTCATTGAAGGTCAGAGCAAGGACATGACAGTGAAACATGGACCCTCTGAAGCATGATGACACTTTAAAATGAAGCATTTTAGCAGTATTACCACCAGTATTAGCACCAGTATTACCTTAAATATTCACTGAAACAGAAATAAATAAGCATTATGTTGAACTTGAAAGAGATAGAGGAGGATATCTCAGAAGTGGAAGACAACACCATTTTTGACCCAGACATTGAGGATACTGACATGTCAACTGATGGAGAGGAAGAAGCACCTGAAGAGCAGACACCTGAGGAGACATTCAAGTCCAAGAATGTTGATTTGCTCTGGGCTTCATCCCCCCAGGACAGAAGTGGTAGAAAGAGAGTGAAAAACATCATAAAGATGACGCCAGGGCTAACACGGTATCCAACATCTTGTGTGGATGACATCAAGTCAAGAAGAAGAATCTGGCAGGCTTATGTTCCAGGCAACGATGTCCTTAGAGCAGTTTCATGTCATTTCCAGAATCATTCGATTTGATAACCATGATACACGACCCGTCCGCTGGCGAAATGACAAACTGGCCATCATTAGAGACATTTGGGACAGGTGGGTGGAGCGCCTACCACTGATGTACAGTCCAGGCCCTGAGGTGACAGTTGATGAACGCCTGGTTCCTTTCAGAGGTTGCTGTTCCTTCAAGGTGTACATTCCAAACAACCTGGAATCAAGGGAAGACTTTCAAGAGAAGACTCTTCTTAGCAGAGCTGGGGAAAGCTTTGGTGACTCCTCTTATTCAATGCCGCCAGCATGTTCCCAGCACACCAGCTGCCAGTCTGGTTAGGAGTGTGCAAGCCTGAGCTGCTGTCCTGGCCACTTCCCCTCAACAAGGACAGGGGCAGAAACGAAAGTGCTGTGAGCTCTGTGCCCCTAGAGACAACAAAACATGACAGAGATGCTGCAAATGTAATGCCTATGTTAGCAAGGCCCACTCTGACCTGAGAGTCAAATGCCACTCATGTGCATGAATTCACACACACACACACACACACACACACACACACACACACACACACACACACACACACACACACACACACACACGTTAAGAAGTTAGGTCTCTGGTTTTTGATTTCTTTGTTACGTTACATGTTCATTTTTCAATATATTTTCAGTAACTGTTTGTATTATCGCTGCAGTTATTCATGTTAATTACTACTCAGAGACATTGTTTACAGCTGACAAGAGTGTTAAATAAAGACTTGGTGGTGAGTAATGGCTTTTGTGTTAATTTAAGAGCAGTTAAAATAGACCACTCAAATTTGACCGGGAACACTAAAGTAAGGTGAGGGGTATGAACACGACAGGAGGGTCAGTATCCAACCAGTATTTCTTTGTATGAGCACTCCTTCCCTGCAGCACGGCTATCATTAAGTGACCCATTTAGGCCATCACAGGTAGGCCCATATCATGGCCTGCTGGTGGCTTTTAATGGGGAATCGACTTCTTTCTACTGTAATGCATACTTAGATAGCTGGGGCGAATGTGACCCCTATAGTTTGCCACTGCATTAGTGCCAGAAGACCCAGCAGTGAGCCTTTAACCCGAAGAAGACAGGGCCATGATTATGTGCGCCGCAGGGTGGGCCGGCCGGAGGAAGCTCATCTATACACACAAAGCAACATGCACAAAATGACGCAAGTTGGCAACTGGGCAATTATGGGCTTATATTTTCCACAAGTAAGTCACATTTTCAGTCACCGTTTATTGCAGAAGAGGCGCAAGTATGGTCTAAGTGATGCATTCTGATTTCATTTCTTTAAAAATTGTACTTTAAATCCATTATGTAGCAATGCTGTCAAATGGAAGAATTCTGTTTTTAGAAATGGCATTTAATCAATTTCCTCCTTCAAAAGTCAGACCACCTACAAGACACAAGAAAATTACAAAGTAAATAAAATTACACAAAATTGATACAGGCAGGGGTGCCCATTATGGCCCCTGATCACTAAAGACATGCCATTCACTTGCCTTAAGAAGGCAGCATTTTTCACTACTTGCTGGCCACCAGCCCCTCAGACCCACAACACATTTCTATTGGAAGGCTCTCTGCTTGAGCTCCAACCTACCAAAAGCCCCCAACCATTTCTTTCTTTCGTTCTCTTTTCTCTCCTCAGCCCACACCCCACTCCCCCAGCTTCCCCCTTTTCTCTTCTGTAAGATCATCAGTTTTGATTACTGCCAGCAACAGGCTCTTACCAGCAGCTGGAAGCGGCGTCTCACAGACCTGAAAGGCCCTCAGCAGGTTCCAAGAAACTTTTAAAATTATGGGGGCGGGCTCAGAGGGAAAGTGCTCTGTGGGCTGCTTCACGGTCATGTCTTGCTGATTGGATGCCATGAAGCAGTAAACCCAGGGATGCTCTTATGTGCAACCACCTCTTTTTCACAATGAGGACTTGTTTTTCTGCCATGATTGACAGGGTGCTGAGGTGCAAGGGGAGAGGAATGCAAGGCTAAAAGAAACAAGAGTGACTTTGACTAACAGTTGGTGTTTGTGTAAATATGTGGAAAAAAACAACACATGAGAAAAATGTATATTTCAGCCTCAAAATAATTTCTTTAAAATTACCAACCAAAAACTTTCAACTTTAATACCCCCCCCCCCCCCGTTTTTAGCAAGTCAAAAAGATGAGTCGACAATTAACAATATGTTGGCTCCAAAGGCCCCCCTCTCTCTGAACCGTTAGTCCATCTCTGTCTCCTTCTTTACTCTCCAGGGAGGTAGTCACAGAGATAATGAGGAAAGAAGAATGGGGCTATTAGAGGGACAATGTGATAGTTCACACACCATGCCCTTGTCCCAAAACAAGATGTGCCTGATAGAGCACACCCAAACAGCCCCCTAAACACAAACATACACACGCACACAAGGTGGTGAGTGTAAACCAGTTTGTCTTCATACTGAGAGCATTAAGCAGTCTGCTTCTCTGATTAACACTGAGAATGCCTCTCTGAATTAATATATGTCACTCTGAGTCCTACACCGGAGATGACAGCAAAAAACCAAGAGAGGAGGCTCTCTTGTGTTTGGTGATTAGATCTTTCCCAGGCAGATATTCTGTAAATGACATGCAGAACTCTCAATTTGAGCCTCGCTGGATTTGAAATTCTCATGAATCATGAGACAGCATCAGGATTTATGAAATATTTCTTTATCTTTTTCTATTATGCACCCCCCCCGATCCCCACTATATTGTCTGTGACAGCCATGAAGACACTGAAAACAGAATCACAGGGTTTAAGTGAATTTACTGATCAAATACCATCAGCTATCAGATGACTGATCTCATTACATCCCCTCCTCCTCTTCCTCCTTCTTCTCCTTCTCTTACCCCTCCTCTTTCTCCTCCTCCTTTTAACATTTAGAGAATAAAGGCACTTCAATAATATATACAGGTATGGCAAACACACTGTTGAATGGTTAAGAGTATATATTCCATTGACAAGCATTGATCATCATAAATCCTCCAATAAGGGCCAGGTCTTTTATTGATTTTTACTGCCTCGGGTACCAGGTCTTTAAATGAAGCAGGCTTTTATTGGAGTCAGACCTTTCTTTCAAATCCTTTAGGTCTCTGACAACTATGTCAGTTCATATTTTATTCAGAGTGAGAGTAAAGGCAAAAAGGATTTACTGCTCCTGTGTGCCGGTGATGTTTGCATCAATTTAAATGGCTCATAATGTCTCTCATTTACAGTAAATTACACCTTGGTCTTTTTCTCTCTATCAGAGAATAATTTTTCTTCTGAATAACCCTGAAATAATAAATCCACACATAAGTTTATTCATATTATGTTGACATTATTAGTCTAGTTTTAGAGCAGGTCACAGCACTGAGACCACCCTCCTCCATGTAAACAACGACCTTCTTTTAGCCGCAGATAGAGGGAGGACTCAATTTGAATTCTTTTAGATCTCAGAGCAGCTTCTCTATCTTTACAAAAAAACTTTTTCAAAATTAAACAACAATATATTGTTTTTGTCTCCGTTTGGACAGGGCCTGATTTTGTGTATGTGTCTAATGGTGTGTCCCAAATCACACACTTCCAGTGCTAAATACTTAAAATTTTGAGTATACTCAGCTCAAGATGGAAAAAAGTATGGATACCGGGAGGTGTAATGCTTCAATCTGGGGTTATGAGTATGTAAATAATAATAATGCATCAGATTTCATATAGCGCTTTATCAGAGACCCTCAAAGCGCTTTACATTGGATACATCATTCATTCGCTCACACAGTCACACTTTGGTGGTGGTAAACTACCTAAGTAGTCACAGCTGCCCTGGGGCAGACTGACGGAAACGTGCTGTCAGGGCATTCATTGCAGAAAAAGGGCTGGAGGGGAGGGTGACCCCAGCCTTTGTAAAAAAGAAATGGGAGAACTTAAAGCAGAAATACAAGTTTGGTTCGATGTAATGTCGCAATAAGTTGATACTTTATGGTGTGCACTCTGGTACGCAGTCATTATTACATAATTCTAATTGTTTCTCTGCAATTTGCTGTCCTTCCAGCACAGGACCTCAAGTGCCCAAAAACTGGGGTCAGCACAGAGTGGGGTGAGACCACTGCCGCATCCTGGAAGTGGTACACTTTGATGGATGAGGCAATCGGGGGCAGGCCGTCCATCACACCACCTGTCCCCATTGCCTCACTCTCCCAGGATGCAGCAGTGGTCTCACCCCCCTAAAGAGAGCCTCCTCTCTTGGTTTTCAGCTGGTGAGATGGGCCTGTTTTTTGCTGTCATCTCCGGTGTAGGACTCAGAGTGACATATAATAATTCAGAGAGGCATTCTCAGTGTTAATCAGAGAAGCAGACTGCTTAATGCTCTCAGTATGAAGACAAACTGGTTTACACACACCACCTTGTGTGTGTGTGTGTGTGTGTGTGTGTGTGTATGTTTGTGCTCAAGCGCGCTTAGTTGAGCGCACTGCCGTTATGTGGACTTGAGTACCCTGGGTGTGATGGTCAGGTTTTTGTGAATTGGGACGGTCTACCTTTCGGAGGACTTCCTGGTTGAGTCTCCAAATGTCCCCACCCTCAGGCTCATGCCACGACTGACTTGAAGAAAAGCCACGGAGCGCAGCAGTTATTTTTTTAATTGTGGGACCTTGCACGGATACAAAACAATACATACATACAAGCACAGATCATTTCCACAAAATGTATCCATTGATCGCATGTTGTGTATGAAGGAATATGAGGGCCATATTGAGAATTTTTTTAAAGACTTCAAGATTAAAGTCGTCTGCCTCCTCGCTGGGTGAAGCCACTCCGAGAACAGCACCCTCTGTTGGTGGGCTGCAGTATAGGTCATAAATCCTGCCTCCGCCAGCAAAGCTTATGGACAAACTGTGGACAAATTTTAGAAATTTATTACACAGAACATAAAATTTTCTCCCCCGTTTGTGATGTTGACATGTAGTTATTGTAAGACTGGTTTGTGCTCGAGTCCTCTTTTTTTTCTGTGAAGCTCCATTTTTAAAAGTTATTAGGGGGTTCATGTTTTCTATGATTGACACCTGATACAGCCTATGGGCTTACAAAGATTACGTAGCTCACCCAGGGGATACGCTGTTTGAGCCGAGCGTCATCACAGTGACTCTTGATGACTCAACCGCCAAATGCGTACAATGCTACAGCGCAATGCTGGTTTCAGGAAATGAAGAAAAATCACGGAAATACAAAAACATTTTTGGCTCCAAATCTGTATACTGACAGGAGTTTGAACCAAGTTGTCCATAGTATATACAGTCTATGGGCTCAACACAAAGAGACACCACT